AGACTTGTGCAGTCCATCCAGCATCAATCGTTTAGAGTTACAACGCGGAAGTCACGCAATGCCTGGAAATGGGACCACTCCGTGTTATCTCAAGTGCCTAGCATCATAACAAGAGCGAGTGTTTTATAAGATGCACTCCTGGTTCTAAGAAGAACGGATGATTTGGGGAGATTTCTAGACCAACGTATATTATATTTGCAGCTACTAATCGATCGCGTGGTGGAGTCTTATATGAAAATCCACACCTGCCAAAGCTGCGTTGAAGTGGATCATTTTGTCGAGAACCAAATCAAGTTCAAAGAAATTTGCTGGTTTGGTGTGAAGAAAACCGGAAAAGATTGACAATTGTGACAAGACATTTGACTCTCATTTTTATTACAAAAAAGTTCTTCGACTAAGTTTGTTTAAAAGGTGTTAACCGAGTACTGAACCAACTCAGTGTTTTGGCAGTGAAATTGGTACTCGAAAAATAATTAATTACATTATGTTAAAAAAAATATAATTTGGTAAACTTAAGAACGTGCTAGGCAGCCGCGTTGATAGTCAGACAATACAAATAGATACCGTACCACTTTACTAAATTAAAAGGTTAACTTCCATAAGCTTTGGTAAAACTATTTTTAGTTGTCAATTGAAGAAAACCCAACCATTACTGTGCCGATGTCTACAATTGTTTTATGCGTATTAGGCCTTGCGATAAGAGCCTGCAGTTGCAGCAACGACAGTGATAATGAAATATGAATTTGAATGGATTAATATCGACTTGGAAATTATTAACAACGATCCCGCCTCTTTGTGTTACACAGTCAGCCGCCCTTGTCACACCGCAAGCAATCCACATACTGCTGCACTCAAGCGCATTGAACCAACTACATACCACGCATTATAATTACACCACCTTATGGGTGATAAGTTCACTCAAAGCTTCGAGCAAGACATTCCATATTTATAAAGGGCAAATAATGGTATAATCCTATTAGGCGTGCCAGCTTTGTTCGGGGCAGCAGGCTTCACAGAAAGGTGGAAAAGGGATTCCCCTTGACGCATGGTTTCTTTGTATTCGATTGGTCGGTCGCTATGGAAACCTGGTTATTTGGATTCATTTTGGATAACTGGCCTTATTCTTGAACGTGTGAGGGCGCTGTAACGAGTCTGACGCCATATTTGGGGTACAAAAAGCTTGCATCCCAGGTCACTGCCAAAATTCACACGCCGCTACTTGTTAAAAGTATTTTTTACAATTTTAAAAGTCTTCTGTTTGTTTGTACCAGGAAGATGGCGTCTTGAGAGCGTCCAATTTTTATTCAGTTAGAGCCTGTTCTTCAAGAGTATATGAAAGAGAAACCAACCCTTTCAGAGTTCCAAAACCTAGAGAACGAGTTCCTGTCAGACTATTTTTGTCCAGGGAATATGAAAATCAAAGACCAAAAGCCCCAAATCTACAAAATCTTGCAAATTGACATTGCCCCGTAGCAGAATCGGTGTTGACACTAGATGAGGAGACGCGGCACCGCGGCGAAATTAAACCTTTTTGCGGGCAGCGCGGTGCTCGTTTCTCGGGTCCCCGTCCGTTCTGATTACGAGCGGCCCCGTGAGATTACAAGAAGCCTTTGCGGGCACGGCCGGCGGGGACTACAGCTGAACAGACAGCGAGGATTGTGGGATAAAAGAGAAGGGGTATTGAGTGGAGAATCTTTCCCCACAGCAGGCCTGTAGGGTTCGATGATGATGTTTTTGGTGGCTGTTGATGATGGAATAATGAGAGGGGCTGAGGATGGTGGAGATTCTGAGGATGTAAAGACGGAGGGAGGATGGAGGGATGATTTTGGAAGAACTGATGGAGATAGTGATTGGTAGAAGATGGTGGAGGTGAAGGTGGTGATTGTGTTGACAATGGTGATGATGGTAGTTGTTCTGATATGATCATTATGGTGATTGTAATGATGATGATTGTGATGATGATGGTGATTGTTGCGATGGTGATGATTGTGGTGATTGTGTGTGGATGTTGGTGATGTGTTATGGCGAGGAAGGTGATCAGTGTGATGATGATGATGGTGATTATCGTGGTGAAGATGACTCTGAAGATGAGCGTGGTGATAAATGGGATGGTGGTGATAATGGGGATGATGGTGATTGAATGATGATTAAGAATAGGGGTGTGCCTTGGAACCGGTTACTCGAGTACCCAACCGTTGATTGTCAAGAACCTGTTCCAGATTAAGGGTTGAGGTACCCGTAAGGCCGTAACCAACTGTTCAAATATTTTCCTTCTCAGTCAATGAAAAAAAATACTTTTGAAAGCCATTTGCGGAAAATTTTCAAAACGAAAACCAAAGCAAATTTAACGGTTTATATGCATAAATGCGCGACAGACGACACTCGCAAAAGTTGAATTGTACACCGTGAAGTACTGTAAAGCCTCTAGACAACATCCGGGGTTTGAATTTTGGGGTTGGGTTCTTGTACGGGTACCCGTATTTTAGTACCTGGTTCCACTTCAACCCGTACATGCACAAAAATTAATGTAACGTTGATGATAGAGCTTAATGATCTGATGCTGCTCAAAGTGCTGTTCTCTGTCAGCAGTGTGCAGTAATAAAATGATCCACCAACGAACCTCAACCATCACAAAAAAACAAGAACAGGTGTTTAGATAATTAATTTCAAGGAGCACAGTGTCAGCTAAAGAGGCGAAACCGAGCATCTTACGTAACATCTTAGTCCAGCATATACGGGCGATTATTAATGAATTTTAAAAAATGAGTGCTTAGATTGAATGTCCTCAAAGTGCACGTGAAAGGATATATGTTACAACCCAATTAAAACACTGAAATTTTACCCAATACACTGGGCGACACTCGATATTGCCACGGTTAACCAACAAAGTTGGTGGTATAATATTTGGTGCGTATCGGGGTAGCGTTATCAGCATTTCGCAGTGTCAATGTTTTGCTACCGTGCAGTATGTTCAGTTATGAGCACCGTCATTCCAATATGGCCGTGACAAGATTAATGACCGCTATGTAAATAGCGTCTGCTGTTATTTTTTTCTTCTTCAGTGAGTGTACGCGTATTATGACGTATTTATAGTGCATACTATATTGGGAATAACGAGACAAAGCAAGCAGAGGAAAGCTGCCCCATAGACCAAGAAAATGAAATTGATTCAAAATGGCTAATTTCTGGAAGTCTTTTCATGCATTTAATATGTACACAATGTTTTGGGTTTAGCAAATTCACTGGCGTTACGGGGTAATCATATACAATAGCACTGCCCGGATCGCAATTGACAATAGGTCAGTAATAAGTCAGTCAATGAGACTGAGGCTACAAAGAGGACACTAGGCTAGCCCACAGAGCCCAGCAAAAATATAAGTGAATTTGCAAGACTGTAATAATTGTAATATCTTTAAAATCTACATACAAATTTTGCTCATTGCTTTTACTCAAAATGCAAACGTTGACATTGTCTATTGCTCCTCCACATTTTGACCGATTTCAACCAAACTTTGTCAAAAGTATCAGCAGCCCAGCCCCAACATGTCACATGACCAAACCGGGGTCAAAGGTCATCATGGGGTCACTGGGATCAAAAACCTGATTTTGTTTACTCAAAACACTACTCCTTCCAGAAATTACATGGCACAATCACGTGACTCATGCATGAACAAGAATTTGTTTGCCCGCAGCTACCGAGATATTTTTGATCGTGCTTACTTTTTAAACATTAAGATTAACTTCAATTTAACATTTTGACTCTTTCAAATTTTTAAGCGAGGAATCATGATATAAACTTCCAGTTATCCAGACCGCGCCGTGTGTGTTTATCTTAGAACCAGGATTTGCGAATTCACTTCAACATCCTGTTTATCTATGATCATCACAACATGGCAACCAAATGCGGCAAATAAACGGAGAAAAACCCAGTTAAGTTTTCTCTTCGCTGACTCAACAATGCCCTCAGTTGCGACTTGTTCCTTGTTCTGATACTGGAGCCTTTTTTTCCACGGTGACAATGTAAAAAAGAATGTCAGACTCCGGGTCGGTTACGTCATCGATAGTCAATCCTGTCTGGCGTGAATTGGTCATGAAATAGTCGCGGTATTGATAGAATGACTAGTCGATATGAGATAACAAAAGACCCAAACAACGGCCGTGTTTACTTTTCGCGGGCTTTGTAAGATGCTAAGACCCACAACAAGAACTTGCAATGGAATGTCATTCAGTACAACACGACCAGAGTAGTTTAGAATATTGTAATCAGCATGGGTATTATTTATATATTGGGTCATTTGGCGTTCCATATAGATTGATGGCATTCTTTCAAAATGACTACTTGCCAGCGTATAAACTATTAAAAAGCCACTTGCTTTGTTGTGCCATTATGCAAAGCCGGATCCAGCTGCGGATACACGTAGGCATATGCCCCATAATAGGAACATCACGTTCAATCCAACGGGGATATTCAGCCTTGAACCTTAACCACTATGGCTGACTAGGATCGCATCCAACAGGAAGAAAAATGTACAAATAGGAAATTTATGGATGCCATGAATAAACAAATTGACATCATTGGCCGTCTGTCTGGGGCGCTAGCAGTGCAATTTGCATTCAAATCTTCAGGCAATCAATCATTATAAAGGGCTGTAGACTGCATTTCGTATTGCCAATTACGAGTAATAATGGACAGGAAAAGCAGGTGCAACTTTTAATCCTATGGCAGGTGTTTTTATGCACGAAGATATTTGTTTCTGTTTGATTTTGTTGTTGTGGACGGCATGAAGTAATAATAAAATGAGACATTTTTATTTAATATTCTTCCCTGCAGAACTTTCAGTACAGAAGTCTTGGTTTGTAACTGAATAATATTTATTGGAAAATAATAAAATTACCAAAAAAATGTCACATGTGGTACAGAAGTCTTGGTTTGTAACTGAATAATATTTATTGGAAAAATAATAAAATTTCCAAAAAATGCGGAATTCATTGAAACTTACCCTCAGTTGCCAGGGGCCAGCTCGCAACACAAAACAAAATAATAATCCAAGAAATTCGTGTGACCCGTCTGGGGTCAATTCCCATTGATGTAGTTCTGATATCTGGTGGTTTGTTCCTCTGCATGTTGATGAACTGATAATTCCTCCTCTGTGTATCTAAGTAACAGGGATGATCGTGTTCAACGGTGCGGAGAACTGTCGGAGATGGTTCATCACTTTGGGCGATGCCACCGTGCCCGCACCGGCACGCCCGGCCGTCCAGAGCGCCGCTTCCCCCGCGGCTCGGGCCCTCACGCCTGGTGCTGGAACCGGGACCGTACGACATGGCCCCTGTCGACACCGCTTCAAGTTCAGCTCCGCAGCTGTCATGCATGTCCATTAGTCACTGTGGGCACGAGTCACTCATGCATACAACACAGAAAAGAAACACAGCAATGCTGCTAGACTTTTTTTCACAGAGACCTTCATTTAAGCATGACTTCCTGTTCTTTTATTCAAACTGCATTTTTTTTAACCCACATACCCGTCAGTCATATCTCCCTCAAAGCCACGAAAAAATGATCCTTCAACAACCGAGTGGGCACGAGTTTTTACCGGTAAACCCAAGTAGGATAGGTAGAGCAAAAAAAAAAATGACCGCGTTTAGTAATGATTGACCGAAGAGCAGCTCCAAGTCCAACTTGACGCGGTGCGGGTGCAGGATCTGACGGTGTGTGTAGACCACTATCATGTTCTCGACCAACTGGTGGTTGGGCTGGCTATAACATCATCGTCGTGCTATACACATTATTTCCCAAATCCAGCCTCTGCAAAGGCACAAGTTCCGGTTATGGCTGATGGACCAGAGATATGCCATTTGCATACGCACGGATTAGAAAGCCTTCTGTGCGTGTGAATGTTTTGGTGTCTAGTATGGGGTCATCTTGTTCATGGAAGCAGCAAGGTCAGCGTTGCGGTATATAAGTGATCGTCAATAGATCATTGGTCTTTGCTCAATAGATAACGTGTACACATTGGGCAACCTGCTGTGTTCGGCACGTGCCATGGTGCTACATACGTCATCGTGTTCTGAAACCTGACACGGCGACTTTCGACTTGTACGTACCAAAAGGTCGCACCGGGCATAGCAAGGGGACGCAGAATCTGTATTTATTAGGTGAAGATGGCTATCGAAATTTTGCAATATTTTGTTTTCTGCAACTACTTTATCATGCTGTATCTTGTAAAGTAATGAAACATTGTTTACATTTATATAGAAAGTCGGTTATTTGTAAAATCGACTCTTTAAATTTGACACTTCTGATCGTAAAATCAATTATAATGTGACAATTGAATTCCGATCAATGGAATTATCAATTGATCATGTAATCCGTGATCGATTTAATCAATACTTAGATGAGTATCTTAAAAGACGAATGCCATCAAGCATTGATCGATGGATCAAATAAATGATTGGAAATCGATTACCTTTTGAATGGATCAATTGATCGATTCATCATCAATTAGGCCTAGTTGTCTGATTGATCCAGATCATTAATCATTTTACGATTTTTATCATCGATTGATTAATTGATATATTTAAATTGTTTGATATGATCGATGGCGAGTCAGACTCCAAATTCTCGGAGAAAAACAAAATACAAAATTCGCCATACATAAACAAAATTCTATTTAACAGGTGACAATTTACAAGCAAAAATGTCAGGTGATATTTATTTCTTAAGACAGGTTCTTAGCTTAATTTTGTTCATCACAAAATAACGGGAACAATTCAACCCTACCACTGATGTTTTAACATATTCATGCAGTTGACGTAAATGGGTAATAAAAACCACCCGTGCGTCTATGCTGAGCGTTCTAGGTCCATCAAATAACGCATTAGTGTATTTTCAAACAAACCGCAAAAGCATAAAGTCAACGTATAATATACGCCCATCCATATTTTTGGGGGAATACATTAGTAGAACAGAATTGCAAATGATTTCAGCCCCCGGTTAACCTTCTAGTGTTTCGTCGAGGGCGTCTCCATGACGGGAAAAAAACCGCTTCCTTAACGAGGTCGTTACGCCATATGCGGCCATTTCCCATTAGTATGATCATGGTGTCCATTTACAGAATAGACAAAAAGATGCACAGATTAAAGGAGCACTACATCTCCAAACTCACCAGCCCTGTCATGCTGTGACGTTGATGTATTCATATTCAATGATAGCTTTCCTCCAATTGGCGTCACCTTTAACTATTTGGGCATTTTTTCTTAGACCTCGGTAGAATTTGTTTATAAAGAACCTAATCTTATTACTGAAGCAGTGAATTTTTTTCCTCAGACTTTTATACGATGTTCTCAATTTAAGAACAAGGGCCAAGTCATACAGTTTATTTCTTTAATTAAAAATATCAATCAAAACACAGGGCAGTTTAGATATATCATGGAGCTAGGAACACAAACGTGAGGTGTGGCCTCTTTGGTAAACCCCACAGCTGCCCGCCCTCTTGAGGCAACATGTGGTTATGACGCTGCTAATTATGTGTCAGTAAAGCACAAAATTGCTTATACTGACCGAACCGCATTAATGTGCATTCTCTGCAAAGCATGAATTTTTAATAAATCATTTTCGGAACCATGTAATTGTTTCCCAGCTCAACATGACAATTGGAACTTTGTCATGTTGATCTGTGGGAAAATAGGACTATAGGGTTGAAGTTGGGCGCGAAATCTAACAATTTCAAATGTCCCGCGCTGCGAACTTGTCGACCATCTCCCACAATGCACTGAGAAAAAAAATGAACTTCTCCGTGGCAAACTCTTGGTGGCGCACTGCATTGTAAATCGCTAGAATTGAGATTGTTCATTACCGGAAAGTCATTGTCCCCTTTCTCTCAATTCAATGAGGAAACATGAATCATATTCTCCAGGGACTATGTTGCTGATTTAGCAGGAGGAGCTGGACATCTCGACAGGTTTTCATCGCCAAATATACGTATAGGCCTAAGTCCTTGTCTTAACGAGGTCTGTTAACGAGAAAGGTAGCTTTAGGCTCGCGGTAAAAAACAGAAGAAGCTAATTAGTGCTTGAAACCGGTTTTGGAGCTTATACAAATGACGCTCTCTTCTGCGAATGTTAATTTTCTACGTACCGTAAATCATTGTCACAATGATGGATTTTTTGGTGTTTTATTGCGTTCGATGAGTTAGATTTAATCATCCAAGATTGAGGTCGAGTACACCCAATCTAGTTTTTTTGGTCTCGTGTACGTGTGTGTACCGTTGCAATTTTTGCAAATTGTGGGTTTGCTCCAGCGATGCGAATTGTAAATTGTTTATGTTGCCTTTTGTGGTCGGCATTGGCTGATTTCCCAAGAGGACAATGCCCCAAATTAACATATACAACGCAAAAATATTCACTTTTAGAATTTTGTAAACACCGACCCTGCAAAATTGCATGAAACGTCATTTAGGGTAACTTAAGGTTTTAGGATCAAAGTGTATAGTTGATTGAAAACCGCGTACATTCATTATTTGCTTTTCATGCATTTTGTTCATTACCAAATAATAACACCACTCAAAATCCAAAGATGAACGCTCAAACCCTAACCTATTGAAGTTTCAGCTCAGCAGATACAGTTTTCGAGACTAAGAGTGAAAACCATGCATGCACAACCTTTGATCACAAAATACGATTTCATCAATGGCACCGTCTTTATTTTCCCCCCAAAAAATTAGTCAAATGACAGATCATTGGACAATTCTAGATTTCTTTTAGATGACAGTAAGCCAGACCGTATTTCATGGGGTGTTTAGTATACCAGTACAATCTGCAATCGAAATAAGCTTAATTTGTGATAATAATTCGATATGTTACTTTTGGGATAACTGCAAATGATGCCTTTAAACATTGTTTTAAAGGGCTTTCCCCAAAGACCGTTTCACGAGTGCCGCCATCTTTGTGGTCACGAGGTAATCTCTGGGGGCGCTTCAATAGCCCTAACAGTCCTGAATCCTCCAATTTCAATACCATTTTGCACACTCCCTAGGGAGTAAGGCTTTTAAAAGGAAAATCCTATCATGTTCAGGAAACAAAGGCATGATGGGACGTATTGAAAAATGCCCCTGAGATTACCACGTGACCACAAAGAGGCGGTATCCGTCGCTTCAAAGTATGCACATTGACGTACATTATTACAAATTCATACTATATTGAGGTAATCGCATCATGTATTATGGAACAACATGAATATCTGAATCATGCGCTTTCCTCATCAAATTCTCGGAAGTTGTACTGAAAAAAACCCGCCGCTTTACACTCTGGATCCCCGGATGCTCAAGTCATAATGAGACGAGTGAAATAGAGCGAGGCGGCGGCTAGATCTTCGCTGCATTTATAGAATGAGTTTTGTGTGTGTTGGATTATGTCTTTTTAATTATCCATGCACGATGAAGCGATGTATCTCTCATTTCGTGCCTGAAGTCCCCAGGGTGTGAGATGTGCACGCAGTGTGCGACAGACATAATTGAAAAAAAAAGTCAAATGAAGTAAAAGAACACATGTCAGCTTAATTCTGTTGCGTTTTAGTTTCCATGTGTTGAATGCAACGGTTTTTATGAGATCCAGAAGCTTACAGTGGTCAATTCAAAATAATGTGGCAATTCTTGTATATTTTCGGACCGTTTGTTTGGTGCCCGACATATGAACATTAACGGCTTTGAAGCAATTTATAAATTTGCGCCCGAATTGACAACAATAAACCTCCACTCGAACTGAACTAAAATAACGACGAGTTTGTCAGGGATGTTTTAGGTATAGTCACTTTAAACCGTCGGATCACCGAGGCGTAGACAGCGCGCGCCGCGGCTGCCATCGACCGGCCCAAACCATCTGATCCCCGGGGCTGCATATGGCGGCAGCATTCATGTTCACAATTACTGTGAAATTAAAGGGGCGATCAATAATTGTTGCAATCCAATCAATTTAACGGGCTACCCAAAGGCGAACACTTGCAGTTGCATGGGCAAAAATTATTAGTTTTGTTTGACTCCTCCTCCTTTCCGGAATCCGAGTGATACCTGCTGGCTAACTCTTCAAATTCTCGCCACAAAAAATAATCCAATCTAAAGGCTATTTTAAGAATGATCGGCAGCAAGGTCTATTAATGGATCTCAAATCCAAGGTAACATAGGTGGGCAATTATACGTGGTATCATGCACGTACCGAGCGAGGTGGAATTCTATAGGTGTGTTTTCCGTTCCAGTTCGGTATTCCAACTGCGCATGTGCACATCCAGATTTGACAATTTTCCTTTCGGGATAAACACTTCGCCATGGATGCGTGCAAAATCATAGCGGGTAGTGGTACAAGCAATATTGTAGAAATTGTCTTGCAAGTTATGAAGTATAAGCACAACATTTAAAACAATCTGGGCAGCGAAGTGTTTTTAGTTGGTTTGTCTGCCCCGATCTTTGTGCCAAAGGAAAGGTTTTTTTTTTGCAGATTCGGTCACAACGTCCCGAGGTTTATTGCACACGCGCAGTCGGAATACCGCCCTGGCTTATTTGAGTAAACCGAGAATGAGTTGGTGGTTTTCACCTCCATCTGTTGGTTAGATCATCGCATGACGTTGCCCGGATATTGGGTGCAATCTAAGGTCACAATAATAATTGCTGGACCGTACCTGTTCCGGAAGTTTACGCCTATTTATGATTGATTTCCCAGTGTTTCGAAGTGAGCCACCACGTACAGTTGACAAAGTACATAAATATTTCGAAGGACTATATAAGGCCAAAAAAAGGCTCCGGTTGCTGGTATGCGCTAGCGTCGCCGTAGCCATGCGCGTCGGCAAAAGTTTTTTTATGAAAAGATGATGTCTCAAAACCGCCATACTTACTGCTGCTGCTGCTGCACAATTTTAACGTGTTGATGGGTTACGATCGACACTTTATGTGGCCTCTCTGGACTCCCATATATTTGCACTTAGTTTAGTCGGTCACCATTTGCTGTCATCAGCCGACATTTGAAGCAAAAAAACGGTTAAAAAAAAGCCGCGTCGCCGCACCACTTTCTGGGCAAGCTCCATACCAGAATCCGGAGACTTTCTTTTGGTCTAAGCGTAAAAAAGCAAGCACATCGTGCACTGAAGCTTAAGTCTGGGAGTCAAGAGTCAAGAGTAACATTTGATAGTAAAAACCAATAGAAGTTGTCGAGAGATCTGGACAATTTGAACAGTCACAACCAATCGAAAATTCGAAGATTGCATATATAGGCCTACACAAAATAAGAAGTAAGAAATAAAAGGAAAGGACATCCACGATTTCCAGTTCTTTTGAAAATTCAGTTTTGAATGGAATTTAATTTTGCCAAATCGGAAAATCTAACCACTGCACCTATTTCTCGGGGAAAAAACATTAACGAAATTATATCCCTGCCATAAAACCCAAGTTTATGACGTGCATGCAAAATCTTGGGTTATTTTATAGCTGCAATTGATTTAGTGAAGAAGGTAAAAGGCTAACAAAATACGCGTGTTGAATGATAAAAAACGGAAGACAAACCAAAGAATTTAGTTTGATGGTGGTGGTGGTGGGTGGTGGTGGTGGTGGGGGGGGGGGGGGGGGGGGGGGGGTGGTTGTGCGTCTGTCAGTTTGCTAAGTACACAAAGGAAGGAAATGTGACGCGTTTCTCCTGCACGAACTTTGCCCGGAATCATGTTGACTTTTATTTTGGTCGATTTTATCCCAGTCTACAATCGTGACTGAAGGAAAATGGCTTCCTTTTTTCTGAATCATGTTTCCAGGACCACTAACGGACGTACGGCTTGGCTACACTTTGATGACGTCATGATTTTTTTGGGGTCCAATGGCGCTGAGGTCTATAACACCCCGAAATCAAAAAAAAAATCCAATGAAAGGATTAGTCCTTATTTTGTTGCACTGTCAAAAAAGTTTGGTACAAAACTGTGTTGGGCAATGTTATTTGCCCAACCTTGGTATACACTTAATTACCAATGTTGGTGTTTTCGGGTACACATTGACCAACTATTGGGAAGAATTTGCCAAAGAGTGACGGCAGTTGTTATACGGTGTTGACAAACATTGGTTTACATAATAAACCTATTTGTCGACCCTTTTTTTAAGTGCAGAAGCCCACAGTTATTTTTGACATTACAGTTGATGAATCACAGTTGTGGGGAGAAGTAATGGGTATTAAATTCAGTTCAAGCGTATCAGCCTTGTCATGTGCGGAAGTCTGGAAACACTGAACTAATTTATTGGAAAGAGGGCGCCATACTTCTATTTCGCGCCAGACCAGTGCAATAATGAGATGCCTGAGGATAGAGGGCGGTACATCCATCAATCAGAAAATGGTATCACGGTTTTCCTAACCAAACACTTTGCACCTAACCATCGCCCAACCCAACGCCGCTGGTGATACTTTCTCCAAGGAAGCATCCGAACTAGACCTCTTGGGCGAGTTTCTGCACCAGGTCGACCCACTGTTCCTTCAGAATCTGGCCCTCTTTGCACTTGATGGCGTTAACCGTCTGGAGCGTTTCGGGTATGTTGCAATCTCGAAGCAAGACGGGCAGGATGTACTCCCGAAGATGCCCTCTGACGCATTTGTTGCCCTCGAAGACCGCCTGGTCGATGACGTAGGACTCCCACCCCTCGCCCCTTGGGACAGTGCCCTCACAACTGGGACTCGAGGGATGGGGAGTAAGGACGATCACGAATTTGTAGCTCTCCTTCAGACACCTCAGGAACTCATTAAGGACGCTCCTTCCCAAGTGAAAGTCTCGCTGCTCCATGCAGCCCAGGAGTCCGTGCTCTGACTCCAACTTGTGGACGAAGACCTCGGTCCATCGACTGTCTCTGTCCGCGTGCCACACGAAGAAGTCATAAGGGTACTTGCGCTGCGTCCTGTTCTGCTTGGTGTTCGGTGGCGGAGGTGCTACGAAGTGGTAGTCCTCAAGGATACGCACGTAGCCCAGTTTCTCCACGGTGCTGTAGTAGTCGAAGTCATCGTTGAAGTCGACCGAGTGATCTTCGGCGAGGGGTGTCTTCAAGATCTCCTCCCGGATTTTTTCAGCCTCCTCAAGCTGTAGACGGCTTCCTTCTTGGTCGTTCAGCTCATCCAGGCACTTGGCCCATCGCTTGTGGGTCTGCACCGGGTCGAAGAAATGGTCGTGCTCGCTGTCAATTGCGTGGGGAAAATTGGATATTGCCTCGTCAATATTTCCAAGGAGATAGTAAACGTACCCCAGGTCTGAGTAGTCAGCTGGGTACTTCCTCATTTCGATAGCGCAAGTGAAATCTTCGATAGCCTTCTGAAGGAATTCCCTTGCCTGATCAGTCTGTTTATCCGTGGTTCTTTCATACATACCTAAGAACATGAGCGCTCGAAATCGATAGACAAATTGTGATCTGGTTTTACTGAGGGATTTCTCCAGCAAGGGCCTGGCCTTTTCGTAATTTCCTAGCTTGACATATTCAGAACCTACCCTACGGATTAGAACGGCATGTTCTGGGAGCATCTCCAAACCCTTCTCGAAGCACTTTTCTGCTGTTAGGTCCTGGAGGTCCGGTTCATCAATGAATGCCTTGGCGATGCTTCTGTGTTCCGGGTCGTGATTGACAAGGATCCCCAAGAACACCCAGGACAAAGCTTGGTAATCCCTGGAGGTACTGTTGCGTGCTACTTCTAGGAAAAATCGGCAGGCCTCTTTAAATCCATTTGAGATCCGCTCTTCAGAGTACCACTCGGAATGCTCGGGCACAAAAAGAGCTTCACTGGCGAGTTGTCTGAGGTACAGCATATGAAAGTCCCGCTTGTACAAAGCTAAAGCATAGTCGAAGAGCCATTCTGCTCTCTGTGGGCCATCGCACTCCCTTCCTATGGTCACTGCTCTCTCGATGAACCTCATGTACCTGAAACAACGTTTGTGCTCGAGGAAACGAATTGCATGGGCCTTGTCCGCATAGGCCATGGCTCTCTCGGCGTTACAGGTTAGTGCCAAAATTTCAGTAAGCTGACCGTGGTACTGTCTGTATTTGTCCATCTTGCAGAGCTTTTTGTGCAAGAAAGCCATGTTTCCCAGGGCGTTGATGTTCCTCTTGTCCTTGTCCAAGACATCGTTAAAGAACCCCAGGGCCTTTTGGTAGTCACTCAGGTGGAAGGCTACGAATCCCTGCAGATTCCGGACGGCCGTGTAGTAGGTGGGACGGTCGTTGTAGTCCCAGTCGTCACCGGCAAGGATTCCTTGCTCTCGAAGGAGAGTTTGCTTATCTGCCACACAGCCACGCAGCTCGGGCCAGCTAAGATGGCAGCCTAAGGATTCTACGGTTTGATTGATCAGACTATCTTTGGCCATGATGTTCTTCAGTCTTCAAAGTCAAAACACACACTCCATTGGAAAGTTATCTAGATGTCCAAGGCCTGAGACGTTTCATCGCTATTATGAAGTAGGTCTTGTCCAAAAACTCCTACAATGCACTTTATGGATGGGAGTTTGATCTTGCAGATAGAGTGGAGTTGAATCATAGTATCGCACTGTATTGCGTGGGGAGATGGTTAGACTCCAATCTAACCGTCACTAAAATAAGTTGCCAGTATAGTATTAATGCTGGCAGTAACCACTTGGTCTCTGCAATAAACAGACAATATTGTACCAATAATTAAAGTCTTCCTGAACACAGTGTTGACATGCGGCCCCACAAAGTGTGAGGAAAGTTTGCTGGATTTTTTTTTAATAAAAAAGACTTTCTCAAAAAAATTCCAATAGGCATGAGACTTGAGAGTTTTATCAATTGACATCCTTTGTAAGGCAAAGTGCATTTAATTGTTGATACCCAGAACCTTTTCGCCGCTCCAAGGGCGGATCCGGGGGGGGGGGGCAACGTGTGCCATGCTCCCCCCCCCAAAAAAAAACACACCCAATTTTTGTTTTTTAAAGTTACGTCGCAATAAAGGCAGGTACCGCGCACACCACCATCTTTTCCTCAAAAAAAAAAGTTAAAATGGTCAGACATTGCCGCAGATCGCACCACATGCACAGAGCATCTGGAATTCAAACAAATTTCGGGGTCCTTAAGCGGGTCCTGAACCCCACGCTGTAATTTTTTTGGACCCACTTTTTGGGGGACCAAATTTGTTTTGCCCCCCCCCCCCTAAAAATGCGTTCTGGATCCACCCTTGCGCCTTTCCAATCAAACATTACAATGGCTGGTTCCTAAGTAACCTTCTTCTCGAGTGAAGAATAACTATGTGTGCTACATTGTCATCTTTTCTATGATCGGATGATCGGTCCTAGGGGAAATATTTTGGCAACACTGATAGTAAGGGCCCACTACCACAATAATGTTAACAGCATAGATAACGCCTACATTCTGCATATTAAGTGCATGCACATGTACCAAGACAACAACATTAGTAATACCGACACAATGTAAAACACGGTAATCCTGTTAACGAGTTCCATGGACATGTAATCATGACATCATCATTTTAAGAAACCTAAAATAATTGGTACATATACTTACATGAAACAGGGAAAACGAAAACGAAGGCAAATCACAGTGTGCATGCAATGTAGAAAAATCCATTTTCCGCCGGGTGTGATAAACACACAACAGAAGGGGCAAGGTTCACGAGCTTCAGGGTTTCCCTGACGACGACAAATTGGACTTGGGATTTTACTTTGTCTGTATCGATTGACAATACTTGGAACACTACGGCGGGGTGGGAAATCCCGGGCCCATGCGGTTGGTCACATCACGTGCATGCGATGGCGGTCCGCCGTAATTGTCGTGAGGGTTTAGTTTTGGTGAGCTACATTTAATATTTGTGAGTTGAGGAACAGAGAATGAGACCACTCGAGAAGTTTTTGGTGAGCTACATTTAATATTTGTGAGTTTAGGTACAGAGAATGAGACCACTCGAGAAATTACCCCCTCCCCCCCTCAATATTTTGTAAAGAGTGCTCTTTTTTAACAAGTGCCCTTTTTTTCTGAACAAGTGCCCTTTTAAAAGTATCATTGATGGCCGTTTTGGTGCCATCGGCCGTTACGGGTGCCTTTTTTTGTTAATTTAGCGCATGTATCTCCGTTAGAAGCACCATTGTCCGTTAGTGTGCATAATCGTCTGTTCAAGTTGAACAGCGCCCCCATCGACAGATGGTACCAGCCCCCCCTTCAAGTAAATTATTAATTGATTTAGAAAGATCGGATCCGTCTGCTTATTTCTACTACTTATTACTAATTACTTCTAATTTTAGGGGCAACTTAGGGCTACGATTTAAGTTCTTTAATTAAAGTACTGAATAAAGGAATTTGTTGTAGAAATAAATGCAAGGAAGACAATTAATTATGAGAAATTGCAAAGGGCGGGGCTCGGTGATGGTCACGGTGAGTGGGGTAGCTTATGGCAAAAGCACCATAACTCTACTTCCAACCCAGGGGGGAATTAATTCAGTTGTCATGCACTACAACTTACTTGGTCATTACATCAAAGCTGTCCCTTGCCACGCCCAGGCAAAACCTGCACAGCCCTCCACGTGCAGGCAATCTATCCCTAGCACGGCACCAGCAGACTGAAGCACACATTGGCTATATAGTTAAAATTCATGCATATGGGCTAACAATAGAATGATGCAAATGCTACATGCCTGGCTGGACTGATACACACTCAGCTCAGGGGTGTGATGAATGAGAGGGGCAGGCTAAACCAAAAATAGAAGGTGGGGAAGAAGGTAATGATGAAGGGCTGTTTTCATTACAATATTCACAAATCGCGAAGAGCAATCATCATTATTACTAGCTCAGTCCTACTCATATGTTGTAGCAAATTGTTATAGCTAAGTTAACAAAATGTCAAACTTTGATTACCTCCCTACAGGTTTTCTTGTGCAAAGACGATCAAACTCGATTTGTTCATTTATAACAATGCGTTTCCAGCTCATTTTTATTTTACTCGGAATAGTAACGTCACCTTCACTCAGTTTAAAGCCAATACTGAAATACCGTATAACTAATTTGTGGTTACTACCTCTTTAACCGGGGAGAGTGGAATTTATTAGTTTAAAATGTGGCACTCTCCTTTCAACCGAGTGGTTCCACTAAAAAAATGATTTGGGTAGAGCGAAGTTTTCTGTTGTCTCAATAAAATGAAATGTTTTATTTACAGTACAAATATGAGACAATATATATACAAATTATTAGGTATTTACAAATGAATTACAGTATATATATGAACTTTGGGTATATCAAACGACTTTGTCAAAAAAAGGGAATTAGGCTATTGAAGTCGCTCCAAGGATATTATCTGAAATGCATAAAAACAATAAATGACTAATGAATTATGGGAATAACTGTGGCATAAAATGACTGTTGCCCTAACAGAAGAATTATTTAAATGGCCATTATGCAAGAACATGAATATTTTATATACATGTAGTGTAATTTTAAATCCGAAAATAGAAATGAATTATTCACCAAGTTATGTTACAAAATGAAATAAGAATATGTACCATGCCCTAATAACAAATTCCCGAATGATCATAGCAATAGAAAACTGATAGTTTTGGGAAAATGGGAAAGTCTATTTCAAATGATAAATGAGAACGTAAATATTATAGCAACACTAAAATTAAAGTTGAAGTTATTTGCATACTCGTGTTGCTCAGAAGTTCCAATTTGTGTTTGTTTCAAAAGGAAAAATGGAAATTCACAAAAATAAAGTACCTGATAACATTGTTTTTCCGGAATTGCCGAAAAATATTAAAATAGTACGAAATTGTGTTTAAATATATCGACGGTGTTTACACGAAATGTTCAAAGTATAAAATATAGTCAAGAGAAAATCCTTTTTGCCATCTCATACAAGAATTAAATAGGGAAAAAATTAGAGAATCATTAGGGAAAAAACTGATTCTCAAAAATACTTGCAAATCACAACAACAGATTGATTTCAAAAGTTAATCAGTCGTGATCGCAAGGCAAATTTCCGGCCGTGTCCGTTTTGACGGCCTTAATTTCTGGCAATAAACAAAGCATACAAAAGACCAGAATGTTGCATAAATGATGGCATAAAAAGATTCAGGCATAAAAAGGTTTTAGGCATAAAAAGTGAAATATCAGACAAGGTATTTACTCACTACTTGGGATGGTCTACGTTCATGCCTTCTCCGTGTCCGATGTCAAAATCGACGATCAGCAGTGAAAATAGATGAAAATACTCTACTGCTATAGGCCAAAAAAAAAGTCTCCGGTTTCTGGTATGCGCGCGCGTGGCCGTAGCCATGCGCGTCGGCAAAATGAAAAAGTTTTTTTTTCAATGAAAGATGATGTCTCAAAACCGCCAAACTCACTGGTTTGACTGGAATCCTGCTGCTGCACAATTTTAACGTGTTTTCAGATGGGGAGTTATGATCGAGAATAAGCTTTATGTGGCCTCTCTGGTCTTCCATAATATTTGCACTAAGTTTAGTCGGGCACCATTTGCTGTCATCAGCCGACATTTAAAGCAAAAAAAACAGATAAAAAAAAAAAAGCCGCGTCGCCGCACCACTCTTTGGGCAAGCTCCATACCAGAAACCGGAGACTTTATTTTTTGGCCATAGGGAGCCTCTCTCAAAATTTGTAGATATAAGTGGAGAGTGTAAGATGATGGTCTGAATGCAACAAGGTGTTGGATCGAAATCAAAGTTATTTCGCAGCAGGCCTTACAAGAAAACTAACCGAAACGCCCGGAATGTCAGCTATTTCTCTTAACAAAGCGCGCGGTGGAATGCAAAACGCTACGCCCATCGCATAGTAGAGCAAAATTCTCGGCGGCGCGCGCTGTGAAAAAAAGTTTAGTTGGCCGCGAGAGGGCACTAGGCAAAAAGCATGATCGCAATGGCTGCTCACATGTAAAATGACACAAACACGAAGTTAAGAAGTTATGAAATGAATGCTGGAGTAAGGAACCAGTCGGGTAAAAGTAAGTACTGAAACCCGACCTGGTTACAGTAGTAACAAAGTATAATCTTCGAGACTTTATGCCATGACAGGTCCACCAATTTGACTTGATTAAAGTACCATTCATCAGGTGAGACATTCTACTCATGGACGAAATTGAGGAATGCAAATCGTGTTCGTCTTTGTACACATCCAGCTTTTCGAACAACTATTCCTTTTGGGTGAGTTCCCTCACAAGCCTGGCAAAGTCTTCCTTCAAAAACTGACCCGCTTCACACTCAAAGACCTTTTTGACTGTCTGAAGCGTTTCCGGCAAGGAAAAGTCTTGATCACCACGCAGCTTGATCGGCACGATGTACTCCCCACGGCCACCCCTGTTTTTGATGTCCTGCTTTAATCCAAGACTGATGGCGTACGACTCCCATCCCTCGCTCTCCGGTAAAGTGCCGTCGAGAGGGTGAGGATGGGGCGTGAGGACGACAACAAACTTGTGGCTCTTCTCTACACAATCCAAAAACGCTTTGAACACGTTTTGTCCGACTCCATTGTCTCGTGATTGCAGACAGGCTCGAAGCCCGTGCTCTGACTCCAACTTGTTGACAAACGCCTCCGCCCACTGACTATCTCTGTCCGCGAACCACAGGAAGAAGTCATAAGGGTAATGATGTCGCTGCTTCTTGTTGACCTGCCCGGCTGGGTGTTGGGACGGTGGAAACGCTACGAAGTAAAGGACTCGGAGAATCCTCACGTAGTCTGGTTTCTCTACGGTGCTGTAGTGGTCGAAGTCATCGGTGAAATAATCCGAATGATCTTCAACAAGGGTTGTGTTTAAGATCTTCCTGCGGGCCTCTTCAGCTTTCCACAGTTGTAGTTGGCTTCCTTCACTCTGGCCTGTCATCTCAAGGCACTTGGCCCACCGCTGATGAGTCTGCACCGGGTCAAAGAAATGATCGTGTTCACTGCGGATGGCCAGTGCATATTTCTTGATGGCATCTTTGATGTTACCAAGGAGAAAATAAACGTATCCCAGGCCGGCGTAGTCTGCTGAATAATTCCTGAGTTCGAGAGCTACTTTGAAATCTACCTCAGCATCATGAAGCCACTCTTTGCCCCCTTCTATGTTAATGTCCTCCTTTTGGGCTGCTTCGTACATGGCCACGAACATGTGGGCTCGATAGCGATACGCAACGTGCGACTGACTTTTCTGGAGTGATTTTTCAATGAACGGCCGGCCTTTCTCAAAATGTCCCAACTTGACGTATTCATAACCTACTCTGCGGTTAATCATGATGTGCTCCGGGTGCATCTCCAGGCACTTTTCGAAGCACTTGTCCGCTTGGAGATCCCGGAAGGCTGAGTCATCGGGAAATGCCATGCCGAGGTTCCTGTGTTTCGGGTCGTGATTGACTAGGATCCCCAGGAATAACCACGACAAAGCTTTGTAATCCAGGGAGATGTCTGGTGTGAGTGCTACCTTTAGGAAAACTCGGCACGCTTCCTTAAACCCCTTAAGGATCCGCTCATCAGAGTACCACTCGGAATGCTCAGGTACAAACGTTGTTCCTCTTGCAAGTTCTCTGAGATACAGCATCTGGAAGTCTCTCTTGTACAAAGCTAGAGCTTAGTCAAAAAGCCATTCTGCTATCAGTCGGTCGTCATCACACTGCCTCCCGATGGCCACAGCCTTCTTGATTAATCTCATGTACCGGAAGTTCAGTTTGTGCTCCAAGTAACGAATAGCGTGGGCCTTATCCACGTACGCCGTGGCTCTCTCGGCGTTGCACTTTGTCGTCAAGATCTGAGTCAGCCTAGTGTGGAATTCTTGATAGTCTTTTATTTGGGATAACTCGTTGTGTATAAAAGCCAGGTTCCCCAAGGCGTTGATGTTGTTCTCATCCTTGTCCAGGACATCGTGGAAGAACCCCAAGGCTTCCTCATATTTATCGAGATGGTAGGCGATGAACCCCTGCATGTTCCGGACGGCCGTGTAGTAGGTGGGACGGTCGTTGAAGTCCCACTCCTCCTTGGAAAGGATGCCTTCCTCTCGGCTTAGTGTCGTCTTATCTGCAACATAGGGGCGCAGCTCGGGCCAGTTGAGGTGGCAGCCCAAGGAGTCTATAATGACTTTCTCGTCGGCCATGATGTCATGCAGATGTCACGCACAACGCATCTTCTATAGATCCGTCGACATGTCAAAGTGTGTGGTACCTCATCGCTGTTCATTCCATAGATGCGATTGGGAGCAGAACTGCACAGTGGTGAATGTAGGACCCCAGGAAATCAAGAGAGTTGGCCCGATAACCTTGGAAAAGATGGATTCTGCAATAAAACGAGAAACAAAAACACCTTGTAAGTCCACTGACTTGTTGGTGACACTCGGTAGACGCTGCAGAATAGACACTGCCAAAGTCAGAAAGTATTGAGTTGATCCTCTCTTGTTTGTAATATTAAGTGATTGATTTCCCCAAATGCTGTTCCAATAAGCATCCAGAAATTCTGGACATATAGATAAAGCAATTTTAAACGAACTGTTGTCAGCAAACTGTTACATTCTTTGCCACAGTGGGATTACACGGTAAAGCGTTATGCCTATACATAGGATGACATGAACTCGGAATTCGATCCTCACACGCGGTTGCTATGTGATGCAAATGTGGGGGTGTGATTCCCCTATTGATTTGAGCACTCGTCATGTGACGCACAATGAATGAACGTATACAATTTGGGGGATTTCCAACGACACCGATATCGACCGTAGCAAGGAACTTCACAGCTGAGGTGCTCGTTTCTGTTATAAATAATGTTCGATATATATCAGGATAATGGGATACAGATAGAGATGTCTATTACATGAACTGTATTTAAAACCGATCATGCCGAGGATTCGGTACCGCTTGAAGTGGCGATGTTCAGTTTGGGGGAATACGATTTTCTGAACCAACCAGGAATTGATTGGAGATTCTAAATCCTGCTATGTTTGATCGACACTATAAAACATTCCGTATTTTAGTCTCGATACAACCACAACCGATGTGACATCATACACAGTGTCACTTTTAATGCTTGTTGGACATTATTGAACACATCCTGAATTGACCAAAATGTGTAATTTATGCGTGTACATTGTATACAAAAATGCCCCCAAAATAATCAAGAGTAATAATTAAGGAATCATTGTCTGTACTCACACAAGGAAATGGACGACTGTAGGCATCATGGACGACTGCAGATTTGTATCATAAAGCTTTTCGAGATTTGCCGTGATTGTGCAGACTAAATACGCGGTAAAGGAGCGAAGTCCTCTCACAACAACTATGGTTGGCCTTGACGACAACCGAACTTCGGACTTGCCTTGTCTAGTCCATTGACGACAGTTCGATCCACATGAATGCACTACAAGTGTGAACCAGCCTATACGGCAGTGCTTCCACAAATTTTAATTTCCTTAGATTTGAATATTTTGTTTTGCCTGAGATTTCCTTAGATTTTTTTTTGGAATTTCCAGACTTACTTCCTTAAATAATTTTAACTTAGATGTCACCATGGTATGATAAAAATATGAATATTTCTTACAAGTTTAGTTTCTCAGTTTCTCATCATCAAAATAATGATCTTCGAAGCTATTAAACTGCGCGTCATAAAAAAGGGCGAAGGATCTCCAAAGTTTACTGTTGCCTAAGTTATTTGTTTATAATTATGTCGACTTTTAATAATGTTATCATTGGTTTCTCCAATCACTAGTTTACATTGTTAGGCCAAAAAAAAATTAAAAATAGTCGGTCTCTGGTCAGCGCGCGCGTCGATTTTAACCCATGCGCGTCAACCTTTTTGTCTTCAAATTGTCCGCGGTAGTTACAGCAGCGCCCTCTATTGCCGCACCTCCTCAAATTTTTGTACCAAGGAATGGGGAAATTGCACCAAGGCAAATGATGGAGGACACCAAGGCAAATTAATGAGCACACCAATGTTTATGAGAACACCAAAAAGCAAAAAATAGTACCCACCTTGTCTGTACAATCCAAGCTTGAAAAAAAAAAGCCAAGAAAAAAAAAAACGCGTCGCCGCATCAATTCCGGAACTTTGGCTGACCAGAGACCGACTATTTTTTTTGGCCTTACCTCTTTAGATAAAAAATATACTTTGAACGTGAAAAACCTAGAATGGAACCAATTAAATAAAAATAACATGTGAAAAGTAAAAAAAAAATCAATAACCAAAACAACACATGCGTGTTATTCTTACAATCAAATAATTATATTTGGAACAAGACCCCCCGCCCCCCCCTAAAAAAAATGCCAGGCTACGCTTCATGAAAATTGTTGGATGTGCCTCAGAAAGTTACGTACATAATCAAACTCGACCAATGTCTATAAAGCTAATATATAGTAACGCATTTTTGCTTATGTTATGCATGTGCGTGAGCGTGACACCGTAATAATACGACGTAACAACCTACGAATTTGACGTGATATTTAAAACTCCTTCGGTAAACTGTCTGCTGTAAAGCTAAGTGCCAGTTTTGTGAAATTATACATTGGAAAAACGCGTTCGTCTATGCGCTAGCACCACATTTGGTAAAAAGAAAGCTGTGTTATTTGAGTCTACCAGAGAGCTTTGCATTTTTGGTAAGGTCCAGCACCAATTTGCTCAAGTCCTCTGTCAAAATCTGCCCATCTTCGCACTCTATAACATTTTTATAATCCTGGAGCTTTTCTGGCAGAGGGCAATCAAGTAACCTGATCGGCAGGATGTACTCCCCTTCACGTACTCTGGTAACTCCCTCCTGTAATCCTTGCTCGATGACAAAGGACTCCCAACCCTCACTTCTCTGATCCGATTCCTTGAGAGGGGAAGGGTGTGGTGTGAGGATGATGACCAACTTGTAGCTGCCTCCCAAACAGCTGGAGAGCCCGTCGAACACACCCGTGTTGGCCAAGAGGTCTCGCGATTGCAGGCAGCATGACAAATTGTACTTTGTCTCCAGCACTCGCACAAACTCATCGGTCCACCGACTGTCTCTTTCCGCATGCCACACAAAGCAGTCGTAGGGGTACTTGCAGTCAGTCCTGGTCTGTCTCGAAGATGACGATGGAGGCTCTACGAGGTGGTAGTCTTCAATAATCCTCACGTAGCCCGGTTTCTTTGCGATCTTGTAGCTTGTGATGTCATCACTGCCCAGGATCTTTTCAGCAAGGGGTGACTCCAAGATTTTTGCTCGCACCCTCTCGGCTTCCTCTTTTTGCATCTGGCTGCCTTCTTTCTCACCTGCCTCTTTGAGACACTGAGCCCATCTTTTGTGTGTCGACACCACTTCGAAGTAATCGTCCTGCTCAGCCTTGGTTGCCTGTAAAAACTTGGTCAGGGCCTTTTCTCTCTCCCCAAGCAGGTAGTAAACGTATCCAAGGTCGGAGTAGTCCGCGTGACACCTGTTCCATGACAGCGCCTTCTTGTAATCTCTTTTAGCTACTCGGAGTAGCTGTCGAGACTGAAGTGTCCCCTTATCTTTCTCCTCGAGTTCTTCGTACATTGTTAGATACATGACGGCTCGGTACCGGTACGCAAAGTGCGATTTGCGTTTACGCAGGGATCTGTCCAGAAGATCTCTGGCTTCTTCGTAGCGTCCCAGCTTAACATACTCAGTGCCAACTCGACGGATAACGACGAAGTGCTCTGGATGGATGGCGAGACCTCTCTGGAAGCAATGATCCGCCGTCTCGACTCGAGCCTCCCGGAAGGTCCGCACATCAGGAAATGCTGAGGAGATGATTCTGTGTTCCGGGTCGTGATTGACAAGGATCCCTATGAACACCCAAGACAGAGCTTGGTAATCTGGGGAGGGGCTGGTGCGTATCACCTCCAGGAAGAATCGGCAAGCCGCCTTGAATCCCTCCATGATCCTATCGTCAGAGTACAACTCCGAATGTTTGGTATCAAAGTCTGCCTGCTTGGCAAGGCGTTTGAGGTACAGCATTTGGCCGTCTCTCCTATACAAAGCCAGGGCGTAGTCAAAGAGCCACTCTGCTCTTTGTGCGACCTCGCAATTCCTCCCTTGTCTTAGGGCCCTCTCAATGAATCTCATGTACCGAAAGCACCGTTTAAATTGCTCGAAGTTGCGAATAGCATAGGCCTTATCTGCGTAGGCTCTGCCCTTCTCTGCGTAACATGCTTTTGACAAGATGTCAGTAAGCTTGTTTCGGTATTCTTGGAAACTTTTCATTTGGCATAGCTTTTTGTGTACAAAAGCCAGGTTTCCAAGGGCGTTGATGTTGCGCTTGTCGACTCTCAGGACGTCGTGGAAGAAAGACAGGGCATCGTCGAACTTGTTGAGGTGGTAGGCGATGAATCCCTGCAGATTCTTGGTACAGGTGTAATAATTCTGACGGGTGTCGGTGTCAAAGTCTTCCTCGGCGAGGATACTTTCCTCCCGACGGAGAGTGTCCTTCGCCTCCACGATGGGACGGAGCTCGGGCCAGCTCAGATGGCAGCCCATGGACTCTATGAGCTCATTGATCTCATACTGGCGGTCCATGGTGTTAGGACATTATCTAGGTATTGAAGACACTCTGTAACTTAAAGAGCTTACGGGCCTCGAAACCGTCTGTTGAACACTCCAACCTTCCGTTGGTCGATGCTCGAGTCATATGTGGAAAAAAATGCTGAAACAATCTTTACAGACGATAATTTATCACACCAAGCTGCAAAGGTTAAAGGGTATTTTACCTGCGTCGTCGTAGAATGATGTGGTATAATACACGCAAGAATATTCAATACACACATTGGTATGCATACGCAGCATCAATGCAATTTCTTCGACTTTGATCCCGACATCATGTCGTGGAACGTTACGATAAGAGAAATGATTGGCACGGCACTGCTTGTCATTTATGTCTTCCGTCAACTAATACTGGGAAGAACGTTGTGAATGATAGTCATTAAACACATAGGCTATACGTGTGCTTAAAAAACAAAACCGTTTGTTCCACGTCAGCGGGAATTTTTCCATGCATCACATATTAACATGTCATGTGGATATCACTCATTCTCTACAGCCTGTAGTTTATAATATTGCTGGCGGGTACGGTACAGCCACGGATTCCTAGTTCCGATATTCTTAGAATTTTGTCAGGAAGACCCAGGCAGGCGCCATGATCCCACGACTGGAACCCTGATTCAACCCTGGCGCAACCCTGATTCAATTTTAAATGTCTTCGTAGGATTTCGAGGGACAAATCCTTTTTATTTTCTCAAAACGCGAAGAGTTATTGTGTTACACATGAACAGAACAAAATGTATCTATTGGTTTCAAAGATTAACTCCATGGCTCCCATTAATAACTAGCTTAACCTCCTATATACGACAGGCAGGTATTGCAACTGTTTATCACAAATATTTCAAATTACACCTTTCAAAGACGGAAAGCAACAAGGATTTTAATAGCCAGTTGAAAAAAAAATATCGTGGACTTGGGCCCTTTTAATATTTAGGTTTCAATGTCTTTGAAGGATTTCGAGGGACACGTTTACATTTCTCAAACGGAAAAATAAGAATATCTATTTGCTACACAGGTAAAAAAAATATTCAACTACCGTTTATAAAGATAAGGTTCCCACAAAATTGGCTTCACTTCATTTTACAAGTCTTAGAATTGGTTTATCAAAACTCTTTCAAATTGAGCTGGTCAATGAGCGAAAGCAGCACCGAAACTCCGCTGTCCACTCAGTCCTACACCAAAAATGTTGTAAAATTAAATCATTGCTTTTGGGAGCAGGACTCTAATACAGGTTAGATGTAGGGGAGATGCCTAAAATCTGAAGAGAAAGTAAAACATGGATTTATCTTGATTAGACGTCCTGATCCCCACCCTTACCACTGCAGGAAAGGAACTAATTATCAGATCTTAAAAGGGAAGGAAACTGATCGAAATCAGATCAACGTTGTTAATTTCACGATATTTGCATTACAATGCAGACAGACATTAGATATAGGTTGTCCACCAAAGGAATGAATTTGATTATAACACATCATAAAAATTAAAGGGGACGCACCTGTGTTCACAGGAACGAAGTTCCCATCGCTCTTTCTGTAGCGATTGGGCCAGATTCATATGCTGCTGCGGAGGGATCGCCACACCTCCTCCGCAGCGAGTCTGTTACCTTCCCAGCATTGAATAATGCCGGTATCCATTTTACACCTGCGTTGAGATGAGCAATTGAGGTAAAGCGCCTTTACTCAGGGGCAAAACACGCATGGCCACAGCGGGTCTCGAACCCACCACCCCACCGTGAATCCTGTGGTCAACCGCTGGACCACACGTGCCCATGATGTGATATTTCTTTGGTCCAAATGTTAAATCATCGGTTTTAAACATGTACCAAACCAACTGTTAATGTACAATGAGTCAGTTAACATACACGTAATGGTAAAAGACTCTAATAGATAAGAGCAGAGTAACTAGACATGTCAATCATAAGTCAATCACTTAATGTACAATCAACAATAATAGATGCCTTCTCCATTCAAATTCAAGAGTAAACTACATTTCAGATTGGAACGTGTCAATTTCAAGCACACCTTGTTATACATGTATTTGGCATGAACATCTCCCGTTATGCGGGAAAAAGGATCCTGTTTGGTCTCCAAACGTTAATAAACATCAAATTATATTGACTCTGATAAATAAAAAAAAAAAACCTAAGTCCCTCAATGAGGAAAAGCGTAGTTTAAGACATTAAACGTTTACTTTAATGTTCCTCAGATAGATGCAGGTTCTTCAAATGTATTAATAAATAAAAACAAGGCGACAATATCACACGCGATAGTAAACTTCGTCACATATTATCAGGCTTTCATCATAGATCAGCAGGACCTTACGTTTTGGAGACAATTTAGGTACGGTTAATACAATCGTAGACAGAGGTTACTGGGTGAGGTTATTTACCAGTTCATCCCAGTGTCTCTTAGGAATCTGACCCTCTTCGCACTCCAGAATCGTTAAAGGCTCAAGAAGAATAGGGAGAGTGCATTCTCGAAGCTTGATCGGCAGGATGTACTTTCCATCTCTGTCTTTGTTATTGTTCTCAATCTCAGCATGGTTGAGGGCTGTGTGCAACCAATCCTGATCCTGTCTCTCAACCGGAGGCGTCAGGATGATGACAAACTTGTAGCTAGTTTTTAGCCATCGTATGATCTCCGAGGGGATATACCTGCCGGCGGTGAAGTCTCGCCGCTGGATGCGGCCCAAGAGCCCGTGCTCTGACTCCAGCTTGTTGACGAACGCCACCGTCCACCGGCTGTCTCTCTCCGCGTGCCACACGAAGAAGTCATACTGGTACCGTGACTTGTTGGAAGATGAGTCCAGCGATTCCGGAGGATTCATTTCACTGGTGCGTCTCTTGGAATAAGCTGCCCAGAAGTGGTAGTCGTGGAGAATTCGGACAAAGCCAGGTTTCTCTTTGGTACTGTAGTGATCAAAGTCGTCGCTGAAGTAGTCCGACTGATCCTCCTCGAGGGGTGTTTCAAGGATCTTCTCTCGGACTTCTTTGGCTTTCTCTCTTTGGATTAAGACGCCTTCTGGCTGGTGTTTCTCCAGACATTGAGCCCATCGCTGATGGGTCAACACTGGGTCAAAGTCATCGTCTTGCTCACTGTTTGTAGCCCGTTTAAATTTGACCAGAGCCTCATCGGTTTCCCCGAGGAGAAAATAAGCATATCCAAGGTCTGAGTAGTCTGCGTGGAACTCCTTCTTTTTCAGAGCCTCGCTGAAATCTTTAACAGCCTCCTGAAGCCACTCTCTTGCCTGCTCTGTTCGTCTGTCCTCCTCTGCTTCATACTTGGCTAGGAACAGGAGCGCTCAATGTCGATATCCAAATTGTGACGGGCTCTTACTAAGTGATTTGTCCAGCAGAGGTTTGGCGTCTGCAAAACGTCTTTGCTTGACGTATTCAGAACCTACCCTGCGGAGAACAATGTAATGTTCTGAGTGGATATCTCGACCTTTTTCGTAACACTGTGCCGCAGTGAAGTGCTGGAGTTCTGGTTCATCAGGGAATGCAACTGCCATGCTTCTGTTCTCGGGGTCGTGATTGACAAGGATGCCAAGGAACACCCAAGACAGAGCTTTGTAATCTCTGGAGGTACTCTTGATGTGTGCTACCTCCAGGAAACACTGACAGGCCTTCAAGAATCCCTCCCTGATCCGCTCATCTGAGTAACACTCAGAATTTTCACGCACGGAGTCAGCTTCTTTGGCAGCTTCTTTGGCAGCTTCTTTGGCAGATTCTTTGGCAGCTTCCTCGGAAAGTTTTTTGAGGTACAGCATTTGAATGTCCCCGGAAGCACCGCTTAAACTGCTCGAAGTAGCGAATAGCATAGGCCTTATCCGCATAGGCCGTGGCTCGCTCGGAATAACTGGCCTCTTTCAGAACACAAACAAGCCTCCCCTGGTAGACCTTGTGTTTGTCCATCTTGCACAGCTTCTTGTGGATTAAAGCCAGGTTTCCCAGAGCGTTGACGTTGTTTGCGTCCTTGTCCAAGACGTTTTGAAAGAATTCCAATGCCTGTTTGTGCTTGTCGAGATGGTAGGCGATGAATCCCTGCAGGTTTCGAGTAGCCGTGTAGTAGGTGGGGCGGTCGTTGAAGTCCCACTCCTCGGCCTCCCTGGCAATGATGCCTTCCTCTCGACTGTGGGTCTGTCGGTCTGCAACCACGGGGCGCAGCTCGGTCCAGCTTAGGTGGCATCCGAAGGATTCTATTACATTATCATCCCTATCATCAACGGACGCCATGTCAGTGTTGACACGACGCGCAACAATCTGCTGCGTAGACTACCAATGGATATAAGTTGATATTAACAGGAGTGCTTGACGAATTTGCATCACATCAACATTCAACTTAACCAACCGCTCCCTTAGCCTGGCGTCAGGACAAAAATCCACATTTCAGTTGCCACTGACAACACCGTCAGAGGGCATCGAAGACACTCTGTGAGGTAAATACGAGCTATAATCGAAACTGTCTGCAGAACGCTCCAACCGTCCGTCGGTCGAGACTTGAGCCATATGTGCAAAAACTGGCTGAGGCAATCTTTACATAGGCCTACGATAAATTTACCACACCCATCTGTAAAGGTTAAAGGGTATTTTTATGTGTCGTCGTAGAATGATGGGGGTATATGAAATAATATTCAACACACGCAATAATATTCAATACACACATTGGTATGCATACACAGCATCAATGCAATTTCTTCGACTTTGATCCCGACATCATGTCGTGGAACGTTACGATAAGAGAAATGATTGGCACGACACTGCTTGTCATTAATGTCTTCTGTCAACTAATATATACTGGAAAGAACGTTGTGAACCGCATAGGCACGGATTTACATAGCGACGTCGACAATTAAATCTGCATCTTTATTCTCTTTTATTCCATAGGCCATAGTCATGTTTACAATTTTAACATCACCTCAAAGGTATTTTAAAAATGGTACAAGAGTTATTATTTAAGACTGGTTGCGTATTGGGAACTCGATTTCATCCATTTTAACAAGGAAAAATAGAAAGGAATGAAATGAGAGCAGGGGAACCTGAAGCGAGGGCGCTCTTCCCGTACACCAAAATCGATAACCGATAGTCCTTCGAGAGGGCGGTATATATGGACCATCCAAAGTGTTTTTTTTCTTATGACTACTTCTTACTTTTCCGCACCCATGTACGTATCTACAATTAAGAAATACGCCTTCGTCAGTCCATAGAGCAAAACTCCTTGCTCTATGGTCCACTTCTAAAATCTGGATAAACTGTCTTTTTACGCTTAATGGAAGTATTCTTTGTTTCCGAGAAACCAATATGTAATGATGCCCTCTCGTATACAACCACTCCTTTTAACTACGTCATTTTTATTGGAAAATTTGTTTGAGCAAAAACGGACAAAATGTCAAGTTTTGTCCTGCAGACGATAGGCGCATACTGTTGAACTACATGAACGTGTACGTGTTAATAAATAGCTACACATTAATGCCCACATTGTCTGTGCTAATAATAATGGCTGCCCAGGCCCAACCCATTCCCAGTCACATATTCATAACAAAGAAAAGCACAAAGCATTTATAGCTATCATTAAACACATATACGTGTGCTTCAAAAACAAAACCGTTTGTGCCACGTCATCAGCGGGGATTTTTTTTTTATTTTTATGCATCACTTATTAACTCGTCATGTTGATATCACTCATTCTTCAGCCTGGGCAGTTTTAATATTGCTGGCGGGTACGGCACAGCCAGGGATTCCCAGTCCGGATATTCCGAGAATGTTGTCAGGAAGACCCAGGCAGGCGCCATGATCCCGCGACTCATTGGAAGTGCCAAGCGCAGCCCTGATTCAATTTTCGTAGGATTTCGAGGGACAAACCCTTTTTATTTTCTCAAAACGCGAAGGATTATGTGTTACACATGAACAGAACAAAATGTATCTATTTGTTTCAAAGATTAACTCCATGGCTCCCATTAATAACTAGCTTAACCTCCTATATACGACAGGCAAGTATTGCAACTGTTTATCATAAATATTTCAAATTGCACCGTTCAAAGACGGAAAGCAACACGGATTCCAATAGCCAGTTGAAAAATCCATTTTGGATTGATCTTATCCGCCATGCAAAGCTCCAAGTCATATAATGACTGGAAAGCCAATTTAATAAGGTACTTTTAGATGAAAAAATGACGGAAATTGGTCAATCCGTTCAGAAAATATCACCATTTTATACACAATGACCCTAAAACCCGTCTCGTCCAAAGAAATGCGATTTTAAGAATCGTCGTTGCAATTGATTGTCTTCAACATCACCGGCGATAAAATCTCAGAAATGTGAAAAATATTCAACACAATCCCTTTGAAGGGCCGTCCTTTAAAAAAAAGTAGATTTTCTAAATCATATTGTTTGCCTAACCAGGGTTGTTGATAAAGATATTGTGTACTACAGTTGGTGACAGCTGTTGAAGCGAGTATCCTAAGTTATTTTCTGTATTGTTCCAAACAGTCAAAACACACAATGAATTGCTATTTTTGGACGAGACAGGTTTTAGGGTTATTGTGTTTCAATGGTGATATTCTTTGAACGGATCGAGCAATTTCGGTACTTTTTTCATCTAAGAGTAGCTTATAAAAATCGGCTTTCTAGTCATTACTATTTTTGGTGCTACATAGTTTTTTTAAACATGAAATATATTTTATGAGGTTTGGGTTCCGCTTTGTTTTTGACTCACCCTTAAGATAAAATGGAGGAGAAATGCCCAAAGTCTGAGGGGCCACTGAAACATGAATTTATCTTGATTAGACTTCCTGATTCTCACCCTTAACACCACAGGAAAGGAACTTAATCAGATCTTAAAAGGGAAGGAAACTGATCGAAATCAGATCCACGTTGTCAATTTCACGGTACACAATGCAGACAAACAACAGATGCATGTGGGCCACCAAAAAGGGTTGAATTTGATTTCAACACACAAGGATGTGATTTGTCTTTGGTAAAAATTTTAAAATTATCGGTTTTAAAACATGTACCAAGCCAAGAGTAATTGTGTACAATGAGTCAGTAACATATACGAAATCGTAAAATACTCCAAAAGATGAAAGCCGTGTATTAGGTCTATGTAATCAGAAGTCAATCACAAAAACGCTAATTCAACATTAAACAAAAGAATGCCTTCTCCATTCAAATTCAAGAGTTTTATCACAATATTTCAGATTCGAGGGCGAAAATTTCAAAGGCAGAATTTGCTAAATACATAACTTCGGCATTAAAAACTTGCCGTTCCAGAAAAATCTACCATTTATCGTGCTAAAAAAGGGTCCCCAAACTAAATAAACATCAACATCAACATTTCTAATTTTCTAAAAAAAAAAAATAGCTTGGAATTGGGCCCTTGTCATATTTAGGTTTCAATGTCTTTGAAGTATTTCGAGGGACACACGTCTACATTTTCTCAAACGCAAAAAGAATATCTATTTGCTACACACGTAAAGAACATATTCAACTACCGTTTATCAAGATAAGGTTCCCACAAAATTGGCTTCACTTCATTGTACAAGTCTTCGAATTGTTTTATCAAAACTCTTTCAAATTGACCTGGTCAACGACAAAAAGCAACACCGGAACTCCACTGTCCACTCAGTCCTACACCAAAATATGTTGTAAAATTAAATCATTGTTTTGGGGAGCAGGACTTTAATACAGGTCAGATGTAGGGGAGAGGCCCAAAATCTGAAGAGAAAGTTGAAACATGGATTTATCTTGATTAGACGTCCTATTCCCCACCCTTACCGCCACAGAATGGAACTTTATCAGATTTTAAAAAGGAAGGAAATTGCGGATCGGATTCAGATCCATGTGACTTTCACAGCATTACAATGCAAATGTATATTAGATATAGGTTGCCCACCAGTGGAATGAATTTGACTATGGCATACCAGGATGTGCTATTTCTTTGGACCAAATGTATACCATGAACCATAATGTAAAAAGCCTTTGAGCTGATATTTTGTATCCTTTATAAAGATTTTGAAATAAATGAATGAATAAATAAATACCATCAACGGTTTAAAACCTGTACCAAACCAAACCAACAGTTAACATAATATAATTATGTAATGGTGGGCGGTAGACTCGAAGAGATAAGAGCAAAGTTACAGTCATGTCAATCGTAAGTCAATTACATAATGAACAACCAAAAATAATAGAAGAATGCCTTCTCCATTCAAATTCAAGAGTATAAACTACATTTCAGATTGGAGCGAGTCAATTTCAAGCACAGGTTACTCTTATATAGGCATGAAAAGCTCCCGTTATGCGTAAAAACGGTTCCTGCTAAAAAAAAATAATAATTCCCAAACTTTAATTAACATAAAATATATTGGCTGTAATAAATAATGAATAAAATCTTTGGTATAAAAACCCAAAACCCCTCAACGAGGAAAAGAGTGGTTTAAGATATTAAACGTTTACTTTGATGTTCCTCTAATAGATGCAGGTTCTTCAAATGTATTAATAAATAATGTATTATTACACGTCATAGTAAACTTCGTCACATATTGATTGGGCTTTCATTATAAATCAGTGGGACCTTATGTTTTGGAGACAACTTACGCTTGATACAATTGTAGACATACTATGGTTTCTGGGTAAGGTTCTGCACCAGTTCATCCCATTGTTTCGTAAGAATCTGACCCTCTTCGCACTTCAGGGGCGTTAAAGGCTCAAGAAGGTTAGGGAGAGTGCATTCTCGAAGCTTGATCGGCAGGATGTACTTTCCACCTCTCTTATTGTTCTCCCTCTCGGCATGAACGAGTGCTGTGTACGACCACTCCTGGCTCTCAACCGGAGGCGTAAGGATGATGACAAACTTGTAGCTCTCTCTCAGACATCGTATGATCTCCGAGGGGATATCCATGCCGACGGTGAAGTCTCGCCGCTGGATGCTGCCCAAGAGCCCGTGCTCTGACTCCAGCTTGTTGACGAACGCCACCGTCCACCGGCTGTCTCTCTCCGCGTGCCACACGAAGAAGTCGTACCGGTACCGTGACCTGTTGGAAGATGAGTCCAGCGATTCCGGCGGATTCAGTTCACTGGTGCGTCTCTTGGAATAATCTGCACCAAAGTGTTTGTCTTGGAGAATTCGAACAAAGCCAGTTTTCTCTTTGGTGCTGTAGTGGTCAAAGTCGTCGCTAAAGTAGTCCGACTGATCCTCCCCGAGGGGTGTTTCAAGGATCTTCTCTCGGACGTTTTTGGCTTCCTCTTTTTGGAGAAGGCTACCTTCTAACTGGTGTTTCCTCTCCAGACATTGAGCCCATCGCTGATGGGTCAACACCGGGTCAAAGTAATCGTCTTGCTCACTGTTTGTAGCCCGTTCAAATTTGACCAGGGCCTTATCGGTTTTCCCGAGGAGAAAGTAAGCATATCCCAGGTCTGAGTAGTCTGCGTGAAACTCCTTCATTTCGAGAGCCTTGTGGAGGTCTTTGACAGCTTCTGGGAGCCACTGTCTCGCCTGCCCTGTCCTTCTGTCCTCGTCGTCAGCTGCTTCAAACATACCCAGGAACATGAGTGCACGGTGTCTATACCCAAATTGTGACGGGCTTTTACTGAGTGATTTGTCCAGCAAAAGTCTGGCTTCTTCAAAGCGTCCTAGCTTGACGTATTCAGAACCTACCCTGCGGAGAACAATGTAATGTTCTGGGTGGATATCTAGACCTTTTTTGTAGCACTGTGCCGCGGTGTAGTGCTGGAGGTCTGGTTCATCAGGGAATGCCATTGCCATGCTTCTGTTCTCGGGGTCGTGATTGACAAGGATGCCAAGAAACACCCAAGACAGAGCTTTGTAATCTATAGAGATGCTTGTGCGTGCTACCTCCAGGAAAAATTGGCAGGCCTTTAAGAATCCCTCCCTGATCCGCTCATCTGAGTAACACTCAGAATTCTCAGGCACGAAGTCAGCTTCCTTGGCAAGTTTTCTGAGGTACAGCATTTGAATGTCCCTTCGGTACAAAGCCAGGGCGTGGTCAAAGATCCACTCTGCTCTCTGCGGGCATTCGCATTTTCTACCAATGGTCGCAGCTCTCTCAATGTACCTCATGTACCGGAAGCACCGCTTAAACTGCTCGAAGTAGCGAATAGCAAAGGCCTTATCCGCATAGGCCATGGCTCGCTCGGTATAACTGGCCTCTTTCAGAACACAAACAAGCCTCCCCTGGTAGACCTTGTGTTCCTCTATCTCGCACAGCTTCTTGTGGATGAAAGCCAGGTTTCCCAGAGCGTTGACGTTGTTTGCGTCCTTGTCCAAGACGTTTCGAAAGAACCCCAATGCCTGGTCGTGCTTGTCGAGATGGTAGGCGATGAATCCCTGCAGGTTTCGAGTAGCCGTGTAGTAGGTGGGGCGGTCGTCGAAGTCCCACTCCTCGGCCTCCCTGGCAATGATGCCTTCCTCTCGACTGAGAGTCTGTCGGTCTGCAACCACAGGGCGCAGCTCGGTCCAGCTCAGGTGGCATCCAAAGGATTCTATCACATCATCTTCCCAACCATCGGTGGACGCCATGTCAGTGTACCCCCGACTGGATGTATGCAACAATCTACTGCGTAGACTACCCATTGATAGTTTGATATTAACCTGAGCACTTGACGAACTTGAATCACATCGAAATTCAACTCAACCTCTCCCTGGCGTCAGGACGAAAGTCCACATTTCAGTCGCCATTGACAACGCCGTCACTGAGAGGGCATCGACCGATAATAGTAGCTCAAACCGAACACGAACTGAAACATTCGACGCGAGTTCCCACGACATGTTCCGTGGCAAATTCCCATGGACAATCGAGCTATTATCAATGCACAGCCTGTCGATCGTTACTGAGGAATGAATTCCACTACATGCAGAGCATTATATACGGGCAATGTTTTCACACAGGTGGTTTCGTCATGGACTTCCCGTTTCGATAGGCACATGACTTCAACAGAGCCTAAACAAACAAAACGGCGAATTGTGTAATAAGGGTCACAACTTTTCAGCAATGAAACATTATACTAAACTTGCCTACTCACTGCCTCGTTTGCGAACTTAACTATAACTTCGGAATCAATCCCATTATGGGATTATTTTCCACACACATGCATAGGGGCCTAGTAAAGATGTGTGCGAAGCTTGATCCACGTACAGTAAGACCAATAGCACTCGAGATATTATTGGAGAACAAATCGTTTCGTGGCGCTGGTCTGAATACGGGTCGTTACCCTGTGGTTACTTATATGGTTATTATGATAGTCTTGGTCCGCGTACCATAATCACCCAGCTTAAAGTGTCTTTGGCACATGCTTGCAGTATAGTTTTTCATTGAGATGTCCATTGACCCTATTATGTGCATTGTTATACGTGGTTTTGTTCAGAGCGTTCCTCCGTACGTGCGTATTATGCAGCTCTTCTCAACGAAAAGAAAAAGAAAAAAACAATACAATACAAACAAACAAAACGGAAACCTTAAAACACTTTCAATCTCAATGCTCATTTTAGTAATACAAATATGGTTTAAATAATAAAATGCTCAAAGCATGGCTTCACGATCGAGCCTTTTTTTTCTCCAGGTGGGGGTGGGTTGGGGGGCACGAGCATAATATAAGGGGGGAGGGGGCAACAAGGGCGGACATATAACAACATTTTGCCTAAAGTTTTAGGGCACCGACTGGCCAGGCAAGTACTGCAAATTCGGGGTGGGGGGGGGGGGGAGAAACCGCCTCTGACGATAGAGGGCGCTGTAAAGGGTTGAAGGAATGTGGGGAATTACAAATCGAGTAAAAGAAAAAATAGTCCTCTAGGCCGAAATTCCTTTTCTGTTTAATTACTCAATCTTAATACAAAGTAAACAGATAATTCTTTGGCAAGCGGCATATTTTGTGTTTTCTTTGTGGTGTGTGTGTGTGGGGGGGGGGGGGGGCACCTATGGGTGGGCCACCTGGGGTGGGGCTGGGAATTTCTTTTTTTGGGGGGGGAGGGGGGATCACTGGTGGAGAAGCTAGCTTAACAAATTCCAGAGCACTGAAATTATCTGAATATAGACATTTCGAAGAAATCATTGCTGATATACCACACAGTATGTAGTGTCCAGTCATTATGACTCATCACCTAAAAGTAAATATTGAATCAAACTGAACGATTGTCGGAAACCTAAAATAAACAAGCCACTTTTTAACTATGAACTGTGAAGATCCAAATGGCAAGAGGTAAAGTGCACCTTTGGGCACTTTCAAACGTCTGCCTTAATAATGGCATAGAACACGATAACTCAGTCCCAAAAGATGCAAGAACATAATGAATTTCGTTCCATGGTTCGATCAGTCCCGGTCCGAAATGGGCGTCTTGGGCGATGCTCCGAGCATACGCCAAACTGCAACACAGTGTGTACCTTAAATAAACCGCACCCGGCGCCCAGCATTGATGAGTTGACTGTTAACCCGCAGAAACGACAAATGTCCCATGTCCGCAGTGACAATGTGTCATCATAAAAAGGGGTTCCCCAATATTTCCACAGACATAAAGAAACACACATTATGACTGATGTGAACACCTTCAATTTCGCGCATGCGTAGTAACTCTTCTCTAATTTTGGTTAGTTGTTTCATAACATGCTCATTCCAATCATTCACAGCTCACTCTCAAGTAAAACCCAATGAAAAGTTAAAGAATTTTCTAACAGTATCTCAAACAGCATAAGCTATAGGTCTACACTCTTGATTAAGGCATATATTGTGGCCGATAAACAGGGGAGATCGGGAAATTGTGCCTTGGATGATTCAATTAGCATGGCATTTGGCACACACAGTCAGAGTTGTATGTCTTAAGACTAAGAGAGATTAACAATTAACAATTTTCCAAATATTCAAAATGGCTGTCATTGCTTGTTATTCTACCTTTATTTCTTTTTCAAAGGCATATCTGCAATGGCCCTATAATATCTTTCCCATGACATACTCTGTGTGCCAAATGCCATGCTTGTATAAATTTGGCACTATCACATATCTGCTGTAATAACAGCATTACGTTATAGCTCCATGTTTGAGGGTGTAGCCAAATTTAAAATAACAATTTCAAGACCTTTTTTCCATAACATGGCTCATTAATGTGGCAATTGAATCTTACTAGTTCAAGCCGTCTCACTTCCTTGCCGAAGTGTCAAGTGTAGGCCTCAACAGGAAACCATGTTCAGATCGGGTCCACAAGATAGAGCGGGCGAGTCACAATAGAAGACATCGAATCTTGTTGTTTACACAGCTGTAATGTACACATTACGACTCGTCAATCATTATGCGTGTGACGGCGTGCTAAATGGAAGCGCCATATATTACCGACATATCACAAATGCGACAAGTGAACAATAACGATGGTTTGCTGATCATTAGTTAAGGTGGGATTTTCGAGACATTCTTTGACCCCACAACAATGCATTATCAGTCGGGAGGCTCAAGTTGGAGAAAAGTACACACCGCGAATAAACAGAATACAAACACAGACGCGTTTGAAATAGGTGAACGGCAGAACACTAGTGCACAATAAGCTCTGGCGAAATATGCCACGCCGATGACACATACGGAACACCATAGTTTTTGTCAATTTTTGGGACATTTTCTCCTTCTGGATGCCGTCCAATCACTACACAAAATGGAGTCCACCTTGTTTGAGGAAGATGAGTGCATGGAGGAAGGAATTAACTCCTGCTATGGAGGAAGGAATTAACTCCTGTTAATTCCTTCCTCCATGATGAGTGCGAGTGCACAATCATTGAAGCTCTGGCCGTGTTGCAAGAAGTCTTGCATGCCAGTCTTGCATGAAATCGATCAAAATGATCCCTGCCAGAGCTTAATAATGCGGGCGAAAATGCGACGCCGAAGGCTAAAAAGTAGGAAACACCATACTTTTTGGTCAATTTGCGGGGACAGACACACAGACAGACCAACCACCAAGTGACATGTAGAAGCTCCTGCTAGAGCTTAAAAAGACATACGAATAAAATATGTCAGTCGAGCATGACGAGTAACAAGAAAAACATGCATGCTTAATAACGACGTATCAGCATAAAACCATAATCGCCAAAATGTATCTTCATCTATTTATTATCGACAATTTTCATACATGTATATCTGAAGATATCTGGAATTAAAGGTAATACACAACATTAAATGCTTTCACTGTAAGTGTAAGAAATGGACGGATTTGGGGGTTAGCATTTTATAGCAAATATTGTTACAATGACTGTTTAAAGTGTTCATAGATGCTGGAAAACCAAGAAAAACAAATGTTGTACTAGTAGTCTGGTTCCCTGACCCTACTTCAGACAAAACGGAGCAGTTTATAGGTACATCGATGAATCGTCAGGTCAGGGAATCAGAGTAGCTGGCTTGCACCACCTATTCACGGATGTGAAACCGATTGCAAACAAAATGTGGACTAGTTAAATTTGATTGGGAGCGGTATTTGAAAAAAACAACCAGTTAATTTGTATTCCAACGATGGTCGGCCGACCATCGTTTTATCCAAGACTCCACTTTTCTTGAAAATGACAGCACACCATGTAACATGATTTAACAGGATGCTTGAGACTATTATTCACTTACAGTCAAGTATGGTATTTCAAAATAATGGGGTAGTTTTGTTTGCAAATGTTGCATATTACCTTTAAACTTAAATAATTTTATGATAGCATCTGAATAACTGGAAAGGTCAAACGGTAATTTGTTTGTTTTTTTGACTGTATGAGTCATCAAGCGGTCTAGTCAATTTATCAGCTGCATGCAAATTTCAATCCGTCGATCCAGGGGCCTTCGCGGAGCTGGTAAACAAAAAAAAATTCTCAGCTTAGCAAAAACAGGATGCCAGCGCAAACGCAATGCGACGAATGTGCATGGCTGGTACTTCGCTGCTTTCGGCTTAGCGGAAAACTTCGCAAGAGGTATTCTCTGATTAGCAGCTCTAGGAAGTTTAGCCCTGGTTTCCTTTATAATATCTGACCTGTTGTAAAATGTGAACCCTTTTCATGTAGTGCGCATGCGTTTACCTGCACGACCAGTCGTAATGTACAATAGGCCTACATACATGAATACACCGAGCAGGCGTTAAAATTATACTACATGTAGTCTTCTAGTGGTAACGATAACCTTTCATAGACGCTAACTATTACCCTTGTCTGGTTATACAGTCGAACACCTTTATAAGAAGGTCATTTGGACTTAACAAATTACCTTGTTATAACCGGTAGGTACCTTGTATTATCAGTAATGGAAAACAAAGGAAAAGACGGGCCTTACATCTTGCTTTAACAGTGCTCTTCTCGGGCCAAAAAAAGGCTCCGGTTTCTGGCCTGTGCGCGCGTCGGCAAAATTAAAACGTTTTTTTTTTTCAATATGATGATGTCTCAAAACCGCCAAACTGACTGGTTGGACTGGAATCCTGCTGCTGCACAATTTTAACGTGTTTTTAGATGGGGTTACGGTCGAGTATGAGCTTTATGTGGCCTCTCTGGACCCCGATACATTTTGCACTAAATTTAGTCGGGCATGGCACTATTCGCAGTCATCAGCCGACATTTGACGAAAAAAGAAAGTAAAAAAAAAAGGCGCGTCGCCGCACCACTTTTGGGGCAGGCTCCATACCAGAAACGCAAGACGTTTTTTTGGCCTTAACAGGGTTTAGCTGTATTGTCTTCCTCACCCCTACTTCATCACTTCCACTTAAGTCATCAGTTTTCTGAGTTCTTTAAAAAAAGAACCAATATTACATAGTGTCTTAGTCACATTGACACACTCTCTCCCAAAACTTCACTTTTGACAAGCACACTTGATGGCATTCGCACAGCATCAGTTATGGACACACTGCCAAATGTGTTTAAACATGTTAAAATATTTCAATAAATATCTACTGATGCATTCTCTGCCCTCTTTTTTCTTTTCACATAATATTAAATCTTACATCGTATTTTTTTTTAACAAAAAGTTTCCAAGAAAGCGAGACGAGAAATGTTTAACTTTCAGTTTAAGACAACTCTTATCGGCAGTGCGTCCACAACCGGTTTAACCACGCTCATTTCTGACTATCGATCGATATCATTTGCACTGTTTACTTAGAAATGCGGTACAGTATATGATCATTCAAAACCAATGTTCCCAGTGAGATTATATCACAAAAACCGAAAGTCAATTTTGACTTGCTACAAATAAACTTGACCTGCCATTTAACTTGCAGGGACATTGAATTTGAAATTAGTACACCCAAACAAGTATAAAACAATAAGTGATCCGCGGATCGCAAGTGTCGCCAAATGCAATAATTGGTGTACTCCTATAATTTTACTCAAATTACAGCCAAAATCATAAAATGCGATTTCAAGAATCGTCGTCACAATTGTCTTCACACATCACCAGCGATAAAACCTCAATTTCAAAGTAAAAAAAAACAAAGTCCTTTTGAAGGCCCGCCTTTAAAAAAACATCATTTTATAAATCATATTGTTTGCCTAAGCACGGTTGTTTATAAAAAATATTATTTACTTCAGCTGTTGACAAGTTATTGAAACAAGTATTCTGTGTCATTTTGTTGTTTCAAACAGTCAGAACACAGAATAAATATTGTTTTATTTTGGACGAAACAGGCTTTAGGGTTATTGCGTTTAAATGGTGATATTCTTTGAACGGATTGAGCAATTTCAGTATTTTTTTCATCTAAAAGTACTTTATGAAAGTGGCTTTCCAGTCATTATTATTTGTGGTGCTACATATTCTGTAAAATGTGAAATATATTTTGGGGGATTTGGGTTCTGGTTTTTTTGTACTCGTTCTGTAACATGACTTCAGAGGAATGAAATAAGGAAACAGTCACCGGTCAATTCCATACGGCTGCAGCTATAGTATGCACAATGTGCTGCTAATAACCTTATTTCTAAATAATGGATGTAAGTGTAACCCATGGCATGTATGCTTATGCCATGGTACTCGGCTACGTCTGGCTCAGCTCAGAGTTATTGTTCAGCGTTATATTCCTTTTGCTGAACAGCCCTATGAGATTGACCTCCGGAGTTTGAACTATTTGACACCATTTGTTTCACAAATCGACGAAACAACAATTAATACAGTCATAAAATACGACCCGATCTTCGGTTTGCAACAAAGGACACCACGGGATTTCACGGCGCTGTTAAGCACAAAAAAATTTGCTTAGCACAAAAAAATTAGTCTGGCTTTTAAAAGCAGCTCACCAGCCAAAACTCCATGAGATGTATATTGCTCCTGATTAGTATTCAGCTATTGTTTTCTTAGCATGAAAATCACACAAAGTTTTGGCTGGTAACGTGCTTTTAAAAGCTAGACTTTTTGTGCTAAGCACATTTTTGTGCTTATTAGCAGCGCCGTGAAATTGGGCCGGCTCGATTTCATGGCGATGCTTAATCATCGAGTTCTGCGCTTATGGTCACCATTATGATCGTGCTTACAGCGCTAGCAAAGAAATTCTGCGCTAGGAATGTACGCACGCGCCCAATTCCTTGCTAAAATGTATAAAAGCACGCTGATCTTTCTTCAGTTAGGCTATACGTCAGCAGAACCATGACATTGAGCCTGAACAAAACCCACAAAGAGCAGGAAAACAATTATTTTAAATTGAACTGAAGTGGACTTAACAGGTGTAATGAACAGGTGGACAGAATGTTACCGCCCTTGTGTTAGTTTCTGCACCAGTTCGTTCCAGTGTTTCTTCAGGAGTTGGCCCTCTTCGCACTCCCGGACAGTTAGAGTCTGAAGCACATCAGGAACGGAGCAATCTCGGAGCTTGATGGGTACCATGTACTCCTCACCTCGTCTGCTGCCTTCCATAACCGCCTGATTGATGGCAAATGATTCCCAGCCCAAGCTAACGGTGGGAGGTCGAGGAGTGAGGATGATGATAAACCTGTAGCTCTCCCTCAAACATCGTATCATCTCGGAGGAGACGTCCCTTCCGACCTCAAAGTCTCGCCGCTGGATGCTGCCCAAGAGCCCGTGCTCTGACTCCAGCTTGTGGACGAACGCCACCGTCCACCGGCTGTCTCTCTCCGCATGAAATACAAAGAAGTCGTACCGATAGCGGGTCCTGATGTGAGGCGTGTCCAGCGCCTCTGGGGGATTCAGTTCAGAGGTGCGTCTCCTGGAATAAGCTGCCCAGAAGTGGTAGTCTTGGAGAATTCGGACAAAGCCAGGTTTCTCTTTGGTACTGTAGTGGTCAAAGTCGTCGCTGAAGAAGTCCGACTGATCCTCCTCGAGGGGAGTTTCTAGGATCTTCCCTCGGACTTTTCTGGCCTCCTCTAGTTGTAGCAAGCTACCTTCCCGCTGGTGTTTACTTTCCAGACACTGAGCCCATCGCTGATGGGTCAACACCGTGTCAAAGTAATCGTCTTGCTCACTGTTTGTAGCCCGTTCGAACTTGACCAGGGCCTTATCTGTTTCCCCGAGGAGAAAATAAGCATATCCCAGGTCTGAGTAATCTGCGTGGAACTCCTTCATTTCAAGAGCCTTGTGGAGGTCTTTGACAGCTTCTCGGAGCCACTGTCTCGCCTGCCCTGTCCTTCTGTCCTCGTCGTCAGCTGCTTCAAACATACCCAGGAACATGAGTGCACGGTGTCTATACCCAAATTGTGATGTGAGCATATCAAGAGATTTGTCCAGCAGAAACTTGGCCTCAGAAAAACGTCCTAGCTTGACATATTCCGACCCTACCCTGCGGAGAACAATGACATGTTCCGGGTGGATCTCCAGGCCTCTTTCATAGCAATCTCCTGCCGTGAGGTGTTGGAGGTCTGGTTCATCGGGGAATGCCATCGCGATGCTTCTGTGTTTCGGGTCGTGATTGACAAGGATCCCCAGGAATACCCAGGACAAAGCTTGGTAATCCCTCGAGGTGCTGGTTCGGGCCACATCCAGGAAAAACCGGCAGGCCTTCAGGAATCCCTCCCTGATTTTGTCATCCGAGTAGCACTCAGAATGCTCAGGCGCGAAGTCTGCCTCCTTGGCAAGTTTCCTGAGGTATAGCATCTGGACGTCTCTCCTGTACAAAGCCAGGGCATAGTCGAAGAACCATTCTGCTCTCTGCGGACCGTCGCATTTTCTCCCGATAGTCGCAGCTCTCTCGATGAATCTCATGTACCGAAAGCACCGTTTGAACTGCTCGAAGTAGCGAATAGCATGGGCCTTATCAGCATAGGCCCTAGCCCTCTCTTCGTAACTAGCTCTATCAAGAACCCTCTTGAGCTTGTCCCAGTACTGATTCCGCTCGTCAATCTCGAACAGCCTTTCATGGATGAAAGCGAGATTTCCCAGGGCGTTGATGTTATTCTCGTCGTTTTTCAGGACATCACGGAAGGACCCCAAAGCCTGGTCGTGCTTGTTCAAGTGGTAGGCAATGAATCCCTGCAGATTCTTGATAGCTGTGTAGTAGGTGGGGCGGTCGCTGAAGTCCCACTCCTCCCTGGCAAGGATACCTTCCTCTCGACTGAGAGTCTGTCGGTCTGCAACCACGGGGCGCAGCTCAGTCCAGCTCAGGTGGCATCCGAAGGATTCGATCACGTCATAACCAGAGGCCATGATGCCGTGGTATTCCCTCCGCCTGATAGTCTGATGCCCATCGCAGTAGTTCAAGCTACCCATGGATCTGAACTGCCCAGACTGGCGATGGGAATCGTGATTTAATTTTCAGTGTCATTCAGACAGCGAAACTGACCTCTACCCGCCACCTCCGTCCATCCTTACTTGAGAATCCAAAGCTCTCTTCTCAGCAATAAATTCGGGAACATAACATTCCTCTGAGGATGTTGTTAGAAACAATTTCGCGCATCACAATTCATTCAGTTTCCTAAAAGATTTCAAGAGTCGAGGTGGTGCTCACGGAAATCTTCAAGAAGCTCACAATCTCTATGTGTAATACTCTTTCAATGATGAAAAGAATGTGTTCGGATGGACGCACACCTTAAAATGTACACAAAGTGTATAGAAGTTGCATCAGACTATTTATCCACAATATGTGTTGCGCAAACACGTAGTAAATAAACCATCCAGCGACACCACAAACACGTCAAGCAAGTGCACTTTCGATGCGTCGTCCACAGAGCAAAACGTACATGAACTGTACATGCTATACTCGCATTTTCGCCTGCATAGTTTTGCCTCATGATCCCAGACCAGTGAAATTGAGGATAACTTTTAGTTTCTACATCATACTGTGTACTTCTGTGCAAAATAAATAAACTTTCCAATGTGAGAGTTGACGTGTGCACTCGGACCGTCTGTTACCGTGTACGTGGTTAACTATCATTAGTGGCCATAATGATTCAGCTCCTTACGCGCACACCGTCATGTCCATGATGTTGCGAAATAAGGGGGAAAACACCAAAAAGTCACCAACTGCTGCCTTGCAGGTTTACAGGTTGCAAGTGCAAGACGAGTGTCGTGAAAGAGAAAGTTCTGTTTACAAGGAAAGCACTCCATCCACGCAGTACAATGTTGTGTGCCTTTATCGATCCGTGTAGTCTGAAGTAGTCTGGTTTGCCTTTCCAAAAAAAAAAAATCGGTGTGCGATGAATGTACATGTACAGTCGACAACTGCACTTTTCTGTCTGACAATATTATTATCAGGATAACTCCTCCGTCTGTAACACGCTACAATCTGTTCAATATCTTCCATAAAATGAGTTTTTCCAAAGTGAAGTTCGAGGAATAGGTGGTGAAACTGCGAAGTGAATCCAGGTATACCCGTGATACAGTCAGGGTCCCTGCTGTACGCGTGCGGTTAGCTTGTCTGCTCACGTACCAGTACACCCAGCCACAGCAAAACAGAAACTGCAAAACCACTTCGAGCGTGGGACGGACGTCAGCATACGGTATTCATGTACAATCAACGAAACAACGGCGGGGAATTCCACACAATGTTATATGCACGTCCACACAAGAAGCTGAATCCAAGCGCTTATTCGCTAGGCACATAGATGTATGATGTGAGGTACATGTACATGTAGTGAACATGACTGTGCAGACTAAATAATGCAGCCGGCCTCATGTGCAGTATGTTGATGAAGAAACGAATGCTGTCTGTCTGGTGACGCGTGTCAAAGGTCAACTTTCACGTCTCCCCCGGGCGTCAATCTTTGACTACATGTAAGCGGGGACGGCCAATGGAATTTTTATGTGTTCATCTTCCCATGATCTTCTCAAAATTGAAATGAAATGAATTTGCTAGAATATGAAAATAAGGTGTCAATGATCGAAAGATTATTGACACCAAATTTAAATTAATGATACAATACTATAAATTATATCGGGGTCTGATGGGCTATATATATATTATGAGGAGCGAGGTCTGATTTAGATAGGTGGGCGCTGAATTCAACCAGATAGATCGCAATAACGGAGCATCTCCTTTCTGAGAATTAAAAAAGAATATGGACAAAAAATTCTAGAATCAACAACTAAACATCAGGAATTACGAAAGAAAACTTTTCTGTGGGGAGGATTTAATATATTTTTTTTGAGGGGGGGGGGGGGCGGTGTTTAAGTCCCGCCCCGTTGAAAAAAAAAACACAGCTGAAATACAGGTTGCCTATGGACTGTATAGGGCGAGCTACTCTAAGCATAATCACGAGAGTGTAACTATGTTACTCCATGCATGGTCAAAATATGGAATAAGGTAACAAAAAATATGTCCATTGTTCACAAACAATGAAATGAATTTTCTGTTGGTTGCCATAAAAAGGCCCATTGCCTCTGTAAAGCCAGCAACTCCGAGGTTTCTATGCTTGCGCATACGTGCAGTTTATGCAGCGGCGCCGCTGGGCCTGGGTACTCCACCCTGACCGAGCTGCCAAGCAAAGGTCACGCGCGTGACTATGCCTGTGTGGAATTTTACGCGGAGGGAATTCCCCGTTTTTGCTCCGTCTGGTCATTAAAGCTACAGTCCATCATTTGTAATTTGTGCATTTTGTTCGTTTGTGCGGTTACCGTTAAAATTTGCGATACAGCTGGGCGATTAGAATAATGTTAGACGGGACAGCTGGGGATATTTTTAATTTCGGGAACATTATTTTTGAGGAGCGATCGATCTTTCAGGTACTTGCTTTTGTTTCACAAGGATACGCATAAACATTAATTTTATCATGCTGCCACCATTTCAGTCATGTTCCCTGTATCCAATAACAGTACTGAATGATAATGTTTGTAATGCAAGAAGGAACCAGAACTTTTTTCCTTCCAGCCTCGCTTTGGTTACGTTGATTTGAATGGGGAAAAAATCAATAATACCGAAGTCTTATATAGATAGATATTTAAAGGTGGCTGCTGAAATAAAACAGGTCTGTTTCGGGCAATTCAACTTGGTTTTCGCTTAATTAAATTCACAGGGAGTTTTTGCTCATATATTTCAAAGAAAGACAGACAGAAAGCAAGAGAACTGGCACGGAATATTGGTCGGAGCAAGCAGCTAGATTTATGATAAATAGTCCTAAAACCATGTTGCCTCGCGGTTAGTCACGAGATTATTCATTTTTTTTGCTAGAGTTGTTCCTCAACTAACAGCACAGTGCAGGCTGCATCATGATTTAACAATAGCACTACATTCTGCGGGGTGGAAACTGCGGGCCCTGAAAAAACGGTGAACCCGGAAATCCAGGGGAAAAACTCAGAAGGAGTTGTATGGGTATTAAAAAGCAGCTGTGTACATTATTGAGTTGGAAGCAACATGGCGGCCGGAGTGTGCAGTTGAACTGGCGACACGGTAATAGTTGCATTGCCATCGACGCGGCTTGGTGGCGAGTCAGCTTTGGAAGACAATAGATGCGTCAGTGGCTTTGTTTTTAGATTTGTATGAGTCATTGGACGGGACCGTTCAGGTAACACTTTCTGCTATTTACCATACATTACATAATCAAGATTTACAGAAGTAGCATAGTGGGGATTTTTACCTGTTAGTGTTAAAGTAACACTAACATTTATTACATAATACTACTACAAACTGGTTATTAAAGGGTGCAGCGCACTAAGTTGAGCTCCCAACGTTATTATAAGGGGTTAAAATTTTGCATGGTGAGAGACAGTTGTCTTTTTGTCTATTTATTAGTATCTCTAAACTAAATCTCAAAATAGTGCAATTTTTAACGAGTGCACGTTACTATAGTGTTCATCTAAAGTAAGTATAAACAATGGTAAGTAAACTATTAAATGGTAGGTAAACTAATGGTAAGTAAACTACTGCATGGGCACGTCGCGAGGGGGGGGCCGAGGGGGGCAAGGGGGGCGCTTGCCCCCCCCCCCCCGGAAAAGCCAAAAAAAAAAAAAAGAGAAAAAGAAAAGAGAAAAAAAGAAAAGAAAAAGAGGCGCGAAGTCACAGTGGTGTAAATTTAATGAGTTGGGGGGGGGTGCAAAATGTCCCTGCCTCCCTCTAAAACTGAGAAATCGAGAATATGTTGAGAAATACAGGAATTTTTTGGGAAAAAAATGTTTTGCACCCCCTCTAGAAAACATCCTGGCGACGCCCATGAACTAATGGTAAGTAAAATAATGGTAAGCAAAATAATGGTAAAATAATGGTGTAGGTCGTTTACTCTGGTTTTATAAGATGAAATGTATCACTTGCTCGTTATTGCTTTTAGTCTAATGTAAACTTTCCATTGGATTCAGTTTGCTGCAAATGAAAATATGAGTATTTTCGGAACCTTAAGCTCAATAATATGATGGAAAACCACACGCACGGTAAGAAAGGTGCAAGAAAGGTAGCTGTAAGGTGAATACATGTTGCTTTTATCAACTTTGGAAAAGTACTTCATCAAAACATTAATACGGAGTTACATTCTAAGTTTTTCTTTCAAAACGTGTATCAAAATGTATACAGCTTGGAATCGAACTGACCTTTTGTGGAGAACCTACTACAGTGTTTTTTTTCTCGAGAATGTTTTTTTCCCGATAATATAAATCAACCACGATGCGGGATTTTTCGTATAAAGCTCCCTGCGGAGTAATGACATAGCAGTCGGGGTTTCGGATTTGTGAGATTTCGATTTGGTTGAATGCTTTCACCGAGAAGACAGACTATACACCCGGGGCAATTAGTAAGTTTGCAGCTTTATTTGGCTGTATGGTACGTTCATTCTATTATTATGATGATGCTATTGTGTAGGAGAAGGACCAATACGTGCACGAAGGGGCTTGTAGGGGGCCAATTAAGTTTCCAAACTGTTTGTCTGAGTTGTGGCAGGGCACAGTATAAGATCTGCATTTAAGCTTCTTAAAAAAAATAATGCTACAACCAACCATATGTGTGTAGTCTGCGAAGTAGAAATGGTTAGGATTGACCCAAAGTGTTGACAATTCCTGGCAGTGGCGATTGTATTTTTTCAACAACAACAAAATACACAGAGCCAACCATCGTTGTTAAAAAGTATATTTTTTTTGCTGCGTGTTTGACTTAGACTTTTAACGGGGCTTTTTCTAGTGCAGACAATGACAAATACCAACACTCGAGTGATACCACTAGATACACTGTTGACATTTTATTGTTGATATTTATTTACAGGACGTGGCTTATCAGGTTCAGCGAGCGATAACATTATAAATTGCATCCTTTGGGAAATTATTGCAATAATATATTTATTGAATATCTCGCTCTGTACATACCACTGTCGATAAATACAGGTTCAATATGCCGCTACTTCTTGTTCATGTTTTTGAAATCACGATTCGTGCGATTGCGGAGGGACTTTAAAATACGAACTGCAGTGGCTTAACTGGGGGGGGGGGGGGGGGGGGGGGGGGCACGTGTCCCCCCAGTGTCCCCCCAGTGGATGTCCGTTCCCCCTCATGTCCCCATTAAACATCTTGAATTGAACAGAAATAAATATGTATCATTTGCCTTTAGTGTCCCCTTGAAAAAAATTGGTGCACCCCAAGTGCCCCCCCCCTAAGTTCAAACCTAGCTCCACCACTGATTACGAAGTCGTAGATACATAGAAAAGAAAGAAATTGAAAACAAACTGCCATGACGTTGTGACGTTCCGACGAATTCGATCTTGTTATTTATGAACCGAATCGATCTTTAGAAATTTAACTATAAATCCGTAAGTTTTTCATTTTTTTAATAGTAAATCGCCGGCCAGAAATGTCTGATTCAAACTGCTGATCCATACATCTGGTGCGCTTTAAAAAGAATTCGCCCAGATCGATCCTTCGTTGTAAATTCTAAAGAAAAACAATACCACCACCGGCAACACACACACACAAAACAAAAACAGAAACATTGACTTGTTTTTCTTTGACTGAAATCATTTTGATCTTAATCCAGGAAACTAGCGATTCCGCATCACTACAATAATTTCTAATCTTGCCTTTTCTCTTTTTCGACATTTCTTATTAAGCGATAAACGTCCACTCACGTGTGCAATCATGACGCAGTGGGGAGTGTTATACGATTTTCAGTTCGGTGCGAATCCCAATAATTTCCGCGTTTATTTTCGAGTGCTTCCCCGTTTTAATGGCCAATCAAAACTAAGTTGGACGGGCAATCGGTCAAAGTGGAAAACGCTGGCCTGCATAATTAGTTTACAGATACCAACACGAGCAGAGGGCGCATGCGTACAGTGCCTCGCTTGTACAGTGTAGATGTTCCTGTCCAAGAATTGGAGTGTCGACCATCTAAATCGGAAAATATACATGAGTTTATGCTTGATCAGGGACTCACACATAAGATATCGAACGAAATTTGCGCCGCCATCCGATGCATCTTGAAGATCAACTGCCTTGCAAAATGCCGAGCAGATTATCCAGATTTGTTTGGCCAAGCACTGCAAGATTGGTCAGCCTGCTAGTCAATTTCGAAGCTGGAGGTCGTGAGTTCAAATCCGATCCGAGCGAGCTGTTTATAACCGTAATTATAAAGCGCCTTTTCCAAAGGATACAAAGCACTAGGGTAAAATGCGAATAAAGTCAGGTAAATTAAAGGAAGCTTGTATATGAAAAAATGAGACCCATTATGCAGCACTTTTTGCTAGGTGCTGCGGCGCATATTGCAGCCACTGCCAGAAACACCGGGGCAAACCCCTTCTCTTAGCGACAAGTGTTAATGGGTTCTTTAACGTGCATTACATAACACACGGGACCTACGGCTGTCCCATATAAAGGAGAAAGTAGTAATGGTATTAAAGTGCCTTGTTCAAGAGCACAAGCACCATGTTCCCACGGTCAGGATTCGAACCCATGTACCACGGCACAAGAGTCGAATACCATAACCACTGGACCACAACGCCACATAATCAGTAACGTTGTTACAAGAAACCAGTACAGCTGTCTGTACATTCTTGTACGCGTGACAACGCTCGTATGTGTTGAATGAAAATTTAATCAAAGGATTAGACTTTTCTTTTCTTGTTGAACAACTGCTCTTAGACTGCTTCTTAAAGAAGTTGTTACTGCTTTCTTCACAGTAACCTGACTTACTCTCTCCGGGAAGATGTTCTCCTCAGATGGTAGAGGCTGGGGTTATGACCAGGATGAGGAGGTTATTGGCGCGATGGGATGCCATCTGACCTGGATGGATCTCCATGGTATTGACAGGAGGACCCTGACACGGGAGAAGGAACTGTTGGAAGGGAAAGAGGTTGACTTCCAGACCAGACCTTCCCTCTGGCTCTCCGTGACCAATCTCCTTGGCTTCGTCTACTACTCCCTAGGGATGATCCAAGAGGCTGAGGAGAAGTTTGAAGAGGTGCTGACCAAGGATGCCAACAACATGAATGCTGTGGGGAATCTGATGGTCATCTACAGGAGGCAGTCCCGGATGACGCAGTACAGAGCTAGCTTGAAGATCCTCCGGGAGCTACTGGCCAAGAGGGATGCCCTCCACCTTGCTCGGTCTTACGCTGACCGGGCCTTCGCCCTCCGTAACTTTCAGGAGCACCGGAGATGCTTCACATACCTGTCGCACATCAGTAAAGCAGTGCAGTGTGCTGAGGGGGCGGTGACAACTCCCGAGAGAGCCGAGTGGATGTACGACTATGGCCTGGCACTGCACCGGCGGTACATGCAGATGCTGGACAGTGGAGTGGTCCAGGAAGAGAGAGAAGCCGAACAAGGGATGCGGGAGGTTGTAGAATGCTTTCATCGAGTGACCGGGATAGAGGGAGTGAGCTTGGATCTCCAAGGACTGTCCTGGGTTTATATAGGCACCCTTCTCTCGGCTTGTCCTGGAAAAACACTGGCAGATGCTCTGGAAGACGATACCTGTACCTTCACGGCCACCGATTGCTTCGCAAAAGCTCTAGATCTTCAGCCAGACAATGCTGAAGTCCTGGGAAACATCGGAGCTCAGTTCATGGAACTCAAGATGTATGATCGGGCAAAGGAGCTTCTAGACAGAAGCCTACTCAAGAAGGAGTCTTGGCTCGCATTCAGGGGCCGTGCTTTGGTATCCATGAAGATGTACGAAGACCAAGACCTCCAGACTCAACTCTCGAAAGACAAGTTGGATGGACTCTTGCAAGGAGCTCTCTCTGATTTATCTCGGGCAGTGGAATTAAAGGAGACCCATGCTGACTTCTCCGACCTGGGTTATGTCTACTTTTTGTTGAAGCAGCCATACAAAGCTCTTCGGTACTTCAGCAACGCCATCAAGAGCGACCAGGATGACAACTTTGATCCTTCGCTGACCCACGAGCGCTGGGCCAAGTGCCTGACATCTCTTGGAGAGGAGGAAGGCGCCGCCATGCAGTCCAGGCAGAAAGAGAAGTCACGTGGGAGGATGAGGGAGCAGGCAACTGCTCTCGAGGAAGCCTGGCGGCACCGTCACGGCGTCAACTGCCAGGGATTTGAGTGCGACTTGGCCCGCTTTGACTACTGCGCCGAGGACCGGCCGGGCTACGCAAACGTTCTTGGGGATGATTCTCCCACACCGGATGTGGTACGCTACGTTAGTCGCAACCAGGGCGCCTTTAAGTATGACTTCTTCATCAGCTTCTCTCACATCGACCACAAGTGGACAGTAGCACTGGTCAAGCGGCTGGAAAAGGAGTTTAACGTCAGAGGGAACATCAGATACAGAGATTATCAGCTTGGGGCAGCCATTGCAGAGAACATTGCAGAGTCTGTGACAAACTCTTACCGCACTTTGATCATCATGACTCCTGACTCCCTCAGAGATCAGTGGTGTCGATACGAAGTAAGCAAAGTTTGATTAATTTTCCATTTCATTTGCCCGTCTTCAGTTTTGCAGGTACTAAAATGACAATGACATTTTGTGTTGGAGGTGCGCAATGGAAGATGAACATCATCTGATTAGACACATTTGATGTCTAATCGTTGTGGTACGCCCAGTAACTGGCTAGACATGCTGTGATCTGTTTTTGACAAATTGCCTCGAGGTCATGTAAGCAATGCAAATACAGACTTCTGAATTCAGCTCTCAATCTGTATAACCCCTGTATCTTCCACCAATTTTCTCCTTGCTTTCCATCCTTAAAATTTTTAACTAGGGACCTCAATTGATCAATTTCTTTAAAATCTGTACATCTGCTTCAGGTTCAGCGGGCTCACATGACGAACCTGCAGCGGCCCTGCGTCGTACCCATCATGCTTCGCCCCTGCCTCGTGCCCAGGGAGCTGGAGCACCTGACTTTCATCAGGTGCCAGAAGGGGCAGTTCAAGGCCGAGGACTGGTACCGTCTCGGCCAATCACTTTGCCAGTTTAGCCAGGATGTACAACCTCATTGGCCGGAGAGACGTGGAGATGACACAGACACGCGCTGATTGGCCAATCACAGATGAGAATTACAGATGGTGTCATCTGAACGTATTACTGATTGGTTGCAGTGGCACATATCTGATTTCATTTTTATTCGCTGTGAATCCAGTTATCTTAAGGCTTGGGGAAAACAAAAGGATTTTTTTCCCCTCTAGTTTGGGGCTTTTGAAGCCTTTAAAATGAGAGATGTCTGATTTGGGCAAGGGGCAAACCTCAGTTAGGTGGATGCGTCCATTTTTTTAACCAGTTGCGCCCTTTGCCTGCTGTAAAAAATAAAAACGGGCAAAACAAAGCAAAAACTACACATAGGAATGCAAATGATTGATTTAGCTGTTTTGAAAAGCACTTGAATATTGTTTCATGCTACAACTGATCTACAAAACTTATTTGTTGTTGAAAATACACTTCGATTTTCACAGCTAATTCTATTTATTAACCCACCACATAATCATTTGTGTAGTTCACAGAAATATTGCCATAATTTTTAAACGTTTATACACACAATGGTACATGTAGCAATGACAATAACATACTAAAGTTAATGAATTTACTCTCAATAGCTATATCTTGTATAAAATATGTTTAATCTTTAAATAATTCAACTGAGTTGTATTTAAACACACCACTGCCATCTAAGAGGGAATCTGTGGTAATTTCAATTTAGACGTAATGAATTCACAAAAATGAAACTCGCGTCTATCCCACCGAAATAAAATTACTGCCCTCAAAGATGGCTGCCATGCATGTGCCTTATTCACGAGTCGGCCATATTGAATTGGAAGTGAGGTTAAATCTTAATTTTTGGAATTTGCGAAGAGAAATGAAAGCATGAAAGCATGTTGATTTCTAATTAATTCCAGTCTGCTTCAGTAATTTTAAATTTGTAATTAAAAATTCTCTAATGTTTAAAGCCAGATTAAAAAAAAAAGACAGTAAAATAATTCTGCATTGTGCCTGCATAAATAGTCTGGCGCCATCCCATTGAACAGTTAACACTTAATGAAATAGGTTCAGGGAACTCGACAAAAATGGCCAACTCGTGAATAAGGCCCATACAGCCCTTTCCCCTCATAAATTTAACATTAGAGTCATAATGTATCAATATAAATGCAAGCACTGACGCTACGAAACAAATATGTAATTTTCCGAAACAACTATGGTACAGTGCTACAAAATGAATTAAGTCAAACACATCAATTGTGAAGTTCTTTGAACTTTGATCCCTTGGTTTGATATCGAAGCCTGGATCAGTAAGCCAGGCATGACGTTGTCATGGTACCTACCCCATATTTACCCTCACAGAGTGAAGGGAAACTGTAAATCATATAAGATATAGTATCCAGTCTGCGTGGTTTTGACTGGAAGAAATTACACGTGAATTAAATAATGTTACTTTTGAGTGTCAAAAATTTGAAACCTGATAATTCTGTGCAGTGTTATGCTGCAAATTTACATAGCATCTAAAATTGAGCTTATATCGACATTGGGGGTTTTTGCCAAAATTAAAATGGCTGAACAGTACACAATCACATTATAGACAAGCCAGCTAACTAATTTTGGAATTTGGCAATATACATGTATCTGAAGGGGACTTGCGAATATCACAGAATTTAACAGTTAAACAAAACTGTACCTACTACCAATCTTTAAAAACTTTCAGGAAAAGTAAAAGTGATTTCCAATCGAAAAGCGAAAAAGAAAGCCACTTCCTCATACACCACTTATCCAATCAAATCCGATCTCCAACGAGTTCCTGCTTCCTGTCCCGTACACCTCTCATGTGTGTGGCTCTATGGGTGACCCCTGACCTAAGGAGGCCACCCTTGACCTCCAAGACATACCGGGAGACTTTGGGAATGTCTAGGGGAACCACCACTGGTGCAAATACAGAACATTATCAGGAAGTTCCAAAATGAGGTTTTTTTTCGAGAAGTTTCAACTGCATTTCACAGTTTGTATACAGATGCTTTAACTTGCGTATACCTTTTCAATACATGCATGTAGTTGTAAAAACAATCAGATTTTAAGAGTTGATCTTCTGGAATTTTTCTTAAAGAATTAGTTTCTGGTTTTGTAATCTTTCTCCGCAAATTTCACAATGTGACATTATGATATAAGAATTATATCATATATCATGTATTTACACACAGTTTTAGAAATGCAGAAAACCTGTAATTCTTAAAACAAAACAATTAAGCAATGTAGCTCATTCTACCAACATTTAGAATTTAGGGTTCTTCTAACCAACAGATATTTTTTTTTCTGTTAACCAGTTCGCGCCGGGATTATTTTGACAAGAACAGAACGAGGCGCAGCATTAATTTTCACTCGACCTCAAGCCAGGCGGGTTGAAGCCATCACCCTCGGGCAGCACACTCATATTTCCGGCCTCGCTCGCTGCGAGCGGGTCACTGACAGATTTTTCCAGTCTCGCTCCCTGCGAGTTTATCTGTCATCCGTTCTGAATACTGCAAAACATTTGCGGGTATACACTTCATTCAGCGCGAACTGGTTAAGGCTTTTTCCACTATCCGGTGACCACTTTCTAGCTTAAATACATTCACTTGGACAACTTTATTTTGAAAATCATAATTTTACTGGAAAAAATTATCCTAATGACAACTTCTGCTTCCAAGATTTTAAGCTGATGGCACTAATCCAAACTTGAAGTTAAAAATACACTTCCCCTGACCTTCAGAAAATACAATAATGCTGGAGAACTGTACTGTTTGATAAACATCTGTGTTTTATTATGGCTTGCTCTATTCTTAAAAAAAAGGGAATTGGAATGTTGGACACCCACTGGCTCAATAAATAATTCTTCTCACTGATCTCCCTCTGACAATTAATGGTCTCTCCCAAAGTACAATGGAATGTGCATGTTATTTGGCCTATTCCATTTCCGGCAGGATGTAGGAAATGTCGTCCCAGGGATGTCTGTACAGGCCTTGCTTCAGACGCTTCTGGTCCAAAAAGTGTCCTTAAAATAAAAAATAAATAAAATGGTATTTCATATTTTAAAGTTCGCATGAACTTTTTGAAAGAAATAAATGGGTCGCCAAAAGGGGACTTTTTTGAGGGGCTTCAATACAAGTTAAAAAGTAATCGAGTTCTAGACAAACAAATTCAATACAAGTGATAAAAAGGAATCAAGTTATAAACAAAGGGGGGTTGGATAGGGGATTCCCAGGTTTGTTGGGGGTAAACAAACAGGGGTTGGATAGGGGATTCCCAGGTTTATTGGGTGCCAAAGGTCGGCACATGGACTGGTTCCTAGTCCCTCCATTGTTATTCAGACTTGGGATACATATAAGGGATGGAACCAGTCTGCAGATAACCTCAGACAGTGCAAGATTTGTGCAACCTCGTCACCAGGGTGTCGAGCAGTACGCGCCCATCACTACCTGCTCTCTCACCCTGGTATTAGATCATTTACATGTGCAAGATTTTTGAACACGTATGCAAATGAGGAATAGTATGGTGCCTGCATGTGCGTTACATTAGCGTTTGTTTTTGTATGCGGGGTCTTGGGTAAAAACAGGGTCAATTCGTCCAGCGCGAGCATGCATGCGTGAGTTACAAAAACACAATTTATTTTATTAAACTGTTACGATCTTATTGAGACAACATGCTGTATCACATTTCATATTAATATCAACAAATTGGGAAGGAAATAAGTATTTTCGAGAAGGCGTGGATGACTGATCGCAAAAACACGTACTGCATGTTGTGAATAACAACACCAAGTACACGATAAAAATCCATTACTAGCCAATTGCGGTATCGAATCAGGATACAGGAAGAGAGTTTCCTATCCAGGGCTTACTATTGGAAGTGTGGTTGGAAATACAGTAAGCACTGGGGACGAGGTTGCAGTTTGTGTGGCAATCTTGCGGGAACTGAATTTTTATTTGAAAGGGGAATCGGGGAAATTCAACTGGGCAAAATTTGATATCTTTGTTGACAAATGAAAAATAGTGAAAGGAGTCGGCTGTTGATCGGCTGTTGCCTGAATATATATAAACCTCACTGGAAATTAAATCTGATGTTCAAGTTGTTGATAGTGGAACCAGTTGTATCGTATATTGGGGTTTGCTCGGGGAAAATCCCCAGAGCAGACACAATGGGAGCTAATTCGTAGGTGAAAAAAGGAAAGAGTAAATGACTAAGGTGCCAAATTTGTAGTGAAATAAAAAGTGTTGCTATGAAAGTATAACAAGATAATGGAAAAGATGTAATCTTTATACCAACATTATCCATATGTGGTACTACAGGGCTAATTTTAAAAAAAATGTAAAAAAAAAAATTAAGAAAACTCTAAACTTTTTCCTTACACAAATATCATGAATCATGGGTTATGTTGGCCACATGAGCAATTACATAAATGTTAATGCATCGACAGCCTAGCTAAAACATATAGTTAATTTTGGTTGAGTGGAAAAACTCTGACATTTTTTTCTGGCTGACACAAATTTTCCCCAAATACGGGTCGTGCGGTTCCACTACTTTTTAAGAGCTCCCTTTAAACGGTTCATGATATGAATTTTCTTAGGAACATATTTTGTGTACAGTTTTACTCCCGTAAATGTCGGAAAACTATTTTTGACATCTCTTTTTGGTATTAAAATTTTATGAAAAAGTGCACTTCTTTAAACATTTAGAAATTGTCCTTGCTTTTTCCGGACAACTGAGGGAGCTGTTGCTGTGATGTCATTTCAGGAAGACACTGTCCAGTTCAGGGGTTTTCCGGTCAAATTGTGAGCCCAAAAATATGCTCATTGAAACGAAAACATTAAAGTTTGCTTATTGGCTTACTGCCATGTACTGACACAACAATGAATCACCAAAGAAAAGAAAATGTACGACAGCAAAATATCCAAAAGTCAGGCAACTTTTGGTGCTGAAATAGCTGTAACAGTGAGGTTTCTAACTGAAATGGCATCACACTTTTGCTCATGAATATGGCAATTAACATGAGCAAAAAAACCAAACAAAACAAAAAGGCACCGAAATACTCTTGAAAATGGCAAAATGAAAATTGAAAATAAGGTTAAAGGTACACAAGGTCCTGGAACAGCCCAATTGGAAAGAACATTTAAAAGTAGGATATAGACATCCACACAACTATCCTTTCAAAACTGGGCGTTTTTGTGTTATTCCTGTATTATTGCGTGCGAAAACGAATTTAGGGGTCCACTTTTGCGACCCCATAAATTCGAGCTGTTTGGATGCTAGTTGTGATTTCATTCGTTAAGTGTTCGCCTTTTGTGGACGTTGAAGAAACCACTCTTTTGCATTGGTGATTGGCCACCGCTGTTCCCGAGACACACAACGTGTATATCGTACACTGAGAACGACACGAAAAACATATTCGTACTCCGTCATGTCCGATGTAAACAAGCGGGTTTTTTTTTCATCTTTTCTCGGGAACGGTAAGACATTAGGTTGGTTTCCTTTAAACGAATGGTTATTTGACTATTGTTAAATGTGCATGCACAAAGTCTCATCTTATACTGATTTGAAACTTTCCAGACTATCCCCAAAATGCATGTTATTTTTGTTTGCCTGCACAAGTACATGTGAACCTCCCCACCGTGTGCAATCGGCAGAGGCTCTATTGTTGTGCGCAGCATTATGTTCAACGTACACAACAATGCTTACAATAAACGTTCATGACCTCAAGTTCATTTACGCCCTTCATTTACGATGTTCGCAATAGGCTAGGTAAACAATCCAAAAACATGAAATTTTTGGGGATTTCAGGGCTTGGTGCCCCTTTTAATGGGACACAAAGGTGCATTTTCAAGGATTCCATTGAAAAAAATTACATTGCATGAGCCTTTTAACACGTTTGTCCCTGCACCGCCCCAAGGTGCCCTGTCTGTTACTCCTTATACCGCCCTCAAATGCCCCGGCAGTCTATCTCTCAGTTAAAGGGAAAATACAACGTTTGCAAACATCAAAAAATAAAACTACCAAATCATTTTGAAATACCTTGCTGGACTGTTAGTGAATGACAGTGTAAAGCATCCTGTAAAATCATGGCACCTGGTATACTGTCATTTTCAAGAAAAGTGGTATTTTTGTAACAATTTCCAATGCTGGTCGGCCGATCAGCGTTGGAAAAAAACTGGCTTTTTTTCAAATACTGGCCCCAATTGACCATCTCACTTGTTTGCAATCGATTACACACCTATGAACGGGTACAAGCCAGCTAGACTGGTTCCCTGACCTTACAATTCCCCAATGTATGTATAACTGCTCTGTTTCTTCTTATATGGAGTCAGGGAACCAGACTACAGGAAAACTAGAACGGCGAAGCCGCCATGGCTCGCTGTCCAAGGCAGGAAGGGAGGCTGAAGGTAGGGTTGGGGATGGGCATGATGGAAGGGGATCAGGATTCTAGGTGTAGGGGTCAGTTTTTAAATGTCAACATAAAAAGTTAACAGATTACCTAATAAATACATGTGTATATAGGTTAGCCGTCACTGTATTATGGGGGAGTTTTCCATTGTTAGGGTAATTAGGACCCAGTTGTGGATTTTTGCAGCCCCAACAGTGTCTTCTGCTCCCCATACTTGTATTACCCTGGGAAAAATCTTGTGTAGTCGCCACAAATGCAGAACAAGAATGGGTATACATGTACATGTAGACACAGCACCATCACCACCTCCCCCAAACCTTACCCATCCCAAAACCTTACCCCATCCCCAACCCGCCCCCTCCCCCTCCCCCACCCAACCCCCTACCCACACCCATTCCATCCTCCCCTAACCATCCCCACCCTATCACCTACGCATCCCAACCCCACCCAAACTCCAATCTCTATCTCCTTCCCCCTCCCCTGACCCGTACCCTCCCCAACCCCAAACACCCACCTACACCTACCCTATCTTCCCCTATCTGTCCTTACCCACCCTACACATCCCCACCCTAACCCTTACTCAAATTCCAATATCCCGCCCACCCCATTCCCCCACCCATACATCCCCACCTGACCCCATGCAACCCCTACTCTGATCCCTATATATTGCCCCCTCCCCTTATCCAACCCCTACAACAACCCATCCCTACCCATCCCTACACATCCCCAACCCAACCCCTACTCCGATCCTATATCCCGCCCCCTGCCCAACCCCCTCCTAACCCAACCCTACATCCATGCCCATCCTCTCCCTACCTGTGCCACCCCACCCCTACAAGTTCCCACCCCACCCCTACAAATCCCCACCCCACCCAAACCCAGTATTCCAACCCCTCTCCCCACCCCACCCCAACCCACCCCGCCCCACCAATCCTAGCTCCCCTACTCATCCTACTCACACAAACCCTAACTCCAACCCCTATCCCCCAACCCACCCAACCCTCCCCTTCCCCATCCCTACTCCAACCCCATAAACTAAAAGATCAAACCAGAAGATCATGCACATCCCCAAAATGCATAGTGTACATGTACATGTTATACCGGTATACACACATGTACATGTTATACCAGTATACATGTACATGTAACAATTAAAAACTTTAACATTTCCTTGAATTAAAGTTCCTCAATAAAATCATAAAATTTACTGCAATGATATCAACCTAACTGAAGTTATAGGCCTAGAGATGATACATGACAACTGCATTTAATTTTTTCCCGAAGTTAACTAAAACCAAAAACTTCAACATTTTTATCTGAACGTGGACGGCCGGACAGACGGACGGACGGACGGACAGACAGGCGCCCGGACAGACGGACGGAAATTGGTATTACATAGGCTCGCATCTGCTTCGCAGCTCGCCAATGATTGTTTTTCTTGGTTTTTATAGCATTTTCGAACCCAAAACCTCAAAAAAGTCAGTGTAACTATATTTGCTATATATTTCCAACCTCCCAATTCCATCCATTTCTGAAAATTACAGTAAAAGCAAATGATGTATATTCCCTTTAATTCATCAATGAGTAATTAAGTGTTATGCAAGTTCCAATGGTTTAATTGCTACATGGAAAAGCTAGTGAAACTGTCTACTGACTTGCAATGAATGTGCAAACTCACGGTGCCAGAAATTAGTAATGTGGTTTATTTTTAAGCATGTTTATGTTTCGGCTTTGTGCTAAGTTTAACAATGATTTGCATATAACTGTGTTGGCAGCTCAGCTATTATGCCAGTGTTATATATGAATCACAGGGGAGTCATTTCACGACCCATGTGTTTTTTTTGCCACAGAAGCGACGCTAGGAAGTAGATATCTGTCAATTTTTTTTTTGTTCATCTCAACTTCTGAAATCTTTTTGAGAATGTTAACGTGGATGGATTTGAGGAACTATGCAAGGACAAATAATTTTCTCACCCAGGGAAATAAATGTATTTGAAATGACCAAAAACAAGTCGATTGCAAACCATGAAACTATAAGCCGCCAGAATATTTTTGTTGTTGTTGAAGTTTCATATTGGTTTTAAATGTGTAATAAAGATCCTGACTTTATGGAACTTTCCATAAGTTTTGGGTGCATTTGTTTCTGTTCCTGTTACATCAGAAATTTTCCACTAAAGTGTCACTGAGAATGACTTCAACGATTTTTAATTTGTTGGGTAGGTAGTTTGCTATTCATAATCACTCTTGGAGGATGACTGCATTAAGGAGAGCATCAGAATTATTAAATCATTAGACGTCAGAGTTAAGAGGAACAGGAAAAAAAAGTGGGCCCCTACAGAAAGACCCTTATATGAACATTGATGTAACCCAAACATGTTTCTTAATTTCTCGAAAAAGACAAAAAAAAAAAACTTGTATATTCAGCTTGACAATTAGTTTTTTTTTAATATTACATGTATATACATGTACAATTTGCAAAGTGCCTATGTAAATACACAAGCACAATAAAATGTTGCCGTTTCTATACTTTTGATGGTTTTAACAAGTGAATCTATATTTATGCCCGCCCTATTGTGGTCATGTTTCTATAACCCAGTCTTGGTTTCAAAATGTCTGTCACAACAAATATTCTCACGGTTTTAGTTCGAGGGTTTTCAATCGATACCATTACACAAACTCCTTTTGTGGCATGTTCTCTGGCTGTGATGTGAAGACCAAACTTTGACTTTAAATGGGGTTAGACAATTAAAGGTATCAATATTATGCTTGTTGCAGTGATACAATGAGCAGAATAATCTAAAGATTAAAGGGTTCATGAGAAGACTTTTTAAGGAACAACTACGAAAACTATTTGACATCTCTTTTTGGACATCACGTTATTGTAACGTGCACTTCTTTAAACATTTAATATTGTCCATGCTTTTCCAGACAACTGAGGGCGCTCTTGCTGTGATGTCATTTTAGGAAGGCACTGTTCCGTAAAGCACTCTTCTGTTCACATTTTGAACCCAAAAATGTGCTCATTGATAAAACGCTTGCTCATTGGTACAATGCCATGTACTGACACAACAACCAATCACGACTAAAGAAAAGAACTTTTTAAAGGGAATGTACATCATTGGCTTTTGCTGTAATTTTCAGAAATGAACTATTTGTGGGGTAAGTATAATAGATCAAATATTGTTACAATGACATGTTTGAAGTTTTGTGTTCAAAAATGCTGGAAAACCAAGAAAAACTAAAATGTTCAAGTAGTCTGGTTCCCTGACTCCACTAAGGATGAAATGGATCAATTTACAGATGCCGGAAAATTGTAAGGTAAGGGAACCAGTCTAGCTGGCCTGCACCCGTTCATGAACATGTAACCAATAAGCACAGAAAATTTGGACTGAAAAAATGGTAAATTTGGAGCAGTAGTTCAAAAAATAGTTAGGTTTTTGCAACGGTGGTCGGCCGACCACCGTTGGAAATTTATACAAAATACCACTTTTCTTGAAAATGACTTCACACCAGGTGCCATAATTTTACAGGATGCTTTAGACTGTCATTTATCAACATCCTAGTAAGGTATTTCGTAAAAATGTGTTAGTTTTGTTTTTCAATGTTTGCAAATGTTGTATATTCCCTTTAATAATGTATTTAGTCAATTATTTTTGGTCAAATATTATTGGTCGATTTTCCAGGACAGACCGACCGACCGACCACCAAGCGCCATGTAGAAACTCCTGCCAAAGCTTAAAAAAGGAACAATAACAGACAAATATGGCAATGCCAACATTTGGTTTCAGAGACTAAATGTGACAGCTGAAGGTTGCAACATTCGGTTTCGAAGCCAGGACCTCAAGACTATTTTTGGCATAGGTGAAACTAGTTTTCATTATTTCAGCAAACAAAGAATCTAACCACTCTCATTGTTGCAGTCAACACCTCATGGCCCAATGCCTTTAATGTGGCCACCACCCTTTTCCCACACAAAGCTCTGCATGAGGCCTAGCCCATTTCGATCTTTGCATAAACAAACAAGCCAGCAATCTTAGCCCCAGGTAAAACTTGGCCCAGCTAGTACAGGTTTTGACTCTTTGACAGAATAACAACGAATGTTCATGGGCGTCGGTAGGATTTTTTCCAGGGGGGGGGGGGGGGGGGGGGGGGGAAAGGGGGGCAAAGCAAATTTTCCCCCAAAATTCCTTAACTTTTTCATTATACTCTCAATTTATCATTTTTTCAAGCGCGAGCAGAGGAGCATTGCCCTATCCTGGGGGGGGGGGGGGGGGGGCACTTCGCGACGCCCATGCAAATGCTCAGTCATCCGTGGCCACAGACACACAATCAAGGCATCATTGGCAAGAGGACACATTGGTGTTTCACATGATCTTTAAATTATTTGAAACAAAAATATTAAGTTTTTTTTTATAATTTAAATTTAAATCTGGGTTTCCTTGTTTGATGCACCCCAAATATAAAATTTGAGCTTGTAATTTCCATTTGAAGGAGATTTTTCAAATGAATTGTTGGAGCTGGATCAGTTCAAGAAAGACTTGAAACCTTAACGGGCAACCTCTGTTTTCACGTTTGAGACTATAAACCTTTGTGACATCCAAAATGTTGCCCAAGAAGGTCCAATATTCAAAACTTCTACCGTCATTGTAAAACTGGAAGAAGAGTCTGTTTTTTGACAGAACTCATCACAAAGTGGAAAAGCCCCGGAAACTCCCTAAACCGGACTACACTGCTACCACGTCCTGCTAGTTTCTTCAGTCTGATTGGCTAAGGTGCAGTCACATGACAATACTGGCAACTTACCGATGAAGCCCATGCTGCGACCGAGCACAAATAGGCCGTTGAGGGCGCCAATCTCGATGAACTCGGTGGCTTCCTCTCTGCAATTGAGAATTAAAATTAAAAATTAAAATCCAAAAAATGATTTTTCTTTGGATGAAAACTTTTGGACAGAAAATCGGAAAACTGAAAAAGTTGGCAAAATGGAAATTGAAAATAAGGTTTAAAGGACACTGGGACCTGGAACAGCCCAATTGGGCTACAAAAAGCGCTTTGGACGAGATGTTAATCGGAATGAACATTTAAAAGTAGGATATAAACATCCACACAACTATACTTACAAAACTGGGCGTTTTTGTGTTATTCCTGTATTTAATATGCGTGCGCGAACGAATTTCGGGGTCCACTTTTGCGACCCCATAAAATCGAGCTGTTTGGATGCTAGTTGTGATTTCATTAGTAAAGTGTTCGCCTTTTGTGGACGTTGAAGAAACCACTTCAACAGGAAAAATGAAATTTTCCACGGTGTTACGTTTTCCACTTTTTATCCTCTATTATTATAAATATCTAAATATATCTTATATATGTATAAGTCATTTTCATATCTTTATTTTTTTTCTCACCAAGTTTCTTTTCAAAAATAAACTAAACCAAATGATAATGAAACTAGCCAAGCGAAAAATACGGTAATGGAAAACTTATAAAAGTTCAAGGGTAGAGTTTCTCTAAAAGAGAAACTCAGCCGTGTTAAGGACTTAAACGGCAGAAAATGGAAAGAAAACAGAAATAAAACAAATCAAAACTTTTGGTGAAACAAGCCATGAACAGTTGAGCACTGTCAAAAGGGCAAGCCCTACTATTGGGGACTATGGATTTTTTTAAAAAGTTGAACAAAGAAATTTACTCAAGCGGGGTTTGAACCTGCGACCTCCGGATTACCGTTCCGGTGCTCTACCAACTGAGCTATCCAGCCCTATATGGGCAGTTCGTCAACTTGTCATTGTCTTTGTTCAAGGGATAATGTTGTTTTGTTAATGTGGCCTCTTATGGTCAAACACATTGACCACGGAATGGGGTAAATCTCACATGACATACCAACTAAACGTAACACAGAAAGTTTCCACTTGTAACGAATATTTCTGCAATGTACATAATTTTCAAAACCTTTTCAAGCACACAACACACATACTTTAAGTACTTTTGAAGGTATTAGTCAACATTAAACCTCAACTTTGTTTCGGTTTTTCCAGGAAACGCGGTGCCTGGAACAAAAACAATATTTGTTTGCTTTTTTTCGTACTTACTGAGTAAATGCCCCACAATGCCTCAGCAGGTCTACCATGGCAACGCCAATCAGCCCGTCCACGTTCAGGATCAGATTCGGTTTCTGTGAGAAAGAGGCGGGAAACAAGACTAGCTCTCATCAATGATCCTGAGGGAAATTTTGGCACAGGTTTTTAAAAGTACTTCAGAAATTGACATAACTACATAAAAATTATAAAAAGTCTGTCTAAACCTAGCCACTTGGATAATGGAAAAGGCTCTGACAACTGCAACAAAACTGGAGCATCAAGTATCGTTTCCTTTTTCAAACTACTCATGAAAAAGTGTATCGAAAGCTGGAACTTCAAAAAAAAAAAGTACACTTTCAAAACTTGATCAGTTGCACTGTGGGAAATGTACACAAACCAAAGGGTGGGTGGAGATCAAGTCCAACAACAGGCTTCCCAGCACTTTATGAAAACGAAAATTCCTGGAGTTTCCCTGATATTTCCCCGAGAAAATTTCCAAAATTTCATGAGAAATATTTCCACTTTAACAAGGCTGCTCGGTAGTCAAGAGGTATAGTTAGATTAGATTAGATTTGTTTTATTGCTATTTATATACAATTGTATACAATAGAAAGTGTCGTGGTTTTTGTGCTCAAAAAAATTAAAGTACATTAAAAATTTATATTACAAACATTAAACTACCACATAATTAAACTAATTCCTGCTAAAAATATCTCTCAAAAAAACCCCAAACAAAAGTCATTAACAAGACAAAATAATTATTACGCAGTAAGGTTACTTAATTCCATTCAGTCCCCTGATCCCCTGAAAAAAAAAAGTTGCGGCAAAGCATCTAAGATACCTATAACACACGGGCAACTTGCTGACAAGCGAGGGCCTCCCTTCTCAGCTTACAGCCATCCTTTCCTAACAATATGCAACAAGATGGTAGCCCGTGCATACAATAATTGTAATTTATTTCCAATTTCTGTCACATTCCTTGAGTTTTCCCATCATTTTTGGCGTTCCCCCCCACAAATTCCTGGAGTTTTCCCTGACTGGAAGAATGGGAAGTCATTTTCAAGGTTTCTCATGATTTTCTCGAGAGTGTGCTAGGAACCCGGACGAAAGAGTGGGGAGGTGGGATAAACCTACTGCTCTCCCCACCCCAGGGGAAGTTTTGTGACGTCACAGTTGTTATATCTTACCTTTGCTGTGGTAATCTTCTCTACTTGGAGTGCGTAGTTCAGGAGGGGAGCTTCGGGGAAGTTGTCTAGGGCGTACTGCTGCAGAATCACAACTCTCATGTCTGGGTTGTTGATCTGAACAAAAAGAGAGTTGCAAGACAATCACAAGTCAATCACAAGTCCATCACTGGGCAATCACATGATACCAACAGTCAATCACAAGTTGATCACAAGTCAATCACAAGTCAATCACAAGTCAATCACAAGTCAATCACAAGTCAATCACAAGTCAATCACAGGTCAATCACAAGTCAATCACATGACAATCACAAGTCAATCACAAGTCAATCACAAGTTGATCTCAAGTCGATAACAAGTCAATCACAAGTCAATCACAAGTCAATCACAAGTCAATCACAAGTCAATCTCAAGTCGAAAGTCTTTCGATTCACAAACCAATCACAAGTTGATCGCAAGACAATCACAAGGCAATCAAACCAATCATAAATTAACAATCAAAAGCAATCATAAGTCAATGACAATCCAATTTTAAGTCAATTTCAAGTCAGGTACAAGTTTATCACTTCACTGTAAGCATGACCACTGGTAAGTGGGTCTGCTCATGAATATGCATGAGGGGTAACACTCACTGGTTTGAGCCTGTGGCCAATGACCATTAGCACTGGCCAATGGGACAACTTCATTTTCCATGAATGCATCTATGCATGAGTTACACTACTCACTGATTTGACTTGTGACCAATGACAATCAATGATCATTTTGTGCTCCGCCCTCATACCAAGTGACAGTAATGTCCGACTGACCAATAGGATAAGTGGCCTTCCTCATGAATATGCAATACTCACCGATTTGACCCTGTGTCCAATGCCCATGATGAGCTTATGCTCCGCCCTCATCTTGTTGACAAAGTCGTGGGGGATGAGCCCCGAGTCGTAGGCCTCACTGAACTGCTTGGCCGCGGCATCCAACGCGCCACCAAATCGGTCACCCTAGAAGAAAAAAAAAGACAAAGCCAGACAAAAATTAGATTATACTTCTCATCCAAAACAACACCGAGAGTGGGATTTATGAAACCAAATCAAAAGTTTTTTAACATTAGCCATGCACATGTAAATTAGTTGATTCAAAAGCAACCTGACCACGTGGAAATGCTGAGAAGATACAAGGATTTCAGATTTTTTGGGTACCTTCTCATTCAAGAAACCAAAATTATCCCTTAAAAATGGAACCATCTAAATCTTATTACCCTAAAGTTGGCAGCATGTAGCGTATTGTACTTAGTACAGGGTTACATATAATTCCATAAACCATCTATTTAAACAAATTCTACAATTGTTGCTTTAATGGACATAGCTTACCAAGCGCCAGCATCGGGGAAAAACATTGTGCTGGGACCTAAGTAATATTGTAAGTGTAAATGAAGAAGCATGTTATGAGATGTGATTTCAAGATCAAAGCCAGGTTGATGGCAAAGTACTCCATAGTTGAGAGGCCACAATCATGAATTTCTTGTTGCCACAAGTGACACTGGAAAGAAAAAATTGCATGGAATTTTTACAGAATTTTTAGTTAATAAATTCCACGGAGTACTTACAATGGTGAGCAGTCCCGAGCACAGTGAAGATATGAGATCTTTGCCGGCCCTGGCCGTTACTATGGTGTTATGGGCCCCGGAGACGGCCGGGCCGTGATCAGCGGTAACCATCAAGCACATCTCAATGAACTTGGTTGCATAGGCTGGTAGTCTGCACAAACAGAGAAATGTACCGGAGTTAAAAATATGCAACCAAGGGAATTACCCCCCAATTTTTTTTCCAAAAAGCCTAGTCTAGTCGAACCTAGCTGAGCCCAGCTCAGCCCATTTCCATCCACTCCATCCCATCCGAAACAACCCATCCCATCTGAACCTAGTCTAACCTAGCTGAGCCCATTCCAATCCACCCCATCCCACCCAAAACCACCCATCGCATCCCAGCTGAACCCAGTCTAACCTAGCTGAGCCCAGTTCAGCCCATTCCCATCCACTCCATCCATCCCATCCGACCCAAAACCACCCATCCCATCCCATCTGAACCTAGTCTAACCTAGCTGAGCCCAGTTCAGCCCATTCCCATCCACTCAATCCATCCCATCCCACCCAAAACCACCCATCCCATCCCAGCTGAATCTAGTCTAACCTAGCTGAGCCCAGTTCAGCCCATTCCCATCCATCCCCCATCCAAGCCCAGCCCCACTTAGCCCATTCCATCCCAGCCCAGCCCTGCTCAATCCAGCCCAGCCCAACGCAACCCAACCTAGCCCATCCTATTCAAGAAAACCCAATCCCACCCCACCCACCCCTCTAGCGCCTACCTTCTCTGGAACCACAGCAGTGACAGCACCCCTCCGATGCCGATGCTCTCTTTGAAAATCTCGGTGATGGGCATGCCGGCATAGATCAACTCTTGGCCCCTCTCGTCACAGATACTGGTCATGAACGAGGCTGGCTTACGAATCAATCCCAACTCCTATCAACCACAAACACAAAATGAACATCGACTAAATATGGGAAATCTAACAGTCAAAATACTGTTTGTCACAAAAAAAACCACCGAAAGTAGTTTTCATTAAAATAATACTACACCTGTCTATCAAGCACATGGCAAACAGGCAGAAAAATTTTACTTCATGATGCTATAGTGATTACACGGAGCAAAAGGACTATAAGTCTTACCCTAGCCCATGAGTAGTCCATTGGCACTGTGGGTGGGGGAATCTCCGGCTTGGGTACTATCACCCCTTCTGCCACCAGGCGCTGGTACACCTCACTACAAACAAAGGACAATGAGTCAATTGAAAACAACTGCAAAATGATCAGCTGCTTTATCGCAAACAAAAACCTGTTGAAAAACCTACTTGGTTGAAAGATAGTAAGGGGACTAAACTCCCTGTGAAATTATTCTTTCTGGGAAGCTGTCATTTTGAAGTAATCAACGAAAGAAGTCATTTCCAATGGTGATTCTTAAGAAGCACCGTAGGAAAATTTAAATTAGTAGTTCGTTTTGTTATTCAACGACAGTATTGGAACGACGCACACGCGCGCGCGGTTGTTATAATTCGTTGGATCAGTGCGCGATGTCGCGTATAGCTGCAATTCAAAACAATTCAAAACATGATTCAGTAACTTTTGATTTGAAATTGAGATCTTAGAATGCTGCTTTTCTCGGAATGTACAGCTGAAGTTTAGCTGAAACTTCATCAGGTTAGTTGCTCAGTATCCTTCATTAGATTTTGAACACTTTTGTTGCTTCAAACGAACAAAATGCACTAATTACAAATGATGGACTATAGCTTTAAGGTAGAAACTTTCTAGAAGAATTTTGTTTTATGAAAAAAAATTGACATACTTGATCTTCTTGTCCAGATCATCGAAGCTGTTCGGCACGTAGGACCCGGCAACTCGCAGCGCCTGATTCTTGGCCGAGGCCGTTTCGCTCTCGGCGTTGGCACAGGCCCCGGCGTGACCAAACTGCACTTCTGACGAGAACATGGTGGCGCAAGTCCCGATACACCACGCGACAACCGGCTTATTGATGCGGCCGGTCTCGATGGCCTTACAGATCTCGTATTCTTCAACTCCGCCAACCTAATATTAGAGAAATAATTTTGTCCAAAAAAAAAAAGTCTAAAAAGTCGCTCCGATGGTCGCTCTAATTTTTCCAGCTCCCAATACCTGATAGGTGCATATAATCACAACGTCGTCCCCACGGCATTAACCACTTCGCGACGGGATTATTTTTGCCGAAAATTTCGATTTTTCGCAAAAGGCAAAATTGTCCAGCCACCTTCTGATTTACAGCCAATACTGATTCGCAAGAGTCATTTCAACAGTATTTGAACAATATTTCTTGCTGAAACCTAACATGTTTCAATACTCTGGGGTGTGCACTGGAGCGTAAATTGTACAACAATAGGCCGTGCGCAACGGCCAATCCAAGATCAACACACAGTCTGCCTCCACAGACTTCACAGACTTTGTGTGTGTGTACAAAAGGCACGAGGGATTAGCGTTTTTAGAAACAAAAGGAACGTTTTACAAATCACAGACTTACCTCTCCGAGCATGACCAGCATCTTGACACTCGGGTCGTCATGGTAACGAAGCATGTGATCCACAAAAGTTGTGCCTGGATACCTACGATTGATCAAAGAAACATGATTGTTTACAAAGTGACATGAAAAATGTCAAAAGTCTTGCCCTCCTAGTCATTAAAACAATTCCGCTGATGCGCTGATGGTATAGACACGATGTCTGAATCTTGTTAGCTGCAGTTCCATCAGTTCTTCTAAGTCAAGTAATGATCATCATAAAGCGTTCGGCAAGATTCCCTAGAGTATTAAAGATGTTCCCGTCAGACAAAATCAAAATCTCTGTGACTTTTTTGTGATTATTATTTTCAAGGCATACTGCATCATTTTGCATTTAATGCATTTTGTTCATTTCCAATAATAAGGCCACTCAAAATCCAAAGAAGAATATTCAAAACCTAACCTGTTGAAGTTTCAGCTCAGTGGGTGTATATACACTCTTCGAGAAAACATTAAAAAAACATGCAAAACATTTTGATCACGAAACAGGATTTCGTATACAGCTCTCTTTATTTTCAAAAATCAGTCTATAGGGCCAAAAAAAAAAAGTCTACGGTTTCTGGTATGGTGCTTGCCCAAAAAGTGGTGCGGCGATGCGGCTTTTTTTTTTTTTTTTTAACTGTTTTTTTTGCTTCAAATGTCGGCTGATGACTGCAAATGGTGCCCGACTAAACTTAGTGCAAATATTATGGGAGACCAGAGAGGCCACATAAAGCTTATTCTCGATCATAACCCCATCTAAAAACACGTTAAAATTGTGCAGCAGCAGGATTCCAGTCAAACCAGTGAGTTTGGCGGTTTTGAGACATCATCTTTCATTGAAAAAAAAACTTTTTCATTTTGCCGACGCGCATGGCTACGGCAATGCGCGCGCATACCAGAAACCGGAGACTTTTTTTTTTTGGCCTAGACTGGTCCTTGGAAATCACCTACATTTCTCCTCAATGACAGTAAGCCAGATGGAATAATTTTAATCGTACCAGTACGATCTTTAATCCAAGTAAGCTTTTTTGATAATAATTTGGCGGGTCACTTTTGGGATAAATGCAAACGATCCTATCTGCCTTTGAAAACAATGAAAGTTTTGTCCTACCTATCGCCACCGATAGCCACACCCTCATACACTCCATCAGTGTTCCGAGAGATGATGTTGTTCAGTTCGTTAGACATCCCGCCTGAGCGAGAGACGTAGGCCACGCTGCCAGGGCGGTAGAGCTTGGATGCTAGGATGTTATCCAGCATGCCTCCCGTGTTGCCGATCTTGAAACAGCCTGGTTTGATGCCACCAACCTAAAGTTGAAAATACAAAAAGTTTTCGTTCCAAAAAGTTTTCAAAAACAATAAAAAAATATATAATTAAGTAAAAACATTAAACAGCTTGATGCCACCAACCTCAAGAAAAATCCCTGTTAAAAAAATCAAGACAGTTTCTTCACACTAAGAGTTCTTATCACCAGTTTTTGTAAAAGCAAGGCTATGGGCTCGGTGCACAAGTACTCCTTCAACGGTCAGAAATGGAGAGTTGGGGGTGACCTAGACTGGTTCCTGGTCTATCCACTGTGTATTTTCAATACTCCAAAGTTATTGGGGCTGGGATAAGTATGAAAGACCATCGCAAGTTAAATTCGAATGCATTTGTGCGCTGACAACGCTTGACGCTCACGCGAAGACGCTGTGGCTAATACCTGTCACATTCAGAGAGTCATGCGTATTAGTGCGCGGACCAGTACAGTACAGTACGCACACGCTGTCCAGGGAGCTCTCAAAAGTGGTAAAAACGCGCCCTCTTTTGTTGGCCCAAGGAGCCATTAATCAATTCTTAACTCCTACCTAATTTGGCGTTTCAATACCAATGACCTTTGACCTACCGTAGCTGGGCCAATGATAGTCACTCCCTTTTCATTGGCGATGTTGATCAGCATGCGCGTCTTGTTTTCCGGGATTCCTTCTGCTATGATGGCGATGGTGCGAATCTGTCAGTTAAAATATCTCCATTAAAAATGATGACCAATGGGTAGTCGGTTAGCTAACACATGAACATTTAGACATTTATCTTATTTAAAGGGAATATACATCATTTGCTTTTGCTGTAATTTTCAGAAATGGATGGAATTGGGGGGTTGGAAATATATAGCAAATATAGTTACACTGACTTTTTTTGAGGTTTTGAGTTCGAAAATGCTATAAAAACCAAGAAAAACAATCATTTTCCTGTAGTCTGGTTCCCTGACTCCATGTAAGAAGAAACAGAGCAGTTTACATACATTGGGGAAATGTAAGGTCAGGGAACCAGTCTAGCTGGCTTGTACCCGTTCATAGGTGTGTAATCGATTGCAAACAAGTGCGATGGTCAATTGGGGCCAGTATTTGAAAAAAAGCCAGTTTTTTCCAACGCTGATCGGCCGATCAGCGTTGGAAATTGATACAAAAATACCACTTTTCTTGAAAACGACAGTATACCAGGTGCCATGATTTTACAGGATGCTTTACACTGTCATTCACTAACAGTCCAACAAGGTATTTCAAAATGATTTGGTAGTTTTATTTTTTGATGTTTGCAAATGTTGTATTTTCCCTTTAAATACACCTATTGACCTCCAATGAACCAACTTTTAAAGCAATAAGATCAAAAGGTCAAAATGCTGTCACATCATGTGACAAATTTTTTTTTTTTTGCGAGTCATCTGTGGTTTCGAGAGAAGTAGAATTGAAGTCCATCACACTGAGTTCTCAAAAGCCACATGCTATTTGAACGAAATTGCGACAAAGAATATATTTTGGTCATTGTTAATCCCTGTTACTAATGACTGGCGAGTCGACTTGTGAGTTAACACAACATGGGATTTGTGATGGACTGGCCACCGTCTGTCATTGTGGGGACAGAAACATTGATTTCTACGCAGATGTTTTTTTTAGAATGTGCCCATGGCTGACCTGCGGGTACTCCATGGTTTCGATGGTGCTGTCGTACGCCGACCGCAGCGAGGCAAAGTTGATCATGACATCCACGTCCGGGTGTATCTTCATGGCTTTCTCCATGCTCTTGTAGACGGGGATAAGGATCTCACGGTGGCCCCAGTAGAACTTCTGTTTGTGTTCGCCGCTAGAAATAAAAATAAATTTTGAAAAAATAAAAATATTATGGTATTTTTTTCATGGATACTGTGTTAGGGCAGATGCATTTAAGCCTGTCAGTTGCCATCTCGTTAAAATATGATATAATACTAGGCGCAGAAAATCCATGTAAAGTGACTTGCTCAAGAACACAACACCAGTTGCCCTTGACTTGGCCTGACCCCAATTTCCAAATTACCAATAGGATTTTAAGTCCGATATACTTAAAATCAGACATACCACTGAAAAAGAAGGAACTAGAAAGCACTCAGAGAGCGCAAACCTCCGCAAAGGCCAAACAATTTCAAGGTGTAACAAGGACCATCCCTAGAAATTTCATTGTCATGCAAATCTGTCCAAAACGTTTGCGTTATCTTAACAGAGAAACCAACCAACCAACCAACCAACAAAATCGGATGAACAAAAACAAGCATCAAAGTGCTTCATAATTATTACCCCTGTTCATCAGGCCATGAGACGTTTTTTTTTTCCTGCAGAAGATCCAAATCAGCACAATCTGATCCCTACCCTCGCAAGATGCCAATTGATACTTATGGGTGGAGAGAGGCAATTGTAGTAAAGTGTCTTGCCCAAGAACACAAGCACCGTGTTCCCCCACCAGGGTTTGAACCTAGGTACCATAACACAAGTCAGACATCGTGTCCACTGAACCACAGCGCTCCAGGAAGAATGGAGATTCCAACATGGATTCCTTACCTGAATGGATAGACCATGCCGACAACAGAGGGCTCTTCACGTCGGCAGGAGTGGTCAAAGTCCAGCATGCCCTGGACAGCTCGGGGCTGCATACCGTACAACAGGCTCTGCGAAGGTTGGGAAGTAAAAAAAACAGGAAACATGATAATTTATGTCCAATTTCAAATGTAGTTTTAATAGTTTACTGTACGTTTTCATGTTTTTACTTCATGTTTTTATCAATAAGTACGAGTGGGAAATGAATCTCAGAGCTTGGTTACTGATACACCTCCAATTGTTTGAGACAGAAAATCAAAATTGTGAAAATAAAATTTGCTTGAAGCCTTGCTGGTTGGACTAGTCTAGTCAACTATTCGGGCTGACCTGCCGAGGTTGGTCATATACCCAGTTACAATAGTACAACAGGGAGTCGGAACCAAGAAGTTTTGTGATGGCGTTTTGACCAGCGTTTGACAAGAGGCGTTTGCATGTTGCTAGTAGTACGAAGGTGTAAGTTGACGCACGAATCAACCATTAGTCGACTAAAGGTCCTTCATTGAACTTGCCCAGTGTTTGTTAAAAAAAACACTCACAAAATAATTTTTAAATGTTTTAATTTGTTTAAATTATTTCAAAGTGGAAATTAAAATGCAGACACTTTAAACAATTTTCCCCCATGATTTGGGGCTTAGGTATGAATGATTGAAGACAATTTCTGGAGACTATTAAAAAAAAAAACCTCACAGAATAATTCTAAAAATTCTAAAAATAATTATTTACAAAATGGAAATTAAAATGCATAAACTTGAAACAACTTATTTTTCATGATTTGGGGCTCAGGTGTGAATGATGGGAAAACAATTTCGGGAGACGATTTCCCAACAAACCTTAGTCGTATTAGTGAACAGTGGCTTCTTAGCACTGGCATCACCACCGGCCACGGTCCCGCCGGCCGCCTGACTGAGACCATTCTTGTCACTAGAGGGCGCACTGTTTGCCGCATCTGCGGCCTTGGAAGATGGCTGGTTGGTTGGCTTATCCTGTCCGAGAAAGTTGACAAACCACGACAAGGTGAAAATGTTGGAACAGTTTGAGTAAAATAATTTACCACTTGGATGGTGACATTTTTTTCTGGGGCTATGGATTCTCACAGCATTGAAACAATGCCTGAATCCAAAGCCGTATCCACTAATGCCAATTTCTTGGGATAGCCTAACAATTCTACACAAGTACAACAAAGTTAGTATATGATGAATATAAACCTAATTGGCTAAATTAAAAGTCACTAAGCAGAAATTCTAACTTTTGCTTATCTAGCACTTTTCTATGATTTGTTTGATAAAATATTCATCTGCCTGGAACGAGACTTTGCGTTGTGCTTCGACTTTGTAGCTACATGTATTCAACAAACACGAAAGACAATGGAAAAGAACGATAATTAAAACAGTCATACATTTTGCACACCACCACCTGCAACAAGGCAACTTAAACAATAAGCGACTCAGTACATGTGGGTCATTCAATAAATGTGGGGTCCACTTTTTTTCCCTGTTCTTGTTACATCTGACTCCATCAAAATATATCCCCCATATTGATGGAGTATGATGGACTTGGGCCTACTGGCCTGAAGCAGTGCTAGGGGTATCCGATTGATTTTGCCTAGCTTCCTGTACTGCTATTGTGATAAAAGCCATGTGTAGCAAGTCCACGAATGTCAACAAGTGCGTCAGTGGTGGATTCCATTATGTCATGTACAGTTTTGTATTGGACGCACGGTGATTGATGGATTTCAATGGAATTGATCCAGTTCCTAGTAAAAGACGCTAGGGAGTTAGGGTTGATGCATTCAATGCTAAGAGTGATTACGAATAGCACACGACCTATCCAACAACAAAAAATATAATTTGAAGTCATTCTGAATGACACTTGAATGGTAAAATACGAAGTACCAAGGTGACACAGACAGGAAAAGTGTCACATTTTGGACCCTACATTTATAAAATGACCCATCTGTACTTATACACAAATAACAAAATTTCACTTCTGTTTGTTAGAAATACAGGAAATTATGTAGAACGCCGTAGTGTTGGGGTAAAACATGCTGTGTATACTTCGTACATGCAACCATCTACTCGCAAGACACAAAGCAAAGTTTGGAATAATCCGTAGACAACATTTTACATTTTACTAAGGGGGTTTAGGGCTAACAGGCAAATCTAAAGAAAGGTTAGTTCTGTAGGTTAACTAAAAAAAAAGAGAAAATTCTGTTTACACATGGTACATAACAGCCCAACTTACTTTGTCGGTACTTTCAACAGTCTTTTTGGACTTTTGTGTTAAGTGCAGGCACGGGAGATATAAAAATTGCAGTCAGTAAAAAATTAGCATGCAAAGTAATATCATTGGTATCAATGTGATCACATTAACATAAGTAGCAAAATTGGGAAATCGATCCAAAAATATTCAAGCAAACTCTGGACATCCATTGAACATTTTCAGACTGAACTATTGCTAATAGTGAGTGTGTTGGTTATAAACAAGAAAAAAAGGTGACATTGCCTAGTGCAAATTGTAAACATTTAATTCGTTCTGAAATCAAGCCTACTTCGCTGCATGCACAAATTACGGTAAATATACTCCCAAGAAGTGACAAGAAGACTATAGCTTGTTCAATTCATGAAAGCCTAAGCCATTTGTGTATCAGGTAGTTGTGGCTACTGCTTCACTTTCTTGCCATTGTTTCACCACTGTGTATAGCCGTAGCCACTGACAACAATGACTTGTTGTGGACACAGACTTATTTTAAATCGTAAAATGGACAAGGGTACTTACAGCACTTCCGGCGAGCAAGAAACTGGCGGTTGTCTGGTCTTTTGCCGTCGTGACGGTGGGGATCTCGCGCTTGCCCAACGCCATGCCTACGATCGCCGTCATGTGGGTCTCTGTGCCGAAGACGTGCATGGGGACACCCAGAGAACTCCCTGTGATTTCGAGAAAAAATAGTAGATCAAAATTTGGATTTTGGGTTGCACAGTCTTTGTAGCACTTTTCTCATAATTCAAATTCCAAACAAAGAAATTATAAAGGACGTTTGTCGGCAATATTAAAAGCATGTGGGATCATTTGCTTTTCATGCATTTTGTTCGTTTCCAATAATAACACCACTCAAAATCCATAGAAAAATGTTCAAAACCTAACCTGTTGAAGTTTCAGCTCAGTGGATATTACACTTTTCGAGAAAACAGTGAAAAACCATGCACAACCTTTTGATCACGAAACACAATTTCGTTAATAGAACTCTTTATTTCCAACAATCAGTCAATTGACTGATCGTTGGAAATCACCTACATTTCTTGATTTCTTCTAGATCATAGCAAGCCAGATGGAATAATTTCACAGGGTGTTTAGTACCAATAATGATCTTTAATCCAAAAAAGAATTTTTGAAAATATTCTGAGGTTACTTTAAGGATAAATGCAAATTAACCTTTAATTATGCCTTTAAGCATCGGCAAAGCGTGTATGGGTCAGTTCCATTGATACAAAGGTAATTTAGAGGGAATAATTCTAGATAAAACTCATTCTCTCACCTAGTTCTCTCATGACCCTCAGCCCCTCCTGGTAGTTGGGACCGCCCCTCCTGACGAAAATGGACACTCCGTTATCAATCAACTTGGTCTTGTATTCTTTGAGTGCCCTTACAATACCCTGTTCAAAACAGACAACGAAATGCCAATTAAATTTTTCCCAATTAATTTCTGCAAATTAATCTGTAACATAATTCCATAACAAACATGCTCAAATTGGTCCGATGAACAAGCATGACGCTGTTTCATTGTCTCCAACTCCATGTCTTTGGATATTCTACATGCATGACGTCTGTGAAATCCAGACCACAGTTTTTCATTTTTCAATTGTGCATGACTTTTCCAGAACGAAGTTTGGGCTTTCCATGACCAAATCTTACGCAGTTTTGGCATCTTAGGAGCCATTTTCAATACACTGGCCAGTCATCACACTGAGGCAAGGGACGCCACTCCCTTTCAGCCTTTCAGTCTTCCAGTTTGACACAAGACCACTGAGCACCACAAAAGCATCACAATGGTGCACTGAACATGCAACAAGTTCACAGCGTACATGCATACAGAGGAAGTAAAATAAACTCATGCAAATTGGAAGTCGGACATGACCACATATTACGCATCATCATGTATGGGTTGTGCAAGATTCCATAACTTTTCCTTGATTATATTTGAGAATATGACTCTTAGTAAAATGACAAAATTTCATGACTTTCCATGATACCTTTAAATTCCATGAAATTCCATGAAATTCCATGAAATTCCATGAAATTCCATGAAATTCCATAAAATTCCATGAGATTCCATGAAATTCCATGAAATTCCATGATTTTCCATGACTGTGGGGACCCTGCTCTAGTTTATGGAACTGGGTAAGATTTAGGATTAGCATAAGGGATAGTCTGTTCTTCAGAGAGGGGGGGGGGGGTAATATTGTCACCACATACCTTGAAAGTGGCAGCCACGTTGGTGAAGTTAGCGATTCCGCCACCGATGATCAACACCTTCCCGTCCGGGTGCTTCTCGCGAGTCATCAGACTGAGTATTGTCTTGGCGTACTCGTAGGTCTGCTGCTCGCTGGGTGCTCCGGAGTACTCGCCATAATTGGCCAGCTCCTTGGCCCCGCCGAGGTCACAAATGGTGTCGCTGGAGTTCAGAGGTCAAGAAGACAACATTTATCAAAGTGGATATATAAAAAAAAAAGGAAGTCAATAAAAATCACGTTCTCCGACTGTGTTGGGCTTGGCTTTAATGAGAGCCTTCTTAAAATATTCCTGTATACATTCTAAAATTCAGATCAATGTCCCATAAATTCTAGGTCGGAAAAAGGTTTAAATTAGCAATCACTTTTCCACCAACTAAACTACATTATGTACAAGGAATTGAACAAAAACCTGTGAAAATCTCAGTAAAATTGTTTAAGTTAAAATATTTAATAACATCGGCCCGAACCCAAATTTTTAATTTTTAGTTTGTACCCACTTTTTCTTAACATGTGTTGATTGATGTTGGTTGATTAATTTTTACCCCGTCTTTTAAAAAAAAATTGTATAGTATTACAAGTGCTGGGTTTATTCCAGATGTCAAAACCAAACAATATACATGTACCATTATCATGTTGCAGCCATCTTGATATTTTCCCATTCAAATCAACGTAACCTAAGTGAGGCTGGAAGGAAAATAGTCTGGTTCCTTTTTGCACAAAAACATTATCATTCAGTACTGTTATTGTATACAGGGAACATGACTGAAATGGTGGCAGCATGATAAAGGTCTATACCTGTAGATGACAGAGGCCCCGCCCCCAGCCAGCATGGTCCAGATCCGCCCATGATGATTCAGGATGGACAGCTTGAGGGAGGCTCCACTCTTAGCGTCCAAATCAGCGATGTAGGCTTCCTGGGGTGATTCAAGCAAAAAAGAGGTTACCAGGGAAGATCGTGCATACCAGCGACATCCAATTACAAAGGCACAAAATCTACTGCGTGAGAACCAAATAGCATGGGATGTATTTCACTGGTTGCCAGCATCATGTCAGCAATAGATAAGCAGGTTACCAGGGAAGGATTGTACACCAGCCAAGCCCAAATATAGCAGCACACAAATCTCATGAGTTAAAGCAACGTTATCACAACAGGACAAAAACGCTACCGGTCACTGGATGTATATTTGATTGGTCCCGCTATGGCGAGTATGGCAAGCAAGCAATAGATAGGTAGGTTACCAGCGAAGATCTTGCATATCAGCCAAGATATGCAAGTTTGCTATTTGAAGTTTGAGTTACCAAACACAAATCACCGCTTAAAATATCTTGGAATGGAAACAGTTATGCAGACGATCTGTTTCCGATTTACCTCGGGAAAAGCCTCTCGTCCAAACGGGGGCGGGTACTCGATGTCCCCCCACTGACCCTTGCAGATGTACTCGGCCGTGGCGTCAATCTTGGCAGCCAAGTCCAAGATGTAGACTTTATCTGTCACAACTTCACAAAGAGGAAAAAGTAAAGGAAAAAACAAGATTGAACAACTTGAACATGAATATTGTAAATGTCTGTGTGTAGTCAATATACATCGTTAGGCTAGTGTTTATATCTTGTTTCCTTGGCATGAAACAAATGAGAATATTTATATTCCCCGGGGATGGAATATGATAATATTTCCATAGCAGCTTATCCTCCAGCTAATGCAGGTTCCTAATTACACTTTCGGGTGGAGAGAGGCAAGAAGGGGTAAAGTGGCTTGCCCATGGACACAACCTATGGCCAGCAGCTGGATTTGAACCCCTGACCCTCCGGTCATGAGTCACAAAGCCAAACTTCTGATCTACGCTCCCTCCTTCGCCTTCCATCGCTGTGAACCGGGTTCGATTCCTGCCCTAGTCCACATGCGAATTGGGTTTTCAGTCCCTACCTGATTCTGTGGGTTTTCCTCCCACCTCTAAAACTGTAATTTCTTCTCATTGTCTTCTCTCCACAGGTTTCTTCAGGCTTGCGAGCTACAGTGCCTAGGGTGCTTTTGAGGAACCCTTGGTTTCATTACCAGAAATAAATAAATAATAATGACATCCCAAAGAGAATTTCAAGAATGAAATATCATCGCTGATACCAAAAAGTGGGTGTGGATGGGAGTGGTGGGCTGGGGTGGGGTGGTAATGGTGGTCTACATACCCAGTGGGTTGATCTCCAAGTAAGTGAAGTACTGATCCCTGAACTGCTTGTACAGAGCCTCCACGAACTTGGCAATCATGCTGCGAAGCAGATCAACAGATTTCATTTTTTTAAAATTAATTTACATTCGTAACAGTAAAGAATCAATATGATTCTCCAATGTGGGGACCATGTGTCTTTTCTACAAATCTTTCCAGAAAAAAAAGCAATGTACCTTTTTAAACATGCTTTTTACAGTTAATTTCAAAGCTTGTAAATTTTTTTTTGAGAACTGAATATTCTACTACATTTGTACACTGTATTTTCCGGGCCACTTACTCCTGTTTTCCTGCAGGAACTTTTGCGAGTAGTTTCTCCTTCACAGTGCTGGCTGTCAGATCATCTGTAAGCCCCACTTCTAACTTTACAGCCTGGGAATGAAATCCATAAAAAAGAGTTTAAAAAAAAGACAAAATCAAAATATTCATTGCAGATGCATATTTCTTCAATCGTTATTAATGCATCTTATCAATACTGAAACGTCACATGGGAACACTCATTTTAAAAAAAATTTCAAAATAGATAGTGCAATTTGATTTTGAAAATATTTGAGTACTTTTGTCTATCTTCATCTTTATGCAACCATCAGTTTTATCCTCATGAGAACAATTGCTGTAAAATATCCTGCCCAGGGACACAAACACATTTAATTACTGGATGAAAACCGAGTTTGGAAATTTGACACTATGAGGCTAACATCAGTCAAGTCATTACAAGTCCTACACAATTGCTTGTCAAGCACACATCATTCAGTCTCGAGTCATAAAGTCTCAAAACTAACTGGAAAAACTGTCCTTTAAGATTTGTTTCGCAGGACCCGGTCACGTTTGATCATGTGCGGTCACATGACCCTCACCTTGGCGTCTACGTTGCCAATGTCCACCCCTCCCTCGTGATGGAACAGGACCACGTCACATGACCTCTGGCAGTAGATGCAGAGGTAGACCTCGTCCGTGGGCTGGTGGGGGATGAACGGCTCGATGATGAAATTGGTCAGTTTCCCCTTGGCCTCGCCGATCTGTTGTCGCAGTCGAAGGAAAAAAATGATTAATAAAGAATGAAAAATTATTCAAATATCTGGTACTACACAACCTCCAGAGTACTAAATCATCAATATTTTTTTCAGATGTAATGGGATTTTTTAATGAGAAAAAGGGTCTGACTTTGAATTGACATGGTTCAAGAAATTTTGAATTGTGTTTTTGGTATGAGATATAGAGATAATATTGTCAATTTAAAAAAAAAAAGTCTCGAAAATTGGAAGAAAGGTCTGAAAGATGCATTTCTTTCTATACCGGTAATTTCTTTCTCTCAGATGCAAACATTCTTATTTTTGACTTAAATCTGAAAATACATTTTTTTTAAAATTAATGCATTCCATATATAAGTTGGAAACATTTTGAGCAAATTTTATTTTAAAAACTAATAGCAATTTTTTGAAGAAAATATGGTCCTTTCAAACTTGAAAATGTACTTTGGATACTAAGAAAATTCATAGAGATAATGAAAGTGATTGCTCGCAAATCTTCATGTTCAAATTGACGTACTGCATCTTTTTATCCTAAGAGCAAGTCTTTCCGATTCAAATTGGGTAGTATTTTTTCACAAGATATTATGCAAATTGGTTGACAAATTGGCAGGGGAAAAAAAACCCCGAAATTAAAAACAGACAAATATCAATTTACCGCAAAGTCCTTTCCTAGTCTTGTTGACAGCCATTCCTTGACCCCTTGTAAATCAACGCCGACTTTGATGAGGCCCAACTTTCCTCTGCGCTTAATCAACTGATCCGGTTTCACCACCAGGCGCTGTGAGTAGAGAGAGATAAAAATGAAACACATCATTATACGTAATTGAGGTCTTGAGAGGACGTTTACTGCTTTTTGTTTACTTCTTTTGGTTGCAGTGACTATTATTGTGGAGTGTCATGGCCTAGTGGTTAAGAGCGCCGGACTCATGCTCTGGAGTTTCAGAGGCAACAGTGGCGTGGGTTCGAGCCCGCCGGGTGGACACTTGTGCCCTTAAGCAAGGCACTTAACAATTACTTGCTTCGTCCTTCGGATGGGACGTAAAGCCGTAGGTCCCGTGTGTTAAATGCAATGAACCCAGAACCCAGCAACACTTATCGCTAAGAGAAGGGGTTTGCCCCGGTGTTTCTGGCCTTCTGTTATTACTCCCATGCGGAGCCCTTAGGAGAAGAACCAACCCAAAACCAAGAACAGAACTATTATGTATTTGCAACATCCATGCTTGAGGGTGCATTATTTACAATGTAATTAATTTTAGTCTTGGGCACTTTACATGTAGTTGATGTGCGTGTGGGAATTCAGACTCATTCTCCACGACACAAGAGCAATATTCAAATTGTTATTCGTCAGAAACAAAGTTAGCTTTCCCCCTGAAATTTGAACTGAGCATTTTTCCTATAGTGTCCATCAAATGAATTTTTCGTTCAACAAACTTTGTTTTGAACAACAAATTTGGTTTAAACATATACACAGAATCTACTTCATGAGCGACCAACCAAATACAGTGACCAACTGTTGACTAATACCATGACCAATAAATGAGAACAAATTAAAAACGAAATTCGACAGGAAAGCCTGAAAATAAAAAAATCCCCTATAAAATAAAACACAACTCTACTACCAACAACTGATTATTTTTACTCACTTGAATCTATTTGTGGAATTTGGTTGCCAAAAAAAGTTAAAATTGTCAGCACTATCAATATAGATAAGTCGAGGTATGTGGTTTTATTCCTCTATGACTACATGACGAGACAAGTAGAGAAACCCTTTTTTCTAAAAATACACGTGTACCTCAGTTTGAGGGTGACACAGTTCTGAAGTGTCTCTTTATCAACGTCCCAAAAATTTCAGTTTTTTTTCCCCACAATGAATTATCATCTCTGATTTCTAATAATACAGAACACACATTGGTTCAAAAGCCTTTTTATAGCTCACGGTCCAACTTCATTGCTATCAAACAAACCAACAATGGGCGAGTGTTGCCGTTTAAAGCAACTCTAAATCCGTACCCTACATATTTAGACTTTTATCTCTAAACTTAGATCAGGTCTGGCTTAAAATACCACATCGGCTGATAATAGTTGAAATCAGGTGATATGGTGTCTAGTGTGTTGAAGGTTGAAAGCACGAAGACGTGTGCATTGCCTGTTCCCTTAAAAGTCTATGTAGTATTTTTGCATACTTTGTGAGTGATTTTGAATCAGCTGATTTTTAGACAACAATATTGGTATTGTGGGCCAACATTTCTGAGTATTTGAAAAAACAGATCTGGTCTACATGTAATTTTCCATTTTGTCACTTTATTTTAATGGATTTTAAACATTTTCTTTTAATAGATTTTACACTTTCACTGTATAATTTTTCTCTTTGCGAAATGAGAACCGAAATTGTCAGAAATTAGTCACCAAAAGTTGTACATGAAGTCAAGTTGCAATGTCACAGAGAAATGAAGACGGAGAAATGAAGGATTTGACCAGAACAAAAACATGCACAGGCGAAGGTATTTTATTCAACCGGTAACCGATATTTTTTTGGTGGCACAAACACACTAAGCAAATTTGAACGCTTGTCTGCTCTATGAGATTGAGCACCGGTGCCCATGCAAAACTGCCTCCTAAAAAAAACCCCACAGACACAACAAAATAGAGCGCAGAAAAATCAATACATATTAGCCCGAGGCTGTAATATCTCGCACAGCCAGTTGCATACGATACACACATCGGCAGAGTCACACGTGCATTTATGCGCATCTGGCCCATGGCTGCCCATACTTCAACTGTACTGCTGTTAGAACACAATTAGCATTTTACTGTACACAAGTGTGCGCTCATGAGTGAGCGCACACTTTGTCTACAAGAAAAACCAAACAAAAAATCAATGTTGCTTTGGATATTAAAACATCGTGGTTTGCATTTTTCATTAGTGGTATAAATTAAAACTTAAGTGTCAAGCTACATTGTGTGTATAAAGCTACATGTATATTATGAATCGGAGGAAAATAATTTTGACGGGTAGGAATTATTTTTTTTCATGAGAGTGAAAGATGGCAAATTAAACAGGATGTTAAAACCCGCGGCAGATGTTTTCTGTTTACTCATTGCCATTTGTTTGCTTATCAAAATCGTTCGCTTAACGCTTTTTGACAAAAATGCTTTGGTTTAAAGTGAGACTGAACTCAATAAAAACAAGTAAGCTCATTAGTTGTGATTTGGGTACTTTTATGAATTAATCTTATTAAGTTTCATTTAAAAGGAGAGCAGTACTGTCTAAATGTTGGTCATCAATTGTGAATAATTATGACTTTTTTTTCAACACTGCGCCAAATTGGACAGAACAAAAGTGCAATGTGCTCAGTCAAGTTTTGTTAAGGAATTTGACATTCTTGCAGCTTTAATAAATTGTGCGAATGCAAGTTATGTCACATTTCAACCCCTGTTCAGTACGAAATAATTCTTTGGCATCAACACTAGATAAAAGTTAGCCAAAATATTTAACGTGCAATAGGCCTATTGTTCAAGTCTTTAATATATAAAGACGGAACATTTTATCAGTAAGCATGTTGTAAAATCAGCAAAAAACCTAAACTTTCCAATAATTAGAGTAAGGAACAAGGATTTAGGATACCTATTTATAGGCCAGTTTTGTTGCCCAATTTTGTTGTGCAAATGAATAAAAGCTTGAAACTTCAGTGATCTTGTCGCCCTTCAGTTTTTCTCAATTGAGGCAGCTTTGGTTTTCAAATTTTCAAAAACTGTACTACATATAAAGCCCAGTGGAATTTTTTTATTAGTCTTACATGTATTTACATCCCTGTTTGTATTCATGTACGTGTAGGCACTTCTTCGGATAAAATCTGACTGAGTGCTTAAACGTCTACCTGTACCCCGACAAAGTCCTATCAATTACATTTTCAAGTGGGTAGCATTTTCGGAGTCAGATTTGCGACGAGCGCATCATCAACCCAGGGCATTGCGATACGCGAGCCCGTCGCGCTGGCAGTCTCCGTCAAGACGCTTCCGGTAATGAAATCTTCTCGCTGATGCGGCCCGTCCTCGCTAATCTAATTAGGGGCATTTGCCAAGATTGATTCCTTTAAGAAATCGCTCCCCATGGCCAGACATTTACAGTGTCTAAGGCGAGGAAATTCTTATGAGAGAGATGGAATAGTTTCCAAACACTTATGAACACTGCATTTGTAATTTGTTACAAATACTTGTCAATAATTTGTAAATTATATTTCATTCACAATTAGAGAAAACTTGTTTACAGTTAAATGCAAAGTTAGAAACTTGCAAAATATTTAAAATTTGCGTAACTATACATGTATTGTTCAAAGATTTTCTAAAAAGGTGTGTTCAAAATGGCAAAACAAGAAAATCCTTAACTGATTAAATTCTAGGCAGCTATATGTATTCAGGAACCTGTTGGCCTGGAAAGTGTACACACCCAGTTTCAAAGCAGAAAAACTTTCAATGTCATGTACCTATGGTGGTTTTACAAATAAGGGTTATTGTGTCAGTTAGATTCAAGGATAACACAACAAAATACAGTTGAATGAAGTGTGATGTTGCTTTCATGGTGGCCAATGCTGACACAATGAAGAGGTCAAATTTTATGGGAGTTTTTTTTTGGGGGGGGGGGTGTTGTTCAAGAGTTAAACCTGACTAGTGATAGTTTATAATTCGTGAATCGAACCCATTCATGAAAAAGTACTCTTTTATAACTTTTAAAGCAAAGACATGAAAACAAAAGCAAAAAAAAAAAACATACAAAAAAGGAAAGAAAATTCTTTATCTCATGAAAAGGCAAAAAGATGAAACTCATTCCAAGCAAAGGATCAAATTATTCAAAAGAACAGCAATTGCTCAAAACAGAGCAGAAATGAAGTAAAAAAAATACTACTACTAAATGCACAAACTACTAAATGCCATTATCTTGTGCATTGAACCATTTCTGAGATTAGCCTTTAAGTATACTCGGCATTTTAAATTTGTCACCTCACCTCAAGATAGGTGGGAATATTGGATCTAAACAAAACCTGGGAAATTTATTAAACCGTGAAATTGTCAAATTAGCCTTATGATCAGCAAATGACTTGCAGGCATGGGGCGCATGTGATTAGGCATCTAAGAACTAAGCGCTGAGGATGGGCATGGAAGCAGTGTGGCCAATGAGGCCAGGAAAAATAATAAACTAGATTCTCGTCCGCGCCCACTTCTTTTTTTCCCCAGCCGCCGCCTCCTTTTTTTCTTTTTTTTTCGAGTGGAAGCGAGTGGGAACAAGAAAACAGTTAATTTTTTTAATTTGCCTAATACTGCATTCTTTTTATAATTTGAATATGAGAATTGATGTAGTGATGTATATGAACAGGGTGAGTAAAAAAAAACCCGAATTAGAAATTCAAATGTCAGTACCATTGTTTTAGTGAAGTTCTGCATGTAGCACTTCCAAAATCTAGGATATGAAAGGCCAATCATAAGCTTTCTTTTAGTACAAGAATCATTCAAATTACTCATGTACTTTTCAAGTTACGGAGTTTTAAACACAACCACTGTTTTAAGGTTCTGTCCACGGATCACAAAAAAACTTCAGTGTTCTTTCAGCAAAACGAAGACAAATCACATAAGGATGTGTGTGAATTGTTTTCGTTTTGCTGAAAGAAAGCACACTTTTTTTGGTGACGGTGGACAGAACTTTAAAACGGTGGTTGTGTTTAAAATTCCGTAACTTGAAAAGAACATAACTGATTTGAACGATTCTTGTACTAAAACAAAGCTTATGAATTGGGCTTTCATATCCTACATTTTGAAAGTGCTACATGCAGAACTTCACTAAAACAATGGTCCTGACATTTGGGTTTCGTTTTTTTTCTCTCACCCTGTACATGTACAACTCTTGGTAAGATTGATGGTGCCTGCATGTCCAGAAAATTCTTCCGCATGCCGGCTCGCAAAGATACAATTAGCACAGGTTGCTGGCACTTTGTTCGAAGGATCAATGCGCGTCTCCTAGATTTAGGGGGGCAATAATACGCCATAAAAATGCACTGGTATGATGAAAGTAATGGAGAGGAAACAATAAAATCACACAACATCCCAAGGCATACCAGCACATTTTCATTAGATTGAATGAATGTTTTCACCAACAGAACCTGTTTAAAAAAAATCTGTTTCACATTTCACATTATATGCGTAAGCGTACCAACAGAAATTCCTTGAACAAACTTTGGGTTGAAATTAAAGAATTTGGTACGGATTTGTTTTCTTAAGTAACATTTGCATTAAAATAGCAACAAATGAGGGCTCATTTGCTCCATTTACAATCCAGATTCTGGTTCAAAAGCAGAATTCATATTTCACATTAATTCACTCATTTGTAACACATGCCCTCAAAAATACTACCGATGATAAAAGCTGAGTCATTTGTACAAAGTCCGTACATACATGTACCAGTAACCCTGTGCAATTTTTGTTTCATATTTACTGCTCTCAAAAGCAATATAAAATGTATGTGAGTGATTATCTATGTACATGTAAATATATGTAGGCGATAGGCCTTCAAGTACAAAGTATGTGCGCACATTCATAAAGTACATTCATGTTCAACACCACTTTTGTATTAAACATGAATACATTTTGTACAAATAAATATAGTGTCCCTTTGCATTCTAAATGTGGAGGAACATGTTTGAGGCTATTTGGAATATTTCATGTACACAGGTAAATCACTCAGTCTGCCGACATGTCAATTGGCAGAATTTTAAAATCTGGACGCCTGCAGCGCAGCACTGTGAAATTGATATTGTCAGCATGCGGTCATCTAAATGGGTACTAGACTTTACAATTAGCCTTTGAGCGTTTTTTTTTTGGTTCTGCATGCATATTACCACTTCCAGTTTAGTGCCTGGTGGACCGTTCCGGGGTTTGATCTACAAGGTACAAGGTCTTAGTTAAATTTTTCTTATGGGGGAATGCTTGCAGGACAGACTTGTGCAAGTCTAATCCAAATGGAGCGATAAATCTATTGCCTATGCCAGGGTATTGACTGATAGGATTAGGGCAGATAGTGATTAGAGTCCTGGGCTCATACTAGCGCACAGCGAGGTTCTTCACTGATTTTTTAAATGGTGGGTCTGCTGAAAATGTCACGCCACTCATAATACAATTTTCAAATATTTCCACCAATGGACTCAACTGTATTTGTGGATGAAATAAAGAGAGACACTGTCTCTTGCTATAGAAATACATTGTACCACTTTCAGATTGCTAACACAAATTTCAAAATAAAAATAAATAAATGGAATTTGATGATAACACAAAACCTGTAGACATGTTCCTCATGTATGGGCACATATTGTTCTGACTTCTTCCAAGGACATTGAAATTAAAATAAAATGCTGATGAACATTTTTTTTACGGAAAGAAAGTACATTGCAGTTAGTATCCAGACGCCACTTCTTTGGTTGTGAACAAAGTTTATGTTGAGCCGAGTGCATTTTCAAAGTCCACAAAATTGGAAATGTTTCTCAGTCCCAGATTGATGTCTTTTTAACATTTTTGCATAACTGATCCTCTTTAAGATAATATACGATGAAAACAGGGTGTAATGATGCAACATTCTTTCCCATTTTGCACCTCATACAATTTCTGCAGAAAGCAATCACAGAGCTTGCAGACATTTCCCTTTTATGTTATTTGATAGGACCATAATATGTACATCATCACCTGAAATTCAAATAAATCAAAAGTGAAAAGCCATGTTGCACTACATCATAGGTGTGGTGGGGCAGGGGTGGGGTGGGGGTAGGAGATGGGGCGGGGAGAGAGAGTTCAGGAGGGGGGTGCCACTGTCATACCTCCGTAAGCAGCCAGGGGTTCTGCGCAGTCAGTTGACCCCAGTCCACATCTTCCGTGACCGTGGCCCACTTGTTGGGTGCAGTGACGTCGCACTGTAGATGCCGTTGTAGCAAGTTCTTGCCTGCTGCCTCTCTGATGGCCTTGGCTGACATATTTGGTTATTGTTAGTATTTCTTTTAAATCTTTAAATTTCTGAAAATAAAAAACAAAACAAAAAACAATTGGACGTTGAATGGACAAACATCCATCATTTTCTCCAAAATTACTGAATTACCACCCAACACAAAATATAAATCCGAACTGTTTAATACATGTAAAAAAAAAATCCCTCTTCTAATTTTTGAATTCAACCACAAAAATCCGAATACAACTTTCCTATTGAAATTCACTCTTCATAAATATTAATTAAATATGAATATCAAGTACTTGCAACTAGCACACAACTTCACAAGTACTTGCAAGTTGCAACTGTACAATGAAAATAAGTTTAGTGACCAGTCAAATCATGGAGGAAGAAATAAATGCAATAAAAAAAATTATATCCAAATAAACATGAAATAATTCAACAACTATCATCATGAATTAGCTCAACACATTTCTCCACTGTTATTTCTTTAAGTAAATCTTACAGAAATATGCTAATTGCTATTCAGACTACTTTCCCTCCTCAGTTTGTTCCCGGATACGCCTGTCAAAAGGGAATTCCAGGGAATCCCACATGCACTGAACGTAATGACGTCACATCTAGGAAACCCGGACACTCTATGTGTGTTGATTTTTTTAAGTAGGCATAAACTTGATAAAGAAAAATAGTTTTGAAAGCAATTTTTTCAGTTATCATTGCAAAACCACCTAGATGTACATCAAAGACAGCAGTAGACTATTTGACGTTGGAATATAATCAAACCATGAGAACACACAACACAAAATAAGGTCATTTTGCTTGACAACTGAAAGAAAATCTCCACCGTGAATTCGGGTGGTTGTCGCCCGTGGCAGTCCCGTCAATAAACTGCAGGAACACGGTGGTTGCTGCTCAGTCCACGATAAATCAACGGACATTTGGAACACATTTGTGGCCTGATATACTGAGGTATTACTCGAAAGGTAGACGGCTCAGATGAATGCAAATATACTCAATTTAACAGCCTGTATCGAAAACATGCTTACCTCGATCAGATCTTCATAAAATGGTGAGATTTGAGGTCCGTTTTATGAGGATGTATTCGTGAAAACCCGGATACTACACAATCGTCAACGTGCAGCGCGGTATGCGTACAGTAGTACACGTACACGAGGATAAGTGGTGTCAGATCACACCACATGTCACTAGTCTGGTGCGAGTGACACGCGTGAAGCCACGAGGTCAAAATTACCATATCCGCATTGCGATTGGCTGATACCAATTGAAGCTCCGCCTACTTGCTTATAATCGTGCATAATTATATTTAACTAAGAAAAGTTTTGTTTGTGATTATAAATGCAAACGTACATGTACAGTAAATTTAAAAAAAAAAATTAGCAGTATCAGCAGTTTAAGATTATGAAATAATTTTAAAACTTTGATACATCTAATGCAGTCTAAGGTAATATATAACGAGTAATAAAACTTGTTTGGTTTTTTTTTTTTCCAATATTCAACATTTTAATGTAAAAATAACTTCAGCACTTTTTAACTGATAGTAACAAAATAACAGTCTAAAAATGGATTAAACATATAAAAAGTTTGCAGTTGTTTGCTGGGTTTTTGTAACGAGAGGGAGGGATTCTTATTAGACCTGAATTATAATTTTTAAGTCACTGAATTCACACACACACACAAATTATTATTAAATCTAAATATTAATGTGGCCTGACGTTGCGAACTTAGCAAGTTCTTCCTTATTATTGGTAAGGAAACGGCTGGCGCCCTCTCTTGATTGAACAAAGGTGTGCTTTTTTTCTTTTGTTTTATCGTTTCCTACCGTTATGAAGGCCAATGTGTGACCCAATTTGGTGGTGGAAAACGAATGATAATCTTCAAACGGTTCCCGCGCTTCGGAGAACGTGGGATTTTCCGTATACGTCAGGAACGTAAACCAGCGCACCCGGACCCGCGTTTCGCGGACTGATTCCCGCCGCCCAACCAATACGTTCTAAACAAAATGGTATGGTGAATGGAAACCAGTCTAGTTCTCATTTGGCGTGAGGTTTCACATGGACGGATGTTGTTGTTTCGCAGCACGTTTGTAAGATAAAGAAAATCGCAGCAATTTAGAGCAAAATGTCGGATCAGGTAGTGCTTTCACTTAATTTATTCCATGTGTAATCTTCATTAATCGTTTTCAGTTCTTTATGGTTCGGTGGAAGGGTTTAAATGTGCAGTTAATTGCAAGTGTAAAGTTATAGTTATATACAGAACAATGGAATCATGCTGCACCAGTATCGTGATACTTTTGACAACTGTTGTCATTTTAACTTGTTCAAGTTGTTGCAATGTATTTTGTAAATGAAAGAAGTGTTTTTCAATAGTTTTGTTGCAAAGATGTTGTTCTTATGTAAGAAATACACAGAATACTACCAACCAGTGTTTGAAAAGTGTTTTGAAGTGTAATTTAATAGACGGCTAGATTTAGCCAGCTTTCTTAAACGATAAAGCCGGCTATTTTGTACAGCGCCCTCTTTGACGCGTATACAAGAAGGGCCTACATTAAAAAATGTACTAAATTACCACTATCATTTGTGCAACACCTGTGGCCGAGTTGATAGCACGTGTATCTCGTAAGTGAGAGATCCCCATCAGGGTTCAATAATCAATTACCAGCTTGCGACATTTTTGATTTTTTTTTTTATCCCCCCCCCAAAAAAGGTTAAGAATAATCATCTTTTATTTTAAATTGACTCCCAAGTCCAACCTTTTGTCCAACATTTATTGCAAAGTATTACATTTTTATCTGATTCGTGGCTCTGGAGGATTTTTTTCTTTGAAGGGAAATAAAGCTCGAAATTTTAAAATGGTCGGATTCCCATCTAAATGGCATCTTGTAAATACGAGGGTCACAGTGACAATGACATGAATGACAATGTCACTACGCATGTTCAGTGCCTCTCTGGCAAAATATCGTTTACTAAAAGAAAGCCGGAACCAACTAAATATCCACTGCCTTGTGTATATCATGAATCAGTTCATGCAGTTTGTGTCAAAATACTACATTTTTAAAGAAAACAGGTTAAAGGGAATATACATCATTTGCTTTTGTTGTAATTTTCAGAAATGGATGGAATTGGGGGGTTGGAAATATATAGCAAATATAGTTACACTGACTTTTTTGAGGTTTTGGGTTCGAAAATGCTATAAAACCAAGAAAAACAATCATTTTCCTGTAGTCTGGTTCCCTAACTCCATATAAGAAGAAACAGAGCAGTTTACATACATTGGGGAATTGTAAGGTCAGGGAACCAGTCTAGCTGGCTTGTACCCGTTCATAGGTGTGTAATCGAATTGCAAACAAGTGCGATGGTCAATTGGGGCCAGTATTTGAAAAAAAGCCAGTGTTTTCCAACGCTGGTGGGCCGACCAGCATTGGAAATTGATACAAAAATACCACTTTTCTTGAAAATGACAGTATACCAGGTGCCATGATTTTACAGGATGCTTTACACTGTCATTCACTAACAGTCCAGCAAGGTATTTCAAAATGATTTGGTAGTTTTATTTTTTGATGTTTGCAAATGTTGTATTTTCCCTTTAAGAATCCGTTGTTCTAGCCTAAAAATCGCCTCCTTGTCTGTTGATAATTCAGGCACCTCGTGTTGGTGTTGAGATTTACTTTTGAAGTTAGACTTAGGTTTTCGTTTGTGGGGCTTGATCTATGCAGGTCGGGCAGGACAACAAACCAGGGACCGATTGCGAGAACGCAAAGGGAGCTGGCTCATCAACCTCGGAATCCATCAAAATCAAAGTCAGAGATGAGGTGAGTCTTAAAGGGAATGTACATCATTGGCTTTTGCTGTAATTTTCAGAAATGAACTATATGAGAGGTTAGTATAATAGATCAAATATGTGACCCGCTCTGCAAAAATGAGTCTGTTGTGGCAAAACTGACATTTTGAGTTAACTACATTAATAAAATGTGAATGAAATAAGCTTTCATTTAGTATATCATGGACCTCTCTAGGACGTTTGGTTGCACTGTTGTGCTTGTTTCATTCTGTAAAGTTTTTGCAGAGCTAGAAAGGTCTCAATGGAGAAAAAAGGCTTTGAAAAATGACAAATACACTGTAACTAACCAAGAAAAGCACCAAAGATTCATATTTTTTTTCCTTTTCTTACAATATTTACATTTCTGTGTAAGATATTTGAACTAAAACTATCAAACAACCAAAATAAAACAAAAACAAAAAATCAAAATTTTGAGCAAATTTTTACTGTTTCCATTTCAAAATGGTAAAAGCTTGAATTCAAATTATGCGACATCAGACTCATTTTTGCAGAGCGGGTCACATATTGTTACACTGACATTTTTGAAGTTTGGTGTTCGAAAAGGTTGGAAAAACCGAGAAAAACAAAAATGTTCAAGTAGTCTGGTTCCCTGACTCCACAAAAGATCAAATGGATCAATGTATAGATGATGGAAAATTGTAAGGCAAGGGAACCAGTCTAGCTGGCCTGCACCCGTTCATGAACATGTAACCAATAGCAAACAAAATTTGGACTGAAAAAAAAATGGTAAATTTGGAGCAGTAGTTGAAAAATAGTTAGGTTTTTCCAACGCTGGTCGGCCGACCACCGTTGGAAATGTTTACAAAAATACCATTTTCTTGAAAATGACTTCACACCAGGTGCCATAATTTTACAAGATGCTTGAGACTGTCATTTACCAACATCCTAGTAAGGTATTTCGTAAAAACTTGGTAGTTTTATTTTTCGATGTTTGTAAATGTTGTATATTCCCTTTAAATCAATCAACTGTGTCAAAATATGGTATTGGTCTCTATTTGTACACGTCTCACCATGGTCTGCCACCAAACTACTGATGTTTACATGTGTGCTTTCCTTTTTTTTTCGCGTCGGAGGACGTGATCTCACGCACTAGCTGTTTTTGTACACAGACACGGCTGAGGGGTTCAGACGTCGAGATTGCCTCGACTCTCCTTCGGGTGACGTCTAAACACGCTAATCCCCCGTGCCTTTTGTACACACACACAAAGTCCGTGAAGTCTGTGGAGGCAGACCGTGTGTTGATCTTGGTCGTTGTGCACGGCCCGTTGTTGTACATTTTCCGCACCAGTGCATACCCCGGGTATTGAAACATATGAGGTGTGGCAAGAAATATCATACCAATACTGTTGAAATGACTCTTGCTAATCAGTATTTGTGGCGTTTAGCCGTATATCAGAAGTTGGCTGGAAAATGTTAACTTGTGCGAAAATGTAAATTTCGGCCAAAATGATTCCGGTGCGAAGTGATATAAAGCTGGCCTTCCTGTTTAAAATTGGGTATACCCATTTGTAAAACTGGTTGAGTCGCAACAATCAGTACAACGAAAAGCACACAAAATCTTGTACATTATTGACTACCAAGATTAACCAATGAATTGATTTTCGTATATTTTTTTTCTTACAGGCGGGTATGGAGGTCTTATTCAGAGTCAAGATGAACACGCAAATGAGGAAAATCAAAGAAAAATACTGTGAGAAAGCGGTAAGTGAAAAACACGTTTTTTGGTCAAAACTACGTGTACAGGCTTGATTAGCCCTAACTCCCTAGGATGCTAGGATACAACTTCAATCCTGCAAAATCCTCGAACCGCCTTCATGTAAAAGTAGCAAACAGCCTCAAAGCTCCAAAATCATCCGATATTTCTTAAGTGGGGTTGAGGGGGGGGGGGGGGGGGGTTGACCACTGCCTCTATCCTGCAAAATCTTCCAGCAATCATTGTCGATATGTTAAGGCTGAGCCAGTGACATCCTGGAGCAGTGCGGAGGATTCCAAGTATAATCAAGGGCTGAATTTATGCACGTCTGAGCATAAACAACGCGAGGTCCGGCCTAAGACCTTAACACAGTGCATCCTCTAAAATCAGCTACACATTTTTGCCATATAGCCCCAATCCTGCAAAATCCTCCATTTTTCAAAGAGCATTTTGGAGGATTTGGGAAGGTTAGGGTCTAGTCTTTCTCTATGCACCGTACTGAATCCAACTATTTGCCTTTCACTTTTTGATATCCCTTTAAATTGGCTTTGACAAAGGTCTTGCTTAACCCTAACTCGGTTACTCCCTAGGCCTTTTTGCTAGGATGTAGCCTCAATCCTGCAAAATCCTCCAATTGGCCTCATGGAAAAATAGCATATAGCCTCAATCCCGCAAATTCCTCCATTATTTCTTGAATATGGTCCATGGAGGGGTGACCACTGCCTGAGTCCTGCATAATCCTGTGGCAGTGACTGCCAATATGTTGAGGCTTGGCCAGTGACATCCTGGAGCAGTACGGAGGATTTCAAGCATAATCCAGGCCTATATTTATGCATGGCTGAGCAAAAACAACACAAGGTCCAGCCCAAGACCTTGACAAAGTGCATCCCAGAAATCAGTAACGCATTTTTGCCATGTAACCTCAATCCTCAAAAGTCCCCCACTTTGGCAAAGAGGATTTTGAAGGATTCGGGGCGGTTAGGGTTAACAGTTTTTCTGTTTTGAGGCGTGCGATCACACCCCCACGCCATCACACGCCTAAATGCTTCCTGAGAAGTGCGAATAATCGCACGCCTGAATCCCTCAGTACCACACACCTCGGCATACATTTACGGCATAATTATACTTTATAATTTGTGAAAAATAAAGTATGTCAGTGAAGAGAATATGGCTTTATTGTAAACCAAGATGAATATTTTGGAAAACAAAGTACCAGATTGTACAGTCCCAGCTTGGACCACAGAATCACACACCTAGAAAAATCACACGCCTAGAAAAATCACACGCCTAGAAAAATCACACGCCTAGAAAAATCAAGGTGTGCCTTTTTCCACACACCTGTGATTTTCAAATCAGAAGGACTGGGTTAAGGACCGAGACATTAGGCCAGCTGATTTTGTTCACATTTTTTATTTCCTCAGGAGAAGAACATTACCCACATTAGGTTTCTCTTTGACGGGGAGACGATAAACGATGACACGACACCGAAAGAGGTAAACCGTTTTATTTTATTCCTCTTCCTACGGTGCTTCCAAGCTATTCCTGCTGGACAAGTGTGTTTTTATCCAAAGAAAAAAAAGCTGTTTTCCAAGGGATACCCTCACAACTGTTCCTTTGTAAAGAACATGGATACTTGTGATAGTTTGTGATTGTCCTAAACTACAACTTAAGTTACTGCACGGTAACTAGTGGTTGGGGTTTGTGACTCATGATCAGGGGGTCAGAGGTTCAATACGAGCTGCTGGCTCTTTGTCGCGCCCTTGGGCAAACCACTTCATCCCTACTTGCCTCTCTCCACCCAGGAGTATAAATTGGTACCAGCATTAGCTGTGAAGTAACCTGCGATAGACGGGCATCCCATCCAGGGGGAACAGAAATATTCTCAGTCGTTTCATGCTACTGAAACCGGAGATAAACGCCGACCTATTGGGCCACATTGGCTCGTGACATATTTTACTTACAGTGACAAACAGGCAGATTAAGATTAAAGACAGCTGTTGCCAAGGCATTAAACATGCCAATTGTGACTTTTGTTGTTTGTAGCTCGACATGGAACCAGACGACATCATCGAAGTAGTCTCGGCGCAGACCGGGGGACACCGAACGCACCTTTACTGACCCTAACTGGTTTGAGATATTTTTCAACCTTTCTTCTGTCGTCACATTTCACGCTGTAGGATTTCTATCCTTAACTTCACAGGAAGACAACGATGTTATCATTCACGCAAAATGTTTTTTTGTTTTTTGAAATCCGGTAATACATTGGTTTTTAAAGGTGCATGCCACTTTTGGTTATACCTGTGCGATTGGAGATGGCAGTTGGGTATATACTCTGAGGGGTTGCCTTTAATTTTGTCCAAATAACGCACTTATTTCTAGGTAGTCTAACAACTGTTGCAATTCACCAACTGCTGCAATTCAAATATGTTTTTTAAAATTCTCTCCCTGTCAAATTTCATTAAATTTACTTACGTTGTCATCAGAATGATGGCACATTTCGCAACAGCGGTTACACCATCATTGTTTTTCCTGCTCGAATATTTGAATATTTTGTCAGACCAGTTTCGAATAACTGAGTAGTAGATTATTCGAAACTGAACAGCCCTGCAAAATACACACTGATAAGTGGGAAGCGTTGTAAATAACCGTTTCCCCCCCCCCCCCCCAGACACATTGTATACCACTGTTCAATCAGTACCAAATTTTCAGAATTTATGGGATAATAAAGCGGTTTATTAAATAAGCACTCAATTTTTTCTTCCACTGTCAAATAAGTACACATAATATAGATTTCAAAATGTGCAGGTCAAGATGCATTTCAGTTTTTGAAAAAATTAAAATGAAATTTACTGGAAAATAATTACTGAAAAATTAACTTTTTTTCTAAAAAGAGTTAATTAGAAAAAGAAAAAGCAGAGGTTATGGGTCGTTCAGTTGCTGTTTCAAGTCTTGGTCTGGTAACTGTAGGCAAGACAGTGCCAAATACATAGTCTGAAATGATTAGCACCCTACCAAGTTTAATAGTGTTCATGAGCTTTTGAGTTGGAATAAGTATTGAAATATCACCTCAGATTTTTTATGCAATTTCGTCTTGAATTTTTTTTTTTTTTTTTAAATCTTGAAAATAATGAATTCAATTGCGTCATCTATCTGTCACAATGAGTCAATTCGATTTTGAGCCGACTTGAAACGGGTTGAAAACTGCTAAGCGCAAAACAGCCTCAAGACTGGTGAACCAGCAGGGTTTATATACATAGTGATGGGATTTTAGCTGGTAACCGATGGAATGTGCAACAGGGGCTGCTTCGGAATCATTATGTGAAAAACAAACTTTTGAAAGATTTGCAGTAAAAAAGATTGCATTGATTTTCAGCAAAACAAATATGACATACTTTCATATCAATTGATGCCACTAGATACCCTTTATCGGGCATGAAAATTGACCATAATGGTTAGAAGCGGCAATAGGTGTTTCGTATTAAGTTTCCGGTTCAATGTGTTTTAGGTCATTTTAGCGAGAAATTTATCTTTCTATATAAATAAACTGTAATATGAAGACGCGGCATGTGAATTCGGGCGATTCACAATGCAGTGCGCCACCAAGAGTTTGCCACGGAGAGTTCATTTTCCCCAGTGCATTGTGGGAGATGGTCGACAAATTCGCAGCACGGGACATTTGAAATTGTTAGTTTTTCCAGTCAGTAGTTTCATAAGCGTACGATTCGAGTATCTGTTTGCCCTTTTCTTTTTATCAATATTTTTTTGTAAGGCGGCAGAACGCTTTGCCCCAATCTATAATAAATTAGCTCAAGTTGTCTACTGACACTCATTCAAATGGGCCGTGTTTTGCCGACCGTAAACTTGAAAAATGGACTCTCCATGGCAAACTTTTGGTGGCGCACTGCATTGTGAATTGCCCGAATTGCTCATGCATACCTAATGTACAGTTTAGCAGTGATGTGTTGTTATGTATCATGTGCTTTTGATGTTATGAGTTTGTTCTGATTTTTTTTTGTTTTATCTTTTTTTTTTGTGGGCCACAAAGAGTTAAGTTGCTGTACAGGGATAAAAACCACCAATTTTAGCTAAATATTCTGTAAACTGTAATCTTTTTATATTCTAGTGCGGTCTCCACTCCAGTATTGCTTAGTTTAACGGACATTTCGATACCATGCTATTCTCGTCTTGTACCCAGAGGCATACCATTCAAGTAGACAACAATGAAATGTTTGAATAGAGGCACCAGTCTAATAGTTGGATTTTGACTGTATTGTCTGTGTGCTGGCACCATGCAACAATTGAAAACCCCCCCTTTTTTTTTTGTTAAAAAAAAATCATTTTAATTTAAATTCTTTTTTTTTACAGGTTGTATGTTGTTAAGTGTTCTGAGAATCGGCGGAATAGAAGTAGCGTTAGGACGTTTCAGTTTTACAGCCATTCAAAGAGTTGTTAAAACTTGAAATCTGTGTCTCTGTTAGAATGTATTTGTTTTGTTGGTGGAGACTTGTATCATCAGTGTACAATTGAACTTTCAATAAAGATTTCATTTTGAGAACAAATTGTGTGCCGTCTTGACTTGAGCATTATTCGCTTACCATTTTTTAGGCAAGCAAGAGGAGAAACTAGTGCGAAGCGGAGCCATCGAACCAAGAAAGGCACGCACGGTTCACACTTACAACGGGTGTAACGGGTCGGCTGTAGATTTTGGATTTTCTACCCTTGAATAGTGCCGGACCTGTCTAAAAGCCATGTCAGATTCTTGCCAGAGTGAAATGCTCTCTTTATCAACGACTTTTGCACAGAACACACAACAGAATGATTTCCTGTGTCTCAATTTTAACGTGTCTTTATTAACAGCTTGAGTTCATTCTTTACAGTCTTGAACAAAATAATTACTGATTAATGAAAAAACACCCCAAAACAACACCAAGTGTAACTGCATCTGATGATTTTCGTTTGCAGTCGGCTAATGAACACACAGTTGTTTTACATAATGCTCGAGGACAAGCCATTGTCTTTTCCTTTGTCCCTGCAATATTGCCAATGGATTAACATAAACCACATCTCAAAGATGGCTGCTGAATGCAATCAATCTATAGGCCTACATTTTAATGAACACACAGTTGTTTTACATTACGCTCGAGGACAAGCCATTGTCTTTTCCTTTGTCCCTGCAATATTGCCAATGAATTAACATAAAACACATCTCAAAGATGGCTGCTGAATGCAATCAATCTATAGGCCTACATTTTATTGAACACACAGTTGTGGTTTACATAACGCTCGAGGACAAGCCATTGTCTTTTCTTTTGTCCCTGTAATATTGCCAATGAATTAACATAAAACTCATCTCAAAGATGGCTGCTGAATGCAATCAATCTATAGGCCTACATTTTAATGAACACACAGTTGTGGTTTACATAACGCTCGAGGACAAGCCATTGTCTTTTCCTTTGTCCCTGTAATATAACACTAGAGACTAAGCACATAACGCACAATCGAGGACCGTTTTCAACAAAAGATAAACTCTCGAGGACAACAAAGAATCTGTTGTTTCCCTTTGTCTGTCTGTCCTCGAGGTGTTTGTAGTTTGCGCCCATGTATGCATTATTACTGTAAAGTTGCACATTAGTACATACTACGATTTATTTTGTTTTATTCTTGAAAGACATGATCATCATGAGCCACATTGAAAAATGTGAGGCTTTCTGCCAAAATGAGACAGAACTGGGCAGAGGTTAAAATAAGGGATTGCAGGTGTTAGGAAAGGCAATACAATTCTCCTTGCAGTACTGTTTGTTGCGCTTCAATTGGACTCATTCCGTTGACAAGTTATGGCTGTTTAAAATGTGCATTTATCTTTGTCCAAAAAGCAAACTACTGAGATGAAGGTCTTTAAAGTTCTGTTGTGTAGTCGTGAAAATGAAAGATGCCACTTGTTTTTTCTTAAAACACTTTTATTTCATGATTTTTATACTATTTCTTTAAAATACATGTATGTGAAGTAGACATATCAAAGATTACAAATATCTGAAAATTGAAATAATTTCACCCCATTCGGTTTTTTGTATTTTTCTAGACTGTGCCCAGTTCTGTCACATTTTGCATATAAATAAGCTTCAATTCCTCAACTTTTGTTCTTTGCAAGAAATTTGGGGGGGCTTTTTACGAAACCACGGCCTCCTCCCCGGCTTTGGCTTTGTACATCAAAAAATTTCTCTTCAAGCCTGAGGCCAGAGGGGAAGGCCAAAGTTGGACACGAAGCCAACATTTCGAAAACGTCACCTTGACTAAAAATGTCTGGGTTACCAGCTAATACGCCATGTAAGTTACATGTATACAGAACACAGACTGGTTCTCTGCTCCTATGCCAAACAATATTTTCTTTTGCATTTGGCATCTATGGAGATATGTAAAGGGCTTTTGGTAGTAAACATAACACAAGCTCACCTGAAGCTGATATGTTTAAAAAATGTGACGGTTTTCAGGAAATAATAGCACACTGTTGATATGTTGTTCAATGACCAATTTGACTCAAAGCCCCAACTTCTTATGAAATTGCAGAAACAGCGTCAACAATTTTCAGCTGAATTTGTTAACATTTGAAGGTGAAGAATATTATGCCCAGAATTTTCAAGAATGTTATTTAACAATACATTGTTTATATTTTCCAGTGAGACACGATGTTTGTAGAAGTATTCTAACGAGCTGGAAGTTGCCCTGAATGTTCTAACTTTATATTTAGAAAAGAAATGTGTTAAAAACCAGTATTACACCTAAGACTGCCAAGCTCTCCATTTTCTCAAAACCTTCAACCCTGAACCCCACCCCCCCCAAAAAAAAATAACCCCAAATCGCACGTTCCAGAACCATGCCAGCGAAGTTCTCCGTCAACTGAACAACTACATGGTGCTTTTGTGCTTGACGATGTTGTACACAACATTTTCATTATTAAGTAGAACAAAATATTTCCTTTAAAACAAAAAACAACATGCTACACTTAACACCAGTAAAAACTGGACACTTACTTACTTAAGATGTCAACTACGCGTCATAGTTTATTAACACTATCATGGTATATGACTGTTTAAAAACAACAAAATGAACAAAAAAAGTGCCTCTGATATGTTGTTTAGGACGCCAGAAACAAGACTTTAAATTCCAACGCCTAATGTAAGTTCCCAACTTAACAAAAAATGTCTTTGGTAAGCGATATCTTTACTTGCTTAACAGTGTCAGCCCAAATATTTTGCACCTACATGTACATGTACCTAGTAAGCAAAAAATATCATTTACTTAAAAATGAAAGCTGTAATTCGGGCGATTCACAATGCAGTGCGCCACCAAGAGTTTGCCACAGAGAGTTCATTCTTCCCAGTGCATTGTGGGAGATGGTCGACAAATTCGCAATGCGGGACATTTGAAATCGTTAGTTTTTCCCGTCAGTGGTTTCGTAAGCGTATGATCCGAGGCTCTGTTTGCCCATTTCTTTTCTTGTTATCAATATGGTGTTTTAGGTAAGGCGGCAGAACGCTATGCCCCAATCTATGACATATTAGCTCAAGTTGTCTACCGACACTCATTCAAATGGGCCATGTTTTGTCGACCGTTGAAAAATGGACTCTCCGTGGCAAACTCTTGGTGGCGCACTGCATTGTGAATTGCCCAAATTTCTGACAGGGTTTTTGATATTCCCTTACAGTAAACAAGACTTTTGGTCTGACTGGCCATAAGACACGGGGGTTTCGCCACGTAAATTACATTTGGAGTTACTGACGAGTAACTCTTAAAATCATCAAGTTATGCTGAACATTAAGCATGTTATTTACACGTATGTACATTTACAACATGACAACAGAAATTATGTACAATGGTTTAAAAAAAGGTAGTTTTTACATCCTATCAGCAGTTAACTTTTAAAATTTTGTCTAGTTTTTCCCTCTTTTTTTTGTCTTGAAAGAGTATGTAAAGTTGAACCATTGTTTTGAAATCTACTTTTCATTATGTCACATGTATTCCCGTTGTGCACTATCATTGGGGGCAGTATATACATGCAGTCAAAAATATTGGATACAAGTAGTTCACCGGTCCCCATGCATTTTTCTCAGTGCAGAACTTCGCTCCATGAACTGATGGTTACCAGGGAAGGAGTTTTCCCCTCCGCCATGTCTGACACTGGACACTTCCCACCACAAGAGGGCTTAGACATGTAAAGGACCATATATAGATCCTTTTGCAATGCGACCGAAATTCTCAAGTATCTTATCCCGTATTTGAACCATGAAATGGAAATGTGTCAAAAAAGAAATCGAACTTTTAGACTCGTAGTCCATTCTGATTCTTGTTTTTAAAATATTTAAGTAATTTTAAGCACCACCAACTTTTTTTCCTCAACAATAATGAACTGCTAAAAAACCCTCCTTTAAGCTTTTTGTTTATCCCTTTCCATTTGTTTTTAAAATTATGTCATTTACATGTCACATTTTCAGAATAAATTGTGAGAAATCCATCTTTTGGTTCTGCTATCGAACATCAGCAGTTACATTCAGTACTGAATTGACAAAATCTCTACGACCATTTTTTGAAAGTAATTTTTTGAATTTTCACATATTTTGAATATACTGCAGCTGCTAAAACTCTTTGTTTTTAATATTTGATCAAGTGTTCTGATTGTCAAGAATAGCAGTAATTCAGAAAGATTTTATCATGACGTACTTTTTAAAATAAGATTTTCTGGGCCATTGATTGGCTGGAATTTAATGATGCAAGGATCATCATCCAATCACAGGTGTTGTGCTATGTATCCACCATGATGAAAAGCTGATTGTGATTGGTTATGGTGGTGGTGGGTTTCAGACGCTGACCATCCAATCAGAGATGGCGTACTGTGATTCATAGGCTGCAGTGCTGATATAAGCTCATCTTCGATTGGTTCGACTTCGAGTCTGCCTCCTTGACTCTTCCTTTTCACGTTCATTGACATCAAACCATGGAAGCTCAAATTCACTAACAAATAAAACAAACAAATAAGTGAAAAATTACAACAAAATTTTTTTTGAAATGTTTTACTTAAAATCTAAGAAATAACAAAAACATTTGATGTAATAAAAACTTTCCCCTAAATTCCCTAAAATGTTTTGTATGGAACTTTTTTAAAATCTTCCATAGTCTACCCCAAAATCCTCCAAAACCACTTGGTAAAAGATCTGGGAGAGTTGAAATTGAGTTTTTTTTTTTTAGAGCTTACCCGTCTTTAGCGACCGGCACTTGGACGCCAAATGCCACTAGTGGAATGGTATCGGAGACCTGTAGCTGGCAGGCTGCGGAGAAAGGAACACATCAGAAAATGTAAGAATGTCCAAAAACAAAATAATGAAATGACCCAAAAAATGATGGGAAACAGGAAAAGACGGCTGCAAACTGCCACTCACTTGAGCTTGTTGTCTAGTCTTGTTGACCGGATGATTGATTTTCACCATGCCCTGGGCGAGGCCAGCTAGACTGACAACTTATGATTTTATGACACAAACATGCGGTTCTTGTCAGAGGGGCTGGTGTCTGGCTATGATTTTCTGGCTCACTATTTGAACCCACTTCAAAGGGGTTCTCACAATGTAATCTGGCTATATTTGAACGAGGAACTTGAAAAATATGAAACTTCCTGACCGAAAAATGTCAGAGTAATTAAAAAATCATGCAAACAGGACTTGATTTTGGAGAACAACCGGTCAGCGGTGATTGTGTTGGAGTAGGTCACATATAAAGTGATTTTCCACCTACCATCAGAGGGTTCTGGGTAGAACGTCTTCAAGACGTCGTCCCAGTTTCCGTACTCCCTGCGCAGCATCTTCTGCTCCAGGCGTTCGTGTTCCCTCAGCTCTCGGACTCGCTGGATGTCCCAGCGCTTACGCTTCTGTTCCGCCATCTCGTACTTCTGGTGGCGTCGCTCGAAGGTTGTTTCTTCGATGTCCTGGGGTGGGTCGGGGATAGGAGGGTAGGGAAGGGGTTGTGGATGGGGTAAGGAGAGGGGGTTGTGGTGGGGGGAAGGGGAGTGGGGGATACGAGTAAAGGTGGTGAGGGGGGGGGGGCAACATAGAGACGAACGTTAGAAATTTAAACTGGACATGCTTTGTGTATCTTGTAAAGTAAGTCGAGTCTGTCACGAGCCAATATGGCCCATCGGGCCGGCATTTATCTCCGGTTTCACTTTCAGTAGCATGAAACGACTGAGAATACTTCTATTCCCCCTGGATGGGATGCTAGTCAATCGCAGGTTACTCCCCAACTAATGCTGGTACCCATTTATACTCCCGGGTGGAGAGAGGCAAGTGGGGTAAAGTGGCTTGCCCAAGGACACAACCTACAGGCATGCAACTGGGAATTTAGAAAAAAAACGAGGTAACTCCAAACCCCCACAAGACTTTGTACTGTATTTTTTGAATTTGTAATGGCATTCATGAGAAGTAAAAAACAAGGAAATCAGCGGACCTGAGGAAAAGTTGCATGCCTGAGCCTATGGTTAGCAGCTGGATTCGAACCCCTGACTCTTTGATCGTGAGTCACGTCTCCTAATCACTCGTCCAAATTCCCACTTAAGGGTACTCTTATTTTATTTATGCAGACACGACATTGGATATAGAAATAAAATGAGAAGAATTTTGATATTTCGTTAAAGTACCCTTCACCTAAGTAACTTTATAAGCACCATATGTACTCTTTTTTCCCCCAAACGTTTGATATTTGAACTCACCTCGACAGCTTCAGTGCTGGCGGAACTACTTAGAACATTCACCCTCCAAGATGGAACTGAAAACACAATAACATCGACAAACTTTTTTTCAAAATAGATATAACAATTTTTACCCTCCTAGTCAAGCGTGCACTTCACAACCCTTGAGGTTTTGCAAAAAGCACTTTTGTCCATAAAATTAGCACCCACACTTTTTTTTTGAGGTAATCTTCTGTGAAGGATGGATAACACTTAATCCCTGCACACTTATTTTGTGTGGTTAAGCTCAGGGCAAGCAGGCAGATTTGGTCACGCTTCACTGGTCTCGACAGTGCTGTTTTTTTGTGCAGTTGTGTGTGTGGGTTTGTTTTTGCATTCTATAGAGAGTGTTGAAGAATAGAGCACAATAGGGTCCACAATTTCTCCTTGTGGAGAACTTTCTTTGTTCTCGTGTAGCAAAGTTTTTGAGTTTGAAAGTACAGTTTCAAAATGCTCTTACTTTAACCAGAATTAATTGGCTGAAATTCGGACTTAATATCCCTTTTCTAAAACTCTGCCATTTGCGACAGATCAACATACCTTGGAAATTCCTAGTTTTTGAGTAAAATCCATACATATATCTTTTTTGTGAAAACCTATAGAAATAGCCCTGTGGAGAAGTATACAATCTTTTGTTCCCTATTGTGTGCATGTCTCCAGAGGGCACGGTGTATCAGATCAATAGGGGTCCACGATTGAAAGCGTTTACACACTTGTATGTGTGTGGGACACAGTTACTTTAACATTTCATATCCCTTCACTTGAAACTGACCTGCAGGATTTGGGGTTAACATTTAGATCTAAGTATTAACTTCCAACTGGGAGGTTTAAAGAATGTGAAAAATATCTGAATGAAAAGAATCCATACCTTGAACAACTGTCTGCCCTTCGGGCAATGCAGGGTCTGGATCCGTCACTCGTAGGTCGCTAAGACACGGGTAGATGACCTCCGTCTTCAAGTACTGCTCCCCCTTAACTCCGCCCCTCTCCTGCTCCCCTCCGTTCCTCTTCTCCTCCCTGACCTTTGACCCCTGCGTGTCTTTCCTCGGGGTCCGCTCTTCCCGCTTCTGCGACCGGTCCTCTTTAGTCCGCAACCGTTCCGATTTGTCGTCTTTTGTCCGCCCGGACCGGTCCCGCCCCCGGCCGCGTTCTTTGGTTTGGAGCTTGCTGAGCTGCTTGTTGCGCCGGGCGCTGGTGGGCGTGCCGGCCGGGGACGGGGTGGGGGACTCTGTCTGCTGGCGTTTGACGGGGGTGGTGGGTTCTATGCTGCTTTTCCTACGTTCCAGAAATAAATAAATATATTCCTTAGAACTGATCTTTCAGAGTTGTTTGAACTTCAAAGTTGTTAAGTAAAAAACTGATTATGTTATCATTTAAGACTTACATATGATTATTATATGATTTTCTTAACATTTACATGCATGATTTGCTTCAAATTTACATACAAATAATATATATTTTCTCACTTAGCTGGGAAAAAGTAAACTCCCACAAATCTGGGAAAACTCAACAAATTAGAAAGTCATGATTTAGAGTTAAATCTTAACAACCAAGAAAGTAAATAATAATAAACAACAAAGAAGTTAGGCCAAGTAAAAAAAAAACATGTTCAGCGTCCCCGTCTGCTTCCTTTTCGGAGGCTGCCTACTCCTTTTTTTTTTTTTTTGAAAGAAAAAAGAAAAAATGATAAATTTTAAAACAGTGACATCATTTCGGTCTCTTTGTCTGTTGCAGCTAGCCCAGCTGGTATGTCATTTCCGGAGTCCAAGTGGCGGCCACTAAAAACAAAAGCTGGCGGCCATCTTGAAAAATAGCCGGTCAGGGAAAAAAAAACCAGCCTCTTTCCTTTTTTTCAAAAAGCAGGACGCTAAACATGTTTTTTTTTTACTTGGCCTGAAAAACAATCAAAGTCTAAAGAAATTCTTACTGATCAGTAAAAAATTTAGAATTTTTTTTAAAGTTTACCTTTTGAGAAAAAAATTGAATAAAAATAGTCGTAAAAAAGGCTATTGTGTCAAACTAACCTCTTGTTAGTACATGATGAGTCGTTTGAAGAGACTGGTGCCGGTATATGTACATGGTTGGGTAATTCTTGGTGCTTCTGGGCCAAGACCGTTCGTCTTTGAATTCTCTCCAGACGAGCTTTCAACTTTTGAAAGAATAAAAAAATACGTCATAAAAATGGTACTAACCATAAAACATTTTGAAACAAAATCGCATAAAAAAAAATACAATATATACCTGATTCTCATGTGTAGCTGAATAATTTCGTAAAACTTCAAAAAAAAAAAAATTCTTTTGCAATGAGCAACAAGTTGTTTTTCTATTCAGGCCAATTTTTTCCCCAGCAAACAACAGAGGGCGCTATAATACTTTCATGCTTAATTTACAAAGTTGAACAACAGAGGGCGCTGTTGGGAAGAATCAATTATGCACAAAATGCAGCTGTGCATGCTAGTGGCCTGCATGCGTAATGCACAAGTTCAATGTAAACAGGAAGCAAGAAAATCAGTCAACATATCATGTCATGAAATAAAAAAGAACTTTAAGAGCATGTTTAGAGTGACCATGTGCTTCTATCATGCCGGCAATCATAGTACTGTCTATAGCATGCCTCGTGATAATTTCCCACTGTATTTTTTGTTAATTGTCATTAAATCAATACTGTAGGTCCTAAATGATAAATCGTTTTAATATTAAACCCTAAAAAGGAAACATTAATTTGAAAAGCACATAAACAACCTGAGGCTTCAATATTGTTCAATAAATCAGCAAAAATAAGAATTCCTCCACTAGTTTAATGCACTAGTAGGACTATAAAAACACATTATTTCAAACAAAAACGTCATGGACAATCATGGAGGAATATCATCCAACATGTCTGATCGACCAGGCTATGCTGACATAAATCCAAATTGTTTATTCATCAGTAGTTTTTTCTTTTATCCAAACAATTCATAAACACCATATCCAAAATAACATATGACATAATTCAAGGTTAACATGCACAGGTCTATTTAATGCATGGAGGCTATACATGTACATAATGATGTACAAACAAAGTAAAGTAAACAAGACAAATAAATAAACATGATAAATATTCCAAAACACGTAGGCCTAATCCATGTAATCGGTTATAAACCAACATTTTGTCACAGACACATGTTATGCCATGTATGCCAAGCTGCCAAGTAAGTGTGTAGATGCATTTATGCATGAACAACAACATCTCGCAACCAACGCCGTTCAGAGGTCACACGTTGAACTGGGCAAAGCGAGCGTAATCATGGCCACTGCATGCTGGCAGCGCGGGGCGGCGATATCCAACAACAACCTTACCGTGTCATTCTGCGCTCGCACTTTCTGCAGTTCGTGTTCCCTTCTTTGAATTTCCTGCTGCTGTTGCTCGATCACGTCCAAATGCAGCATGGACAAGGCCTTCAAATGCTGCACTTCGTGTTTTTCTAGTTTACCCTCGTCAATAGAGGGTTCGTGGTCTTGATCCATCGCAGTGGGATGATCGGAGTTCTTTGTGCCGGCATCACCGGCCGTTAGCGACGGGTGTCTGGGGCTGGTCTCTCCCGTCAACAACGCCATGTTGACGGGCGAGGACACCTCGTTGTTCTGCGCGATCCGAGCCAGGGCTTTGCGTGACAAGGCACTCTTGCTGACGATCTTGCTGCGCTGGAGTCCTACAAAGTCAGATTTCATGTTCCCAGGAGCCATAGGGTTCATCAGAAACGGAAATATCCCACGCAGTATGGACGAAATCGACATTGGAATAGTTGAAAATCCTCCATTGTATGTCGAGTGTAACGAAAAACGGTTACACACGTCCCACATACGCTATGTAATTCGCACACATACACAACACACCATGTGATAAAGCATTGGACGCGGTCTACGGCGTGTGTTTTATATTCACTGGTACTCCGTTGTGTGATAATCCAATGTCAGAATGGAGAGATACCAGTGAAATCGTTCCCTTTTTAAAAACCTTCAAATTTCAAATTCTCCAATGTTGGGAAGATGTTCGTTTTCATTGTCTAAAGACTTTTCTGCAATCGTTGTACTAAGACAGAACATATGCGTGAAATGTCTTACCTTTGTACCAGAAAACCCAAATCTTTGAACTAAAAGTGCGAAATTAAATACAGTTTGTTTAAATTGTTTAGAACCACTCACGCTCTCATCGGGTCTCCGTGGCGCAATCGGTTAGCGCGTTCGGCTGTTAACCGAAAGGTTGGTGGTTCAAGCCCACCCGGGGACGGTTCATGTTTTTTTTTAGACAGATATTTGATTTTGTTCATTTTTTTTTTATTTATGCGGAAAAAGTATGCTTCTAATTTTGCCTTGTTTTTTTTCACCCACAACGCACAAAAAAATACACCTGAATTATTGTTGGGCCAGATTTTTAACTCCATTTGTTTCTGTTTCTGAGCCTCCGGCCGTCAATGAAAAATGACTTGAATGAGCTAGCTGAGAGGCTTGGTTTGTCATTTTGATCATAGAACAAGGAACATGCTCTATGTTTTGATCAACAATTAATTGTCACGAATTATCAACTGTACTAATAATTTTATCAGCAATTAGATGTTTATTAATGTTTTGTAATTAATGACTTGGAAAAACAGTGGTATATAAGTGGATATTTTCAATCTCTTTTGTTCTCAAATCCTACTCCAGGTGGCTGGACTTAATTTTTTTCTGAGCCTTCTAATTTGTTTCGCAAGAAGAGTTGAGTTTGCAAAATGGTGAGGCCGCCCTCATTTGGCAAACGTTAGGATTAAGTTAGCCTGGTAACCACACCTACCTCAGGATAAAACAAATTGGTAGAAAACGAGTCGAGAACCAGACATATAAAAAATATGAATTTCATTTTATTTTTTATTACTTGTAGTTGGAAACTCATTTTTTGAGTAGCTTTGTAGTAGAATTTTACATTTTATTATGATACTACCAAAATAGCGGCTCTAGAGGGAAATATTCTTTTGTGGCGAATAAATACAAATTTATGGACAATTTTGTTGGGAAACTTGAACTGTACGTTCCCAAAGAAAATTTCTAGTGCTCGTTTCCCGTAGTCGGGCTCCCAGATGACAAGCGTGTGTTGTATGTACTAATGTGGCACTATTACTAAGACTACTTGTGGGCATTGCCCACTCTGTGAATTTTTTTTGTGGCGGGGGGAGATACGAAACATCGCTGTCAAATGTCGCACAAATGTATGATGATTTTTCCTTGATTTCAGAAGTCACTCCACCAGCATTACCGCCTTGAAAGTTTAAAATAACCATTCCACCTGGGGCCAGGCCCTGAAAGTTGAAAAAATGGCGGCTTTAGCTCCTAAGTCGCAGAAGAAGAAACACATCAAACATGTTCCGCAGAAAGTGAAATTGTTTCGGGCGAGCGAACCGCTGTTGAGTGTTTTGATGTGGGGCATTAACAGCACGGTGAGTATTTTCAGGAGTTATGAAAACGTCGTAATTTGGGAAAACAAATGTGTGCTACTTTCAATTTCATGTTTCACTTCTTAAGATGCATACAGTGAATCTTTCTTTCTCAGTCTCACTTTTGTATTTGTGTGATTTTTATTATCAATCATTCAACTTGAATGAATTTCAAGAATCATGTTAATTCTTCTTAGAAATAGAAAGTTAATTTACAGAACTAGCAAAGTCTATGGAACGACATATTTTTGTTTACAAAAATTTGATATTTTTCTCACGGGAAAAGTTCCATACTCGGACGTCAATTTATCTGCTGCCAAACATATTAATTGTCACCTCAGTCCTCACCTTGTCATTTGAACCAAGAGAAATCCAGGAAGCTGTGTTAAGGTGAAAAAAATTTACTCAAAATGTGTTTTTAGAGCACATTTTGGATGCATACGTCGTGCAGAACTAACTTGAAGCAGCCGGTCAAAACTGATTGTAGTGGCTGAAAGACAGCGGTACGTTATACACGTGACATCAACAACCATGACGTCGCATGAGCCTGCCAATGATAGTGCAATACGTCATTATGAAGATTTATTTTCTCATGAATATTTAGTTTATTTCAATGGATACTTCAAATACGTCCAAAGATTGATTATTGCAACAGCGATCGTGCGCGGCCTAGCGGTTAAGAGTCTCGTGTATCAAGCAAGCGTCAGAGGTTCGAATCCTGATGAAGTAACTGACTGATTAATAAATAGAAATTAAGGAAAGGAGAGGGTGAGAGTAGAGGAGGGAAAGTGGAGGAATAACCATAAAAGATGTAACTTTTGGCGCTAGAAAATTAATTGAAAAAAGTGATGTCCGAGTACGGAATTTTTTCCCAAAGTGTATGGAGAGTCAAGAAAATTTTCTTGAAAATTGGAAATATTTCTCAGTCCCATATTCATGTCTTATCATCATTTTTGCACTAAATGACCTTCATTGGGAAGATGAACAGTGGCGTCAGGTTGCTACATTTTTTTCCTTTTCATCATATTTATCATACATTACATTGTATAGTAGGTATTCAATGATTGTGCCGTCCATGAAGGATAATCAACATGATCAATTGATGCTTTGCAACTGTTTATATATTATATCGGAATGATAGTATTTGGTCACATTGCCACTTTAGTCAGGAATTCTTGAACCTTTAATACATGTATGTAATTTTCATCTGTATTTGTTGACTGGTTTCCTATTAAACCCAATAAAGATTAAAATCACAATAAAAATGTAGTTATTATTAATATACGGCCCTAGGCCTATTATTAATATAATTTCTGACAATGTCAGGTTTGTGGAAAAGACTGTTCAGTCCATCATGTCCATCTTGAACCACTTCCCGGATAAAAAGATGAGCTTAAATTTAACTATAAATTATACTATAAAAGAAAACAAAAGAATGTTAGAAATTTAAAATATAAATTATCTGTTCTATTATAGGCTTGTCAACTCAATTTTTTCGCCATCTGTTCTCGTATTCTGGTTTATTTGTAGGAGTGCCAAGATTCTCAATATCAAATTTTGACGCCCTAATGGTCGATAGGAAGATTTGAATAATAAATTGGGCACACATGCATGTATGTAGTCACATTCCATAACCCTAGGCTGGGTTCGAACCCACAACCTGCAGAATTACCCGCAGACCGCAAACTCACAATGTAGATGTACATGTGCTGTCTATTTTTGCGTTTGTTGTGGGTGCTGTGTCTGTTCAGGAAATGCGCATATATTTAAAATTGTTGGAATCAGATAGGATTTTAGGTCAGGAAACCACCCCTGCGTGGTTGATCCAAGTTTCCTGTACACAATGTAGAGTTGTGGAGGAAATCTAGGCCTACAAAGTACATGTACAACATATTGTACTTCGCTCGTACCCCCCGCCCTGCAAACAGGATGCTGGGATACTCTGATGAGCTTCACAGAATCTTGTGAAGGAAGTGGCCTATGACCTACATGTATAAAGCATCTGGCTGCACCTGTTCAAGACCGCAGTTATACAATGTGCGCAAATGCTATCCGAAAACTTCCCATAGAAATTCACACGTTCCATACCGGATCTGATTTCTGTTTCATTGCGAACCATGTGGACAAAATTTTGAGCGTCGCATGATGCAATCTGATTGTTCGTGATTCGAAACGGAGCCTGAGCAAGTGACGGGAATTGTAAATTTACAACACACTGAACACAGATAAGTTTTACAGAATTTCCTACATTATTACGCTTTTCAAAAAAAAAAAAATTCTCTAAACTAAAATAAAAGAGTAATGAATCAGTCTTAACGACCGTTTCAAACCTTGCAGAGTCATGACCGTGATGACGCGCAGGTCACAGGTCACGCAAAATCCAACCAATCAGAGCGTGAATTCATCAGAGTATCCCAGGGTCCTGTTTGCAGGGGGGGGGGGGGGGGGGGGGGGGGGGGGGGGGGGTACGCTTGTTTTAGTGCAAATATTTATGATTTGAATTCATTGAACTTAAAGTGTCCAAGTACAATTTAATATGAACATGTATATTTTGTTCTTTTATTTGTTATCCATATAACACCCCAAAACAACCCTTGAGCACAATATTAAATTGAAAGCAATGTTCGACTGAAAAATAGAATGGACCATTTTTATTTGTGCAATTTTTTCATTCCGTTTGAAGCAGCAAAAGTGCTCAAAATCTAAAGACGAAATCTAAGCTACATGTAATCACAGAGCTAACCTGATGAAGCGTTAGCTCTGTGAATGCGGTATATTTCAAAAAGACGCAATATTCTGGATCTTGATTTCAGTTTGAAGAGTGCTGAGTCATATTTTGAAGTGCGCCCTCTCACGACACAATCGCAAAATCAGCATTCGGGACATTATTCATCATTCCACTGATTGTAGCAGCGTGATGTCACACTCTGAACAATTCTCGCTAAAACCACGCGCATGTTCCTTGTGTTAATGCTTGCATGCATGCACTTGCCAAAGTACAAAGCAACCATCAATGGAAATTTCCAAAAAAATGTGTCACTTGACACACCTTTGGAAATGACCTTGTTTTGTGGTTTTCTTCAAAATGACAGCACGCCAGAAGGAATAATTTCACAGGGAGTTTAGTGCCATTACTATCTTTAAACCAAGTAAGCTTTTAAGCAATAAATCGGTCGGTTACTTTTTGGATAGCTGCAAATGGTCCACTCTGCCTTTAAACGCCAACGGCTCAAACAATAAATGTCTTATCTTGGGAAGAGGGACTTTTTTTCACCAAGGATATTACAATTTAAAGAAATCCGATACATTTGTAAGAAGATTTGTCTCTGTTCATGTCCATTTATATTTACATATTCATAAGTCCCTCAGGACTTATGAATATCCATGATGTGCAGAAGTATTTGATTTGACTCTGTTTTCCCCTTAACAGAGCAACGAGTTGAGCCACGTTAACATCCCAGTCATGCTCCTACCAGATGACTTCAAGGCGTACAGCAAGATGAAAGTAGACAACCACATGTACAACAAGTGAGTAAAGAACTTCACTGATCAAGGGGCTGTCAATCGGTGTTGTAGTCAAGTCCATCACATGCCCAGTCACAAGTTAGTCTGAGTATCACCCGTTATCCACGGAGCTCATCTCCTGTATAACGTCTTATATGGTAAACATGCAGATATATGCAAGCTGAAAAATTAGGAGCAGTTTAAAAAAAAAAGAAGCCAATTTTCTCCAACGCTGGCTAACCAGCATTGGAAAAATACAATTTTTCTTGAAAATGTCAGCACATAAGGAGCTGCGATTTTACATGATACTTTTGACTGTCATTCTCTAGCAATCCAGTAAGGTATTTTGTGATAATGCGATCATTTCGTTTATTGATGTTTGCAAATGTTGTATATTCCCTTTAAGTAGGGTAGAAAAAAAGGGCCAGATCGAAAATGGTAATACTTAAACTTGTTTAATGTTGCCCTTAGCTGTGTTATCATTCAGATTTTTAACTGACACTGTTAAAAAGCAGTAATCTTAAATTGCACTGACAAGCCTGAGTGTGCCTGACATATGGTGCACGTACTTGTGCGTTGAATTTTGTTCCGAGTACATGCAAACACTACCTACAGGTATATTCTGCTCTCGTTAAGCTGTAGTAGAAGCCCCACGATTGTAGAAAAAAAAATTCAAGCAGTGCAGATTAAGCCGGGCTTTACAAATGCCAATCTCCATCAAAGGACAAGTCTGCCCTGGGGCGAGTTGGCTTTTAGCCGGGATCCTCGTGCCTTCGGTCTTGTGCTCACTGCCATCGGCTTAATTGAGTTGTAGCACCAATTGACGCTGCCACGCATACACTGCTGATTGGTTCACGCAATCAACAGGGGCCCAGGAGTGCCGAAAAGGTGACAAATTTGTTTTAAAAAGTGGGAGGGGCGTGGCACGTACAGTAATCGGATTGACCTTTCTACATGAGTACGTGTATGTGTCATTTTGAAAATTTGATGGATACATTTGCAGATAAATGGCTAAATTTGACTGGAAATTGAAGTTGACGGACTCAAATGATTGCTATTGAGCCTAGAAAATGTGTGCGTCTACTTAAATTGGGAAAAATTGCCCAACAAAAAATTGGTTAATGACGATCATTCAGGATCATACATGTACATGTTTACATGTACATGTAATTTCAGGATATGTAATTCAAGAAATTCCTTGGCGTTTAGTTTTTAAAGAAACTTCCAAGAACCGGCGTAGTTCAAGAAAAAATATCCGAACCTAAACACCCAATTACCAAGGAGTACAGGAAAAAGAGGAATTTTGTTTTTAATATGCTGCTGTATTAGCAAGAATATTGTGCACCAGAAACTCAGAAAAATTACATAACATTGGACACCTAACTTTCTTGTGAATCGTAAATTACATTAATGCAAAGTTACCAGAATTGTAGCTAAATTTTGCAGTGCACCATGTGTTCGTGTGTGTCTGCATCCCACGCATTGCATGTACGCTGTGAAGGATAAAATGCCTATATCCTGAATAATAAATTACCCACTGACGGATCCTATCCTTGACTGAATATATTATTATATTCCTGCGAGCGCACTAATTCTGTTTGTCATTTAGGATGCTGCAAATACCCTGAAAATTCCGTTTGCCATTTAAAGGTACATGTACATGTGGGGTGCTGTGGTCCAATGGTTAGGCCTACTGTGTTCAATTCGGGTACCGTGGTACATGGGTTCGAATCCTGATCGTGGGAACATGGTACTTGTGCTCTTGAGCAAGGCAATTTACCATTATTGCTTCGTCCTTCGGATGGGATGTAAAGCCGTAGGTCCCGTGTGTTGTGTAATGCACGTTAAAGAACCCAGTGACACTTATCGCTAAGAGAAGGGGTTTGCCCCGGTGTTTCTGGCAGTGGCTGCAATATGCGCCGCAGCACCTTGTCAAGGTGCTACATAATGGGTCTCATATGTTCATATACTTCATTTACCTGTCTTTGGTTGCATTCTCCCCCAGCGCTTTGTATCATTTTATTTAGTAGTCTCCTAAAAAATCAATTAATTTTTTTCATTTTCATTGTTTAATACTGCGCCTTAACCCTAACCTTCCCAAATCCTCCAAAATGCTCTTTGCAAAATGGTGGAATTTGCGGGATATGTGGCTGATTTTGGAGGATGCACTGTGTCAAGGTCTTGGGCCGGACCTTGTGTTGTTTATGCTCAGCCGCGCATTAAGTTAGGATTGGATTGAAATCCTTCGCACTGCTCCAGGATGTCACTGGCTCTGCCTCAACATATTGACAGTGATTGCTGGAGGATTTTGCAGGATTGAGGCAGTGGTCACCCCTCCAAGAACCACTTTCAACATGTTCAAGAAATAACGAATAATTTTGCAGGATTGAGGCTGTATGCAATTTTTTCATGTCAGTTCGGAGGATTGTGCAGGATTGAGCTTGCATCCTATCAAAAATGCTTCTAAGGGAGTTATTACATGATTAAACATGATTACAGAAACATGAATGCATATCTACCAGTACAAAAAAATGTAATTTTAACATTAATGAAGAAAACGTAAATTTTGTCTAGAGTCAGTCAGTCAAAAGTACATATGGAACCCCTTAGCACTGTGCACATGTACGTAAGTGGCTTCATTAATTAAAAGTTAAAACAGGTTGCCGAAATGTCGTGCAAAACTAATCAGCACTCGTAATGGAAATACAGTGTACGGATGAGCACTTATGTATATTTGCGAAAAGCTACTGTAGTCACGCACACACGGCTGTAATTAAACTGTCCGCATGCACTTGTCCATTAAACTCACTGCACATGTGAACAGTGTTAATAATAATAATAATAATAATAACAGTATAGCGCTATTTTCCAGAGGATACAAAGCGCTGGGGGAGAATGCAACCAAAGACAGGTAAATGAAGTAGATGAACATATCAGACCCATTATGTAGCACCTTTTTGCTAGGTGCTGCGGCGCATAATTGCTGCCACTGCCAGAAACACCGGGGCAAACCCCTTCTCTTAGCGACAAGTGTTACTGGGTTCTTTAACGTGCATTACACAACATGCGGGACCTACGGCTTTACATTCCATCTGAAGGACGAAGAAATAATTGTCAAGTGCCTTGCTCAAGAGCACAAGGAAATTAATTCTGGTTAAAATTAGAGCATTTTGAAACTTCACTTTCAAACTCGAAAACTTTACTACACGAGAACAAAGAAATGTCTCCACAAGAATACAAATTTCAGTATGTGTGTGCAGCTCATGTTACCGCACATACATGTACACCCACTGCAATATGAAATTCATGTACAACATGTGCTGTTTAGCAAAAATTAGCGAAGATGTTGTGATATTGAAAAAGAAAATATTGAATTTACACAAAATAGATTCAGGTTTCTTCGTAAAGGTCAAGATTTTGATTTACCATTCATGAATTCTGAGGTGTCTTCCGGGCAGCAGGGCAGCGTGATCGGGCCCATCATTAAGATTCGTATCAATAATGCAATGGAAAAAAAGATAATCTCAAGAGGTGTACAGGTAGCTCTTGATTCTTCCAGATCAATATGTCCGGCCGGAAAGTGAAAGGGCCAAGATCTTGTAAGGTTCATGCATAATGGAGTTAGTTTGTTTTAAAGAATAATACAAAAATTGAATGTTTTGTCCTGTGGCCAGCTATTTAGCTGGGAGTGGAACCGAGTTCAAAACACGATGTGTCTTAATTATTGTTTTTTTTTTTAACTTGTGCATACCGGTAATATTCATCAAATACATACATCAAATTCTAGCTTCACATTGTACATGTATGTACATGTACATATACCAATACATGTACATGTACATGATACACATACGTACATGTACATGTACACTGCACAAAAGCTATTGTACTTGTACGTGTACATACACGTACATGTACTGCACACTATTCTATTGTCCGTGTATGTTTGGGGTTCCATGTGTACATGTACATGAACAGGGTGTACAATTACATGATAATGAAATTTGTAATTTGAAGAAGACATTACGTAGACCGTTTCACGGATACCGCCATCTTTGTGGTCAGTTGGTGACCTCGGGAGGCATTTCAATGAAATGCGCAGGAAACAGTGGCATGATGGGACATGTTTTCAACGAAATGCCCAACAAGATATTTCCTATGACCACAAAGATGGCAGTACATGTATGTGAAACAGGTGCATACCCATGTTCCCCAATACATATGTTTCCCTAATATCTACATGTATGTTCCCCAACCCTAACCCTAACCCCAACCCTAAGAATTTTGGGGAACATCGGGTAGACCCCTGTAAAATGGTCCATGTACATGTACATACATGCACAGTATCGGTACATGTAAATTTTGTGACGAGATACAATACAGTATATTAAATTTGTACGATGGTCTTTTATTAATTCAAGAATCATCCACACTTCCCCAGGTATAACTTGAAAACACTTATCCTATCACAACACCCATACTACCATGTGCAGTCGACTCTCGTTAGTACAAACTCTGTTAATACAAAATCTGGTTATAACAAACATAAAGCCTTGGTCCCGACTGTGCCTCTATGTGCACAATGAATGGGACCGATGTTCCTCTTAATACAAATTCTGATGTAACAAACAATTTGGCTAGGTCCGAACGAGTTTGTATTAACGAGACTCGACTGTTTCGGTATGTCTTTCATGGGTCCTTGCTCTATGGTCTTTCTTAGTCCAGTTTAACAAGCAAATATAATGCGTTGACATCACTCGGCGCGATTGGAGCGCGGGTCCCGCCTCAGCCTACACCGTGGCTCGCTGAGGCGTCCAAGTCGTGATTGAACGTGACGTGTTTCCTGATCTCAGGTTGTCCACGTACGATCTTCGTCTTTTTAATGTATATTTAGCGCGCGGAAGGCCCCGTTGGCTTGGCTCGGCTCCGCAATCAACTTAGGGTGTTTGTGTAATGTATCGGGGATCACATATCGATTACAATGGCGACTTGATATTGATACAGAATTTCGACTGGAGGGCGAT